ATATATATAATAATAAATATATCTAAATATTTATAGAGTATATTATTAATAAGTGCTTAAAAGGTTACTAGTACGTTAGTAAGTCTAAAAGGTATTACTAGGTACTTAAAGAGTCTATAGTATAATTAAAATACTATCTTCTATTCTTTACCTTTCTTTATTCTAATTAGGTAGTATCTATCTTATAAGTCTATTATTATAAAGACTTTTACTTATAAGAGTCTATCTCTAAGCTCTAAGATATTAGGTAATAGGTATCTATTCTTAATTATTATATTATTAATTACTTAGTAGTTAATATATAGTCTATCTAATCTATCTTTCTTTTTAATAAATATAAAAGGGCTTACTACTAGTAACTTTAATAGTCTAATATATCCTTTTACTAGGTTTATTTTAATAAATTTATATTCTTTATAGAGTTCTTCTCCTATCTTACTATATAGTAGTTTAAAGGGTAGCGTCTTCCCTTCTTCTAGGTTAATTATATAATTCTAGGGTTAATATTCTAGTAAGTTTACTTTTCCTTCCTTTTCTATAAATATATCTATTTATACTTTATACTCTCTTAGTACTTCTAAGGGTATACTTTCTTCCTTTTTCTTATACTTTATAACCTAGTAGTTCCTACTAGCGTCTACTAAGGGTAATTTCTATTTTTTAACTTTCTATTATAAGTCTATATTATTAATAATACTCTTATCTACTATTAATCTCTATTATTGCGTAGGCTTAGCTTATAATATATATTTATAGTATTCTAAGGATAGCATTCTTAAACCCTAATTAATATGTAGGTTATACTTCCTTAACTAGGGTAATCCTAATATAATATTATATCTAGATCTATCTAGTATATCTAGTGTAATTATCTCCCTATATCTATAGATCTAAAGTATAGTAGTAACTTTATAAGTAATCTATAGCGTGTTTAGTATTTAGCTTCTATTTATAATATAGATAGGATAAGCTTTATCCTTAAGTACTAGCTAGAGTCCTACTTATAGTGCTACTTCTTAGGATATAAAGTTTTCTAATATACCTAAATCTAGTAGTACCTTAATCTATATTTTGTTAAGCTAAACTAGTAGCTTAAATAATACCTTACTATTAATAGTATTTAACTCTCTAGTAGTGTCTCTTTACCTATCTATAAGTCTTTAAGGGTTTCTTAGGCCTTAGGGGCTAGGATTTAGTCTAAAAAAGAACTATTCTTCTTAGAAGCTAGGTAGTCTATATTCCCTTATTATTATTTTTTCTATTTCTACCCTTCTTTTCTTCTACTATAGTTATTCTTCTACTATAGTTTCTCTTTAGAAGTTTTACTGTCTTATACTATACTTATTTCTATATAGATATTAATAACTATTCTTAGTTAGTTAGGGTTCTTACTAAATCTATAGATATACTTATTATTCTAGTATCTACTATAATTAATATTTAAGTAAGTTTGCTATCTATCTTAGGTATATATTCTATTATAGAGTATACTAGTTACTACATTTTATATATTATTTATACTTAGGAAGTATAACCTTTCTTACTTATTCTATAAATATTTATTATATTTATTAATTAGGTAATTATACTATTCCTAGTAGTATTATTATTTATTTAGTAGTTATTTACCTTTATATAGCTCCTTAGCTCTATAGTAGGTTAGGCACTAGTTATGTCTATATTTAATCTATTAGATATTTAAGTGCTACGGGTTTTAGTGGTCTAAGTAGTACTTTTATAAATAGTCTAGGTTCTTATTATAGAAGTGTTTACTAGGGTCTTATTATATATATCTATAATCTACCTATTATCTATCTTCTTTTATAATAATTTCTAGTTGGCGTTAGTTATAAGCTTCTAGTAGTATAGAGAATAATAGTAATATTATTATAGGTAATAATAATATATCTCTATTTTATAGTTAAATTAGTAGTTTATCTAAGTATTCCTATACGTTTACTCTATTAGTAAAGGTTACTTCTTTACCTTTAAACTATAGGTAAGGTATTAGTGTCTACTTAACTTCCTTATCTACTATTTTAGATTATTCTTCTTCTATATTCTTATAAAGTTATAAATTAGTTAATAACTCTAATCTAGATTTATTATTAAGTGTAAGGTTATTAATAGTATTTATAATAGTCTATTCTTCGTCCTTAATTTCCTTTATTAGGATAGTAAGTACATTTAACTACCTAATAACCTTATTCTTAGATCTATAGTTCCTAGTAATATAGCCTAGTTTACTATATATAAAATATATATAAGTCTTAGTCCCCTAGTGTTAGGTTCTATCTAAGATATACGTATTAGGCTTATAAAAGCCTAGTCCTTTTTCTTTTTCTTTACCTAAGTAGTTAAACTAGATATCTTCTATTAGCTAGTATCTATAGAAGTCTTATAATTAGTATTAAGGTTCTTTTAGTAGCACCCTATAGACTATAGGTACTAGTTATCTAAAACTAATATTTCTTAGGTTACGTTAAAATTCTTATTATAGTATAAACTATTCTCTATTAATTCTAATTAATTTATTATATAATTTATTAAGTGTCCTAATAATTCCTCTACTACGTAGAAGTTCTTTTTATAGAGGTTTCTTAAGACCTTATTTATATATTATTATTAGTAACTTATTATCCTAGTTAAGTTATATAGCGTTCTTATAGAACTCTACTATATATTTAGCTACTAATTATTATTACATTATAGTTTAGATATTTTATACTATAATAGGTACTTTATTAGCAATTCTAAATATTTATTTAAAATATTTCTTAAAGTTAGCATAGTCTTTAATAATGTTAACCGTATCTATATAGTTATCTATATATTCCTTATTTTTATTATTATAGTCTATTTCTAGATACTTAGTTATATAGGGTTAAATCTATTCTCTAGTATTACCTTATATATAAGTAGCTATAAAGATAACCTTTTGTTTATCTTTAGGTTATTTATTAAGTTTAAAGAAATAGAGGTCTAACTAAAAAAGCTAGATATTAGTATACTTTCTATTACTATAATATAAATTAGGTTTATATACTTTACTCTTAGAGTTACCTATTAGAGTAATAGCATTATTATCTAAAGCTATAGAAGAAGTAGGAGTCCTTATAGTTATATTAAGGGTATTTAAGATATTAAATCTAAAAAGGGTAGCTAGTCCTAAATAGATTAGGGTTAGTTCTTAGGCAAGACTTACTAAGGGAAGGAAGAAGGAATTCTTATTAATATAAAAGTATCTTATAAAGTATAATAAGTTAATAAGGGAGGCCTAAGTAAATCTAAATAATAGATTAAAACTTAGGTTAAATATAAGTATAAAGGTTTATCCTTATACTCCTATATAAGGATCCTACTTAGTTACTTAGGAGCCCTAAATAACTAAGTAGGTTACGTAATAACTCTTAGCTACTTAGTTATTTAGGAACCCTAAGTAGCTAAGTAAGTTACATAACTACTATCTAAGTAACTTAGCGTATCTTTATCTTATTATAATCCTAGTTATCGCATCTTCTACCTTTATAAGCGCCCGAACTTCCCCACTATTATCTAGTTTATAATAGTAAGTTATATAAACTTTATATTAAAATTTACTAGAAACTAGTTCTTTCTTTATTCTATTATAAAAATCTAGTTTTAGGCCTATTCTTCTTCTATTCTATTACTAAAGTTTATTAATAGAAACTTCTATAGTTCTAACTTAGTAGCCCCTAGTAATTATTCTAAAAAAAAAAAAAAAAAGTAATAGTTACTTTTTTCTTTTAAGGTAACTTATTATATAGCTAGAAATTCTACTTAGTACTTTTTAGTTTTTATTAATTTTATATTCTATTTAGAACTTCTAATATTTCTAATTCTTTTAGTTACTATTAAAGGGGGCTAGGTTAGGGACTTAGAGTTACTAAGGTATAGTAGAATATAACTTAAAGGTTTTAAATTAAAATTAAGTATAGCTATACTAGAGTTCTACCTTAAGTACTAATAGTTATTCTACTATATAGGCCTAAGTTTTATTAGTAAAAGCCTTAATTAAGACTCCTAGTATAGTTACTATATAGGCTTTTATTATAAGAAAATTTAGAGTTTTTATTAGGTATTTTTATACCTTATTTAAGAGGTTTTCTATATTCTTTTTATTATAATTTATTTATATAAGGCTCTTAATTAAAGTAGTTCTTATATCTACTTCTAGAATACCTTTATATTTTAGTTTATAAGCTTAGGTAGCTACTATTATAACTACTTTATTATTAGAGAAGTTATAGACTTCCTCTATTATTATATTAGTTCTATTAAGATTTTATTAGAGATTCTACTTAATTACTCTTTAGAGGTTTTATTAAAATAACCTAAGTTATAGCTTAATTTATCTATAAGGCTTTTATAAGCTACTAAAGAAAAAGAAATTAATTAAATTTACTATTAGGGGTACCTAGCTAAGTAGGCTAAGTATAATAGAAATATAAAATAGATTTAATAGAGAGAAAAATAAGTTTTTTAAAGTAGTTTATATATTTTTCTAAACCCTTACTAATTATAGAGTCTATATAATAAAGTCTAGAACTAAGTTCCTTTATAGGGCTTCGCCCATAATAACTTTATTACTAAGAAGGACTAAAAGAGGCTTAAAAATAGAAAGAGGGGATAAAATAGCCTTATAAAAATAGCTAGAATTAATATTTAGACTTCTATACGTGATAATAAAGGTAGTAGAGGGGTACATTTAGATAAAAAAGCTAATTTTTAAAGTTCTAAAATTAATCTTACACTAAAATGGCTATAACTATCCCTTAGACGCGCTATAAGCGAGCGTTGGTCCGTGCAGTAGAGCGTCTAACCATGTGAGATAAGCGAAAGAGTGAACAGACGTGTGTCTGAGTCAGCGTGTGCTAACCTTAAATGTCTTAGTCCGGACAAAAAGATCAATTGCGTAACATCCCTCGCAGTTATCATCTCTCCATCCTCTGCACAATCTGGAACTCATCACGGAATTGATGACGAACACAAGACCTCATGTGGGCTTCCTTGCATTGCCTATAGAGCTTCGGCTCCAGATTCTGGAAAACGTCATCGACGACAGACCGAACGCTGGCCTCGTCTACCCTACCGTGTCCGCGACCGCAAAATCAGATTTCAACAGAACTTCACAAGGCCTGATCCTGGACCTCGGCCACTCTTCCGCCGCAAATTTGAAGATATTGTGCGTGTGTCGCCAATTGCGAGATGAATTCACCCAGGCAGCCTTTAGGCGCACTGTCTTCATCATTCGGGACCCCTACCATGTTAATGCGAAAATCCTACAACCTCTTCAGCACGTTCATTTGGAGAATCTGAGACGAGTCATGCTGGTCTTCCAAGCATACCGTCTTAGTCAGTTGACATCTTGGCGGAGGCCCTTCAATCGCGAAGATTTGCACCTGGACAACTTGACGATTGCGCTTCAATCAACCACGCAGCACACCGTTGGGCCTATGATGTCTGATGACTACATCAAACAAAGCACACGCGACGTTGTAGGGCTTCTGCGGCGGTTGGAGCACGTCAAAAGCCTGAAGTTTGTACAAAATGCAGCCTTCACCAGGCGACGTTTTCAAGCGTGGTATAACCAGATAGTTGGACTCGTCTTGAAGGAAGATCACTACCAACGTTACGATGCGCCGGAAGCTCCACATATTGAAGCGACATGGTGGGATTGGCATTTCGACTCTGCTGAGAAATCATTCGAGTTCATTGCACGCCCAGCCAAGCCAGTTGTTCCTGAACCAGACTACATGGAGATGGTGGCTCCGCTCGTTGCGAAACTAATGAGCGAGATGGAAGATGGATTGTCATGAGGACCCTGACCCACCTTGCCCGGTACCGGGACTGGAACATGGGAAATATCGTACAACAATTTACACTACAGACTCCGAGCCAGATCGGTGCGAGTGTGTAGGTAATGCGAATGCGCGATCTCACAGAAGTCCGCGCAGCACCTGCATCCCCGTCCGCGTCTCGTCCGCACCTACGTGTGAGGTACTTTCGTGACTTTGTCGAATGTTTTGCAGGCGTCGAGGACGCAGTTATGTTAGCATCCTCCGAGTGCGACGCGAACCCGACTTAGGTAATGAGGCACTGTGGATACTCGTTCGTGCTGTTGACGCCGTCCCTCTGGTTTCCACGTACGCGGATGAAGACAACGGCTTACGCCGACATCTACCGCAAAGAGAATTACTTCCGATTGAGTCATGTTGCAGCAAAGGATTCTCGACTGTCTCTGTACGCAATGCAGATCATCACCGATTGCAATCGAATTGACGACAGATGGCGTATTATTACAGCTCAACAATTCAATCAGATACCCTCAACACAATACACCTTGGTCTCAGAATAGAACAATGATCAAGCATTCTACTACGATAGCTAAGACAGCCAAGACGGCTTGTTACCTGCCGGGAGTGGGTAAAAAGGTCACGTGCTACTGGGGAGGGCTTCGACACGAGTCTTCGTTGAGAATTCGCGGAGTGCCCCCAATGAAACGTCATCATCCGACACTAGTTGCCAAGGCATGTCAGATCGGACGCGTATCTCCGACGGGTCTTATCGGAAACAGTCTGTCGTTCATCTTGGACGCATTGGTGTACTACTGTACACTGCAAAGCTGCCATCTACGGGTGTTTTCTGAAGGCACAGGGTATACGTGCCCTGATAACAAGTTTATGCGGCGGGCAACCGTCATGTTCGTGGCTGGACCGTAGATTTGCAGCTCGGTCAAGGACCGAGCGATCTGTCTGGCTAGAAAAACTAAGCCACGCTAAGCATTGCCGCGGCCGCAGAGCCTCCTCACCACTAACGCCGAAGCTTGATACCGCAACTTCGAGACCCACATTTTGGTCACCTCACGATGGAGGCCCCATGTTTCTCGACAGGGTTTTCCAAGTCACCTGCCTGAACTTGGACCGCGTGGTGGAACGATTCGCCACTTTTACTGGGTCCTCTGCCATGTTCACTGCAGCACTAGTAGGGCTAATCAAGCCGTCGGCGCACCTGTATGGTGTTTTGGTCAAGCGTTTAGGCGTACAGTTGGGGAATCGCAGTAGGCAACAGCTCGATAATCCGGAGCACCCGGAGTATCGCCAACCGATGAGGAGCCCCATGGCAGAGCTACTCCAGCTTGGAGCCCGTGCACACACAGAGCAATAATGTGGGGAGGGGACTGAGTACAAGTAGTCTCAGTCCGCTACGTGGTCTTCCTTTCTTCAGTCTCTCTGCCGCTGGAAGTGCTGTGTTCAGGGTTGTTTTCGCTCTTCTAGCGCGCTTTCACACGCTCGACGCGAGGACTCCTTTCCTTCCAACAATCGCGGCCGCATTCGTCACTCGCATACCTTCTTCTCCCACCACAGACTTAAACAACAGATCCAACTCCTCACAATGGGTCTCCAGGGCGGTTCCCTGCGCATGGCGCAACTCCTCCTCGTTGTGATGCCGGCCTTTGTCCTTTTTGGGTACAACCAATCTGGCGTTGGTGGTCTCCTCTCTCTGCCCGACTGGAACGATCATTTTCCGACAATCGATACCGTCGATGCTACGGGCGCCGAAAAGTCACATAGATCCACTTTGCAAGGTGCAGTGGTATCATCCTTTACCATTGGTGCGCTCTTTGGTGCGCTGAGCTGCTCATGGGTTGGAGACGTCCTTGGCCGAAGAAAAACTACCTTTGTGGCTGCTATTCTTACCTTGATTGGCGAAATCCTTCAATGCACTAGCTTCCAGCTCGCCCAATTCATCGTTGGCCGCTTCATCCTCGGATGGGGAGTTGGCATGCTCAGCACGACCGTCCCGGTCTGGCAGTCCGAGTGTGCGTCCACCTCCAACCGAGGAAAGCACGTTGTTCTGGATGGGTGTTTCATTAGCTTGGGCTACACCCTCGAGGCTTGGATCAATCTCGCGTTCTACGAACAGGACAACCTGCCTCTGCAGTGGCGTCTTCCCCTGGCTATCCCGTGTGTCATCTCGTTAATCCCGATCGCTGCTGTGTTCTCGATTCCGGAGAGCCCGCGATGGCTTGTCAACAAGAACAGGGTTGAAGAAGCCAAGGCAAGTTTGGCCAGGTTTAAGGGAACGAGCACCGAAGACCCGGATGTTGTCGGTGAGATTGGGGGTATTGAAATGGCTCTTGAAGAGACTGGCAGAAGCGCGGCGAAGCTCTCCGACATTTTCACCAACGGAAAGGAACGCTTGTTTTACCGCTTCTCCCTCTGCATCTTCCTGCAGTTCCTCCAGCAAATGTGCGGAAGCAACCTTATCTCCACATACTCTACCGTAAGTTACACCTACATCTTGTTGTTTTAACCGTGCTAAACATCTTCCATAGATTATTTTCCAACAGGGTCTTGGCATGACTGGCGAAATGTCTCGCATTCTTAGTGGCGGTGCTCTCACGTGGAAGTTCCTGTCCTGCTTCGTCGCCTTCTTCACCATTGACCGATTCGGACGACGCAAGCTCTTCATGTTCAGCGGTGCCGGCATGGCTTGCTGCATGCTCGCCCTGGCCGTCGCTTCAAGCTATCCCAAGAGCAACAGGTCCGCTCAGATTGCCTCGGCCTTCTTCGTCTTCCTGTTCAACTTCTTCATCCCTATCGGATTCCTCGGTGCGAACTTTTTGTACTGCGCCGAGGTCGCGCCCACCCGCCTCCGTGTCGCTATGTCGGGTATCTCTACGGCTAACCACTGGCTGTGGAACTTCGTTGTGAACATGGTCACTCCGGTCGCGATCGAGACGATTGGCTGGAAGTACTACCTTGTTTTCCTCTGCATCTCCGCCATCATCATTCCCGTCGTATGGTTCTTCTACCCTGAGACCATGGGTCGCAGTCTCGAAGAGCTCGAGGTGATGTTCTCGGAGGGCAAGTCGATCACGGGCATTGTGCGCGAGTCACGGAAGCCCCTGAACGGGTCCCTCCTGCCGGAAAGGTACCAGGAGAAGCTCGAGAAGACGGAGGACGAGTTCGCTTGAAGGGGTTGACATACATGAGAGCATCGACAGAGTATTTATTTCCAGCAAGAGCTGGAAGATATGAATTATGACTTATGTACTGTTAGCGAGAACGAACTAGCTCATCAAAAAATGAGAAGCTTCGGGTGATACCGGGTTATGATCCACTTTGTTCCATGATTTCGTTAAAAAGCGCTCGCACAGGTTCCGGGCTTCATCGGACCATTCCATGAATATTGTGAGAATGTAGTAGGCGGCGGGGAGCCATGGCAAGTGGTGCAAGTCAAAATACGTGCGAGAAAGCGTAAAAGTGGGAAGGTACCACCAAGACTAACGGTTGTTTTGGTGGGTGTACGTTACATACGTCTAACCCTCAACACAATATTCCCTTGTGTCGTTACACCTTGCACTTCTGCTCTTACAGCTAGCTAATCATAGAGCTAGCGAGCCTCCTCTGCCGACACTGTGCATCTTCGTTTCTGTTCCCCTTCCGACACCACCCGGCTGCTTCATTGGTATCTTCCTCTAATCGCGGTGTTGCATCGTGGCATGCTTTGGCTTACCGATGCAGAGGAGGCTGAACCAACTCTGTACCGTATGCAGCTGCTCTGCGGTTCGAGGCCTCGTACTCAGCGCGGTCTTGGGACGTGGTTCACGCCCTCCGCCTTCGCGCTCAATTCCAGGTCTTCGCTGCATCCAATCCAACTTCGGATCTATGTTGGCTCACGCCCGGCACACCATAGATGCATCGAGCATTATAGTCTCCTATCACACGGCAGCAAGCCTCCTCTTGTCATGGAAGTTCAACATCTCTCCCTTCCTCGCGTTCCACATGTCCCGTAGCTGCTGCGGACCCGTCTTCCACGACTGATCATGCAACGCCACGACCTCCATTTCGAGATCCTGCTCATTCGGCCACGTCGCGCTCCACTTCCAGTGCAGCTCCCTCCACGGCATCAGGCCTTCCCTGCGGAAGACGTAGTTCAACAGACCCTGCTCCATGGTGTAGGTGTCGAAGCGGCCAACTAGAGCCATGACCGAGACCAGATGCTTGTAGATTTGCCTATCTGGTGCAACCAGGAAGAACCCTGCGTTGAAAGACTTTGTTTGTAGTGGCGGAGTAGGATGCTCTCGCTGGCCAGTGAGACCGTTGTCAGATCGAGCGGCAAAGAGCCAGTGAGAAGGTAGCTGTGACTCGCCCCATTTGACCTGGTCTTTGCGAAGCAGCGTGGGTGTCAACGTGACCACTTCAGGCTCGTCAAAGATGGGGTCGACAGGCCCTGTAAGCATGGTGTCGGGGTCCAGAAAGAGAATACGCTTGTACTCTGTCATTTCGAAGACGCGCAGCTTGTTGAATTGTTCCTTCCATCTTGCTTCTCCGGAGCGTATCCACCAGTTCAAGGGCACGTCTCGGACCTCGACAACAGTGGCGCCATCTTCACGCAGGGTGTCTTTCTGCTCTTTGGGCACGCTCTCTGAGCAGAGTACGATGAAGGTGGTGGCATTGGAATTGCATCTTGTCGACTCTGCGTGCAAAAGTTGGTGTGTTAGAATCCGTGTGGCGGTAAAGTATGAGTCGTCCGTTGCTTGTCCTGTGAGGAATGTTGCAATAGCGTGATCGGTCGCTGGGAGGTGGGCAGTTGAGTTGTAACCTCTGTAGGACGATCCAAGATACGGTTGACGATCGTGTGAGGCAGCTCGTAGACACCAGGTGATCCCCAGCAAGGCTGTCAATACAACAACGAAGAATAGTCTAAATTTGAAGATCATGGCGCGGTGGACGTGGTAGGTGCGAACAGAGATGGATCCATGAGGTTTTGATTCTTTGAGAAGAGATTATCCCTGATCGTGTGATAGCATTGTGGTCGTACCTTGTTACCCGCTGCTGTGAGTGTTTCTCGTACTCGGGGTAGGAAGTACATTTAATTGTACGCATGTAGGCAAATGCGGCCCCGCGTAACATGCCGACGCGTGCGCATTGCTGCGGCCGCACATCTCAACAGGAGAAAGGTACTGATTGGCGACAGAGGAAAGCCCTTGGCATCGTGCTTAGGAGGCTACTCCAAGGTTTCGCGTTACAGGAGGCCTTACGGCCCCGAATCACCCGTTCTGTCCGAGCTCTTGCAGAACGAGGTGCGGTATGATTAGTCCTCTAACCTTCTGCAGCTGTGCCGCATGGCTAAGCATCCCCTGGAAAGGGGATGTCGTGGCGGAGCACCGTTGCAGAGTGCGGAAACAGTTTGCGAGCCATCACCGTTCGCAAACAAGTCTCCGCGCCCTGGTCCGGTACGCCTGGGGTGCATCGGTAGCTAAGCCATGTCGGGCGCGATCCACGTGGGCTTGCATGTTCCCCAGTTTGTATGCCTCTCAAGGTTGACTCCATCGTACTGACTGACATAGGAGAGGGGGCAAAAGCTGTACGTGCGATAGACTGCTAAAATACCGATACCGGCAGTTTACTTCTTCCCAAATATTCCTTTCGATCATCCTGGGTAGGAATCTTTCATCGTTCAGCCTCACCAAGGGATGGCCATAGCCAAAGGCGCAGTCATGGTGCCCAGGTGGTTGTTTTCGTTTGGAGATGGATGCGCCACCAGGCCGGCGATTACGGGGCGCAGCGCCCGGCTTTTATTTAGTAACGATGTAAGCAGCCCCAAGATGGCCTTAAGGCGCCTCTAGCTATTTAGTAGGTTTTACTATACACTTGAAAAAGATAGGGCTGAGGCGAGAGCCCTGGAGGAATCTTGTAAGTTGTTGTGCTTCTTTGCAGGGACTTCCACAAGACAATAGCCTTCCCATAGGAAGTCCTGGCCAACGCAGAATGCGATCACGTGACTTTAGCGGACGCATGCCAAAGAAGAGACATCGCAATATGCTTGCTCGAATGACTTCTTGAATCATGTGGCACCGATTGTCAAAAGAGAAACAGCATCAGACACTATGATGCTTACAAGTTTCACAACGCAAGTCCTGGGCATACGTCATGTGGAGCGCAGGTTCCGCTTTTCATTGGATCTTCTGTTCCGTACAACCCCCCACACTGTATGGTGAGCAACAATACCTAGCATGAATAGATCCTCGATAACAGCAACACGATAATCTTTGATCCGAGCCTTGGAGAACACATTCGATGGCTGATTACACTACATGCACTCTAAGCGACTGATGACCCAGGAGCACATGTGCATGCATCATGCGCCCTCTTCGGCCTCTTCTCCCAGCCAAACGCGGATACGAGAAGCCACCGTTACCAACGGCCGGAGTACCATCGAAGAAGCGAAGCACCTTGGCATGCGCCAGCTGTCGAGACAGGAAGATTAAGGTCATCGTGCCAAGCTGAAATGTGTACTTTGTTCTGACTACTAGTAGTGCGATGGCGCACGGCCAGCCTGCAGTACCTGCAGTCAACGGGGTTTGGCCTGCGACTATGTCGATATCGGATTCCGGCAAATTAAGGAAAAGTACGAAATGTTGCAGAAACAAGAGTCTGACAGTCAAAGTTTCCTGGCGCTTATCAAAGCTGGAACGGAAGAAAATGCTGTGGAGGCTATCAAAAGTTTGAGAGCAGGAAGAGACATCGGAGCCATTGTGGGCCGGCCAGACAGCAGGAATACCGTTACTCCATCTGCTCTCGACACATTTGGTCGACCACCTGCGACAACAAGCCAGCAACCCGCATCAGGTCGATTAACTGATAGTCGAATGGCATCCCAGCCAGTATTGGGAGACGGTGCCTTACAGCGCGAACATGATGCCCTGGAAGAGAGAGCGAAGATGTTGCAAGAGGTCTTGGACCTTCTTAGGTTCATTGACAACACCATTGTTTACACAATCAACACTAACCGCTCCTAGGTGCATGCCTGAAGACGCAGCCCAAAGCCTTCTGCGCGAGCTGCGGTCGGCTCCAGAAATCGCCTCTGTGCTCCAGATGGTCAAGGGAGGTACTCTTGAGAAACGATTGTCGGAACAGAGGACTGCGCGCTCGTTGCTACCATCGCTACACTCGACCTTAGAATTTGAGCTAATGGTACGGTATCCTAAGACTTATCCCGCCCTAGATCGCTCCCACAACTCGGGCCTTCTACAAGGACTTGTTGGAGGGATGGGTAATGAAACATATCAAGACCCGTGGGCATCGGATCCGGTCAACAGTTGGGATTTCCCAGTTGATGGAACCAAGTCTCCGAAATCCCAAAGCAGGACCTTTCCTCAGCTTATGTCAGCTGATCCAGGTTTGGCAGATCGTACTTCAGAAAGTAGTCCTTATTTTGATTCACGATTATCGCGACTCAACATCGAGTTTTGGACAAATGTAGAAGTCACCAACGACTTCGCGGCACAGGCCATCTCGACATATCTCGAAACAGATCACCCACTCTTCGGGTTTTTCAATGCTAGTCTCTTTATTTCTGATCTGGTCGAATGCAAGTTCGTGTACTGTTCCGCGTTCCTAGTCAGCTCCCTGCTCGCATTCGCTTTTGTAAGTTAGTCACTTCGGCTCGGTCCGGGCCGACCTCGACATTGGATCTTGGTCTCATTAGAATAGATGATACATGCGGCGAAAGACCCCAAAGCATCTACATTGAGCCGGGAGTTCGAAGATGAAGCCGAGCTTCTCTGGCGCGTTGAGCGAAGAGCCGACACCCTACCAGCACTTGCTGGCATAAATTTTCTGTTCTTGTCAACAGGCTCGCATGGCAAAGACAAAATAGCTCAACAGTGCATCAACGATGTTGCAGACATGTCACGGAGAATGAAGCTATTCGACGTCCCAGATAGACTCACAGCGGCCGATATTGCATGCGACCCAGAAATTGCCCAGATCGCCACAGCGCAGACTGCGTGGGCCTCGTACAACCATCTTTGGTGAGCATGACATGCAATCGATCTTGCTTTTAACATCGAAGCTAAGGTATCACACTAAACAGCATGCAGTCAGTATTTTACCTAAAGGCGCCCATTGAGACCCCACCAGCCATCCCGATACCCGTATGCTCGCCAAACGAAGAAGCTCAGATGCGGATCGACCGGACTTTCCCAGCCTTCTCCGCATTCTGGGTCATTGCTTCAGAAATAATTTTTATATACCGTCAAGAAACGGAACGTCATCCGCCAGCTGCATTCGCATACGCCAAGTATCGGAAGTTGCTCTCATGGGCGAACCATCTCTCTGGGTTCATGGTCCGCGGAGTGCATAATGAGGCACATGTTCTCGTGTTTCAGTAGGTACTCTTGCACATAGGGGCTAATAACCACTAACGATCATCCAGCATGTTTCTGCACGTCATCATCCTCGACATCTTCCGCCCCTTCGTGCAGGAGGAGAAGCAACACGATTTCCAAAAATGGCACCAATATGTCATGTCGCCCAACGCCATCTTCGCTGCATCCCTCAAACAGCTCAAGAGCCTCGTACTGGCCCTCAAAGCACAGTCGCCCTTAACAGTCACTTGGCACTCTGCGCTACTTTACGTTGCGAATGCTTCATTGAAGAACACGTCCGACCCCGAATGGCGTTTCTACTTCATGGCCTGCATCGATAGCTATCAGCAGATTTACCGCTCGTATCCAGTGGTCTCCATGGTAGTGCAAAGTCTGCTTATGCTCGCGGTGCGTCAGAAGGCACTGACTGGCGCCGAGGCACGCGACGTGATGCGCAAAGGGCCCCAGACGTATCAGGGCGCGATGGGCGGCTGGTTCGTCGTTGACCCCGATATGGCGCTCAAGGGTAGCGAGGACGCAAATGCGGATGTCATTACGAGAGAGTTTGATGACCTGATGTTGTTTGATGAGTTCACTGAGGACGTTGTCTAGAATAATCATGCTCCTGCAGTAGGAAGTATACATCTTACATATATATATTTAAACTTTTCCCGAACAGTCACTCGTACCTTGTTGAATCTCACCACCAACTTCTTCCTGACAGGCTGCCGGCCTTCCTCCTCACTCTGCAGCATCCCCTCTTTCTCTATCTGCTCGCCCACCATAGTCTCCCACCTCGCATACACAGCCACGACATACGTTTCATAACCAGCATTGCAGAATCTCGTCAAAACACCCTATCGCTCCCTTGCCAAAAGCCAACCACCTCCGCATCTCCTCTAAGCGCTCGGTGGACGACGAGAGCCACCGGTCTGGAACTCACTTCCTCGAGTAGAAGAGGAACAGAATCTTTGGCGGGTAGCACACCGCGGGAGAGATGAATAGTCGTACAATATGGGATGTAATGGCCTTGTATCACGGTGCCCTCGGGGTTGTGGAGCGCCACATCAGTCCTAGGTCTACGGTGTACACCCTTATTGTCTCGGTAAGGATAGCATCGAGGAGAGGGAGTGCGTCTAGCGCTCTGATATCCTTCGTGGTAGAGGATGTGGGAATGGTGTATACTTCGGCACGGAGGCGACATTGCATCCCGTACATGGTGTGGGCGAGGGCGGCGAGGAAGCGGTCCGACAATTCGGTTGCAAAATGTTCACCACCTGTTCCTTGGCTCACCAACAGGACTCCTTTCTCGGTTCTGTTTTGGTGGGTGGAAGAGCAGAGCGAGATCATTCATAATTCTACGCACACCCTCGCTCCGTATTTCTCACCTCCTGCTTACTCTTTTTATGCGTTCTATCATGTGGATCTGCCGGCACACTAATTAGATTCCTCCTTCCATAGTTCATAAATTCTTCGACCACCGGTCAGGCCACATAACCGCCCTTAGAATGTACACCTTGTACGCTGCTTTCCAGCTCGCGACCGAGACTTCGGCGATATCTTGATCCACCAATATTAGATGGCGAAGGGGTTCACAAATGGAACTGCGCCCATCAAGGAGAGGAGGAGGGGTCGAAGAAAGAGATGGAATTTGAAGTAGGTAGCCAGGCCAACGAGAGCCACGAGAAAAATGTTAGAAAACAGACATTTTAAGGGATAGAAGTGACGCTGATGGAGTATTACCCATCTGCTTCCCTGGAAGTAGAGGAAGGGTTTTTCGTCTAGAAAGAAAAACCAAGCACGACTACGTCTTTCATGAAGATCATGATTCTTCCGCGCATCCGCCGCTGTGACGACGAGCCTGGGTCCTCGAACGTAATCTAAGTCTGGTACGGCGAAGTTTCATATTGGGAGCGCTGACCTGCGCAGCGTAGTATGAAGACGCCAGTGTGCGACCGCCTGGGCTGCATAATCAAGTCGGTGTGTGGCTGAAGTGACGACATCAGGGTACAATCCGCCACTTCCGCTTCACGCGGCTTCAGATCTGGGCCCGCGAGGCATAGCTGGCTGCAAAGATAAGCCGCGCTTTCCGGAGTGCTTGAAGTCGTAGCGGGTTAGCTTTGTAGAGGGTGTTAGCATTGACTGACTATAATTAGTAGTTGTACTACAGTAGTGGATTTTCCATCCAATGTCAAGCGCCGTGCAATGAATGGCGTAGAAGCGCTTCAGAGGAAATGGACGATGGTCACAACTTGCGAAACAAAGCATCCTCTCTTATAGACAAACATTTCTCGATTGTCGATATTTGATCGAAGTGCCACACCAGTAAACAACGGTCCAAGGCTCAGCCACTGCTAGTTTTGAATACATGTAGACCGGCGTCAATTCATCAATTCGCCCAGTCATCAGCCGCACGCAAGTCCTGCGATTCGCAGACCTAACCCTTCGCCCCCTACGTGTCCATTGCACATAATAACATGGACAAACACACGCAAGTTTTCAGATAGAACCAAACCCAGATGTAAGCAAACGTGACCGAAGCAAGCGCCGCCGGATCCTTCGTCGTCGGCGCAGAAGCAGTAGAAGCGGGCCGGAAGCCTCGTCATTGTAGGATAAGTAGAAAGAAATGAACATCATAGGTAATAGGGAAAGAATACATTGGATCCGGCGATGGAAGTCGGTTATTTTCATTCGTATTGTATCTCGCATTAGCAGGTCCGTAAGCTCGTGGCCGTGGCAGCTGGGCATATCGCGATCGCATTCGAGGAACGGTCCGGAGGCGGGAAGCGGGCGGGGTCCGCGCGGGGTTGGCTAGGTAAAGCGGCCTAAGCTGGGACGTTAAAAGTCCGGGAACAAGTGACCGTGTCTGTGAATGTCATTAGCGCGCATAGCCGTGGATTGAACGGGAGCAACATACGGGTCATCTCCGGTCTGTCCATATGCTTCTGTCTCTTCAGGGTACTTGTCGAACTGGCTGGCATCGCCGACGCCGGCTCGTACCGGCGGAACGTATGGAGCATCGATGTCCTTCTTCTGCAGTCTTTCCCACGTCACCTCGGCAAACCAGGGATGATTCATAACGTCCTTGCTACCTCCGTGGAGATTGCCGAGGCGTTTTGTGAGGTCGGGAGTGATGAGCTTTTGCAGCAGATCTTGAGCATCGGGGTGGATGTAGGGCGGGTATTTTACACGACCCTTGAGAATGTTTTCGTAGATCTTCATGGGCGAACCACCGTCCCAGAAGGGCGTGAAACCGCAGAGCATCTCGAAGATAAGAATGCCAAGAGACCACCTGTGCGCTTGTTAGTCACGTGTTAAAGACCGCCTAGACACAAAGAACGTACCAATCTACAGATTTGTTGTATCCCTTCGATGCTACTACCTCAGGCGCTAGGTAGTCGGGTGTACCGCAAAGCGTCCAGGTGATGTCAGGCACTTCTTTCGCGAAACCGAAGTCGGTGATCTTCAGGTGGCCGTGTCGATCGAGCAACAGGTTCTCAGGCTTGAGATCTCGGTAGATGATGTTCTGCGCGTGCAGATAGTCGAGGGCAAGGGTTACTTCGGCTGCGTAGAATTTCGCGACTGGATTCGGAAAACGCTACAACAAGGATAAGCACAAGCTTAGAAGTAGTGGGGTCGAGCTTACCTGTGACTTTCTCAGCAAGCTGAAGAGCTCGCCGCCTTCGACGAAGTCCATGACCATGTACAGGTTCTTCGAGTCTTGGAAGGTGCCCCACAGGGTGATTAAGAATGGGTGTTTGACCTGCTGCAGCATGCGGCGCTCATCGTTGGTGTGTTCAACCTGCTTCATCTTGACCACCTGGGCCTTCTTCAGCACCTTAACGGCATAGTAGCGCTGGTTGTGCTTGGACTGCACGAGGTGCACGCGCCCAAAGCTGCCGGTCCCGAGCGTGCGCTGGATGGCGAAGTCCTGCAAGGTGTACTTGCCTTTGGTGACGCGCGGCTGGGACGGCGGTTGCTGAATTTGTACGCCGCCATTAGTGGGCTTCGCTGTTTGCTGCTGCTGCTGCTGCTGTTGCTGGTAATTGGAGGGCGAAGCATTGGCGTTCGTGGGGTGTATCAGGTTCTGGATTGAGGGGACATTGTGTGAGGCGGACTGGTACGGCTCGGGAGAGGCTTGAGGGGTCGCGTACGCTTGCTGGGGCTGGGAGTTCATTGAGTCGACTTGCTTGTGCGAGGCCCCGCCAGAGGCCTGAGAGCTCTGCGAGGGCTGCTGCACTTCCGGATTGGTCTTGGTGGAGGTCTTACTAACGACCGAGGCGCGCTTTGTCTTTGAGGAGGTTGGGAAGATGGGCGAGGTGGTGTCCTTGACGGGCGAGGTCGGCGAGTCTGTGGAGTCCCGCGTCTTCTTCTTCTTCAGGAACCCCAAAGAAGGCATGTGAGCGGTCGAAGGAATGCCTGGCTGCGGTGGCCGCGCCCTGGCCTAGCTGGCAACAGCTGTCGTCCGCGGCGGGGTCGCTGGAGAGGGCGGAATGGCGCGCAGGCGGGGGCGGTGTGGGCGGTTATACGCGCGCGACGAGGGGAATTGCAGGTGGTGGAGGGCCGTTTGGCAGGGTCATAGGACGGCGGCGTGCGCGTGGGCGGCGCAGGATGTGAAGGAGTCGGGTGGTGTTGGGGAGGCTGGGTTCGGACTTGAGGCTCGCGCTCAGCGGGGAAGCAGCGAACCAGGTGCAGGGCGACACTGGACAAGGGAGTGGGCATCGATCGGCTAGTCTCGACAAAGCTTCCGCTACAAAGAGCTGCGGCCTTGCATCATCGCCGACCCGCTGTGCGTGGTATTGTGCTGCGAATTGTGCTTGTTGGCGCGCTCAATTGGGGCCTGTTGCCTGCTGCCGCCTATATATGGGCCCTCTGCGCCGAGCAATCCATCTGCAGTTCCTCCGGTGAGCGGCGTTTGCGCTCGCGAAGCCGGTACAGCGCCGCCGCATTTCTCTACACATCCAATAATCCCGTTGCGTCACGGCGACGATCCCAACGAGTGCAGCGCGTCGAGACTCGGAGCGGCCTTGTTCCCATCAACATCCATGCTCCAGTGCGCCGTCTAGCCCAGCTGATCCCGAGAAACCCTCCTACCCCGGCACAGCCGCATCCCGCCTTCCAAATATATGTACACTCGTCTCCCGCCGCGCCGTCGGGGACAACATTAACATCGCACAAAAGGGTATAATACATGCGATTATAATTCCGCGGGCGTCTCCGCACGTGGTTGCTCGGCTGCCGGTGGCATCCAGTACTCCAAATCCAAACCGCACACCTCCATGCGCCGCTGCCGAAACATTTCATACACGTTCTCCCATGCCTCTCTCGCCTGAGCATTCTGTGGCCGCAGCTTCGCCCGCTCGGCGTACGGTATGTCGTACTCTGGGCCAGGCATGTCGGGCTCTTGTAGCCGCACAAAGGTTGTCATCTCGTTGAACGACGTAACATTAAAGTCGTCACTGGCTTCACGCAGGCTGTGCGATTCGTACACCACGTTGCCCATCGAGAGTGTCGTCTCTGAGATCAGCGACTCTGGCGAATCGAATTGGTGACGGAGAAGGCCTAGATCTGTCGAGGGCTGCGACTGCCGTGTCTCTTTCAGCTGCCGATGTGTTTCATGCGAAGGACTTATTAGAAGCAGCGACGTTGACAGCTCCTTCCTTTCGGGCGTCGCTGGGAACGCGTTCATTGGCTTGGACTTGGAAAAAGCAAGCAGCGAATCCAGCGCTGAAGCATCGAGTACCACGCCAGGCGCCTCCAGATACATGAGTCTCTCGTAAGTGGTGAGAGAATACATGGACGTCAGTGAATATGAGGATGCGAGAGACTCTAAGACAGGTTTATTAGCCACTGACCACTGCGATGGTTGCCATTCTTACCATCTGCACCCGCTTCCGTAGTCTCCATTGGCACAAGCCTTGCGCCATGGCGACGCGCAGCGGTCCTCAGCAGCCGCTTCGTCGTAGTCATCTGCGGATCCCACTCCTCCTCGCTCGTCTCCTTCAGCCACGCCTTTGGGAACATCAATATTCGCTTCGCGGGACTTCTTTTTTCCTGCAAATCCGCCAGCAGCATTACCGCGCTGCACAGCTCGCTGTGGTCCTTCACAACCTGCACATAGCCTAGTCTACTCCAATCGATCGTCGGCGCCTCAATCATCTGCTGCACCGACTCGTGCACCTCTAGCCGCTCTCCCATACCCCTCGCCCATTTCACATCTAGAGTCGGTGCTTGTAACGGTACTTGCGCGGGCAGCGGTTTTGGGAGTCGAGGCTTGATGGCTAATTGCAACGAGTGCACGTATCGTTGCTGCAGAACATATCCACTTAGAAACAGCGCGAGGGTGAATAAGAATACTGCTCATCTGTCAGCCCTGTCGGACAACCTCATCCTTCTCGTTCACTCACCTATCACGGCAGAAAATAAAATAGAGACAGAGCCCTGCGAGAGCAGGAGCTTGCCCATTTTCAGATGGATGTAAGATACGATATGCAAGGGGGTATCAAAACGCTAGATCAGGACATGAAGAATGTAGTTGCGCTCGTGCAAGTGTATGAATGTGAACGGGAACAGTGTGACGTTGTACGCATGTCCCGCTGCTACGGTCTATTTACGCATCTGGTTGGAGGAGCAACGCTATCGATAAGGATGCTTGGCGACATTTTCCGCCCGCGCTCACAGCTTCATCTGCGAAAAGTAAATTACCATCTCATTGGCACAAGTCTCTCGCGCAATCACCAACATAATCACCGCGCTCGGAAATTCATTCGCCTCATACCCACATACACCGCAGCTCATTGCACGGGACGTTACTACTCGACTTAAACACCACGAGTTCGATCACCTCTCGATCACGTCTATCGGGCCGCTACTCCGACTCTGCGCGCGGACCGCACCCACCCTCGTCTACAACTATCGCTCACTCGCTCTGCCTGGTTATGTGATAGCCCAAACTCCACATCCACAGCGCGCGCCCAACGTACGCCATGGCAACGATCAAAGCAGACGCGAGCAATGTCTTCGATGATCGGGGCTATTCTGGACCGACCGTTCGCGGAGGCGTCAATCCCGTCACTCTCATTGAGAAAGCTATGAGAGAGCGAATAATCGAGTCAATGTACTGGAAAGAACAATTGTTCGCAGTCAATGAAGCCATGATCTGCGACCGCGCCATCAACCTCACACACGTAGGCGGAAGCGTAAACAATCGACCTACGCCCTTCATATGCATTCTACTCAAGCTTCTGAGTCTGGTCCCTTCAGAAGAGATTATTCTTGAGATGCTGAATTACGAGGAAGACGAAGAACCGGAGAGCGGCGATGAGAACGACAATAATGATGGAGAACGGAATGGAAATACAGAGGATAGGTACGAGAAAGAGAAAGCTGGGAAGGTGGGCAGTTTCAAGTACTTACGCGCCCTGGCGGCATTCTACGTCCGACTCACCATGGAGCCGGTTCAGGTGTACAAGACGTTAGAGCCACTGCTGCTTGATCGCCGAAAATTAAAGTATCGGCGACAGGGCGGTTTCACACTCACGTACCTGGACGAGTTCGTCGACAATCTGCTCACGCAGCCTCGCATTTGTGGTACGAGTTTACCGGCCTTACCGCCAAGAAGCGTGCTTGAGGATCTGGACTTACTGGATCCACGAGAGAGCCCATTAGCGGACGAGGTGGATGAGATGGATGAAGATGATGCCAGGAGTAGAGGGAGCAGATACAACAGTAGCAGCAGGAGTCGCAGTCGCAGTCGCAGCTGGAGCCGGGACCGGGACAGCAGGAGTAGAAGTAGAGATCGCAGCTACAGTCGCACGAGGTCAAGAAGTCGAAGTCGAAGTTCACGTATGGTCAAAGATAGGGACAGTAGAAGCAGGAGCAGAAGTGGAGACTATAGGAGGCGGTCGAGAAGTGTGGACAGCCGCGATGGACGATGAGGATAAGCCGATGTATAATATACCCCTCTTATTCCTGCGCATCCATACTTACGGCATGTGGTACACTGTCCAATCGAATATACTATACACGAAGTGAAGGCAATAGTACGGCTCTGCGATTAGCTCACCAGCCAGCACGGAGCAGGCGTCTCTGGTACTTCTCCGAGGGAAGGGATGCTTAGACCAACACCACGACTTCTCAATGTCTGTAACACGGCTCAATCAGGGAGAGGTTAACCCGGGCTCCGGAAGATTCACTCGTATGTCTCTTCCGCGACAAGTGCTCGCCGTAGGCGTGATCATAGACTGCGTAGAAAGTACGGTGTTGCAATGCTGTGAGGCGGTAAGTCATTCGAGCCTCATCGAAGAGTTGAGCTCCCCCTGTGCAAGCATATCGAATTACTGATAAATCCAACGGATACTCGACTCAGCAGCTGTTTCCATTCGACAATCCTTCTCCGCGGAAAACGCTGCAATGTCGGAAGGTCCCACCCTCTCGACGAGACGGAGATGCACCTCGAGAACAGCTGAAACCTGCACCCTACCAAGCTGCACGGCAACGCATTACCAGACCACAAGAGCCGGACGCCGGTATTGAAAGGGCAGCCACAAGCGGCCAGTGCACACCTCTCTTCCGGAAGTTGTCCAAGGCGACCTTCAAGCTCTCCAGTAATCGAGGATGGTACGCCTGCACTACAGCATGAGCTCCCAAGAAAGATACTGCTTAGTGTCTTATGTCCAAGCCTCTAGAAGGCGTTGCGTCTTTCCGATGGAAGATAAGATTGTTTGGACAATTAAATTGGTGCCTCGTGGTGTTAGACAGGCGCACTTTACTTTTCGTATACGCTTCTCCATCAATAGATCAGCGCGGAACGAAAGCCGAAGTCAGGTAAGAAGACATTCCCACATCCGTCCCATCGCTTTTTAGCACCAGCTTTTGCTCTGGGTTGGTGTGCATAGGCGCCTTAAATTCAACATTGCCAGCCTGAGAGTATGATCGTCCATGCTCGTCTCTATCACAAGCAAAATCTTGGAGCAGCTCGAGCATGAATCCTGTCGCTCATTGAAATGGAAGTATCGTCCTTGGCGTCCAGGTTTCCGTAATTTCGATATATCGATATATTTAAGCTTTGCAATCGAAAACTAGGCGAACGACTTTGAAAAGTAACGACACATTTGTTTGCCAACTACAACCGCGGAGATGTCGCACACACGTTGTATAGAGCTGATTTTGGGGGGCGACCGGATAGGTCTAGCGTCTGATGTCCGCCAAGAGATAAGAGCGCCGCTCCGCCAGCTTAGACGAGCCTCCGGTTTTCACCGTCAAAACGTTCCTCGACCAATCTCATGCGTTCGAAGAAAGATTACACCAACGCCGGCCCACGACACGGTACCTTTTCATGCGGTAACGGACCACCATACTGTTCTTGCATGAACGCCGCGAGGCTGCATAGGCTGGCGTCCGTGTAGCGCACCCCTGCGTTGTTCATCCCACATTCTTATATAAGCCGCCTCAGAGATAAGGAATGGGAGATCCCTCGCTATCTAGACTCTCTTATCCTGGGGTAGAAGCATAGCCCAACCTGGCGCTCTCGTTGAGTTGCACTACGAGTCTTGACTTTGCTTGGTTTTGCGTCAGTGATGTTCACCGCGGAGGTACCAGTTGAAGCATTTGGAGGATCAATCGTATAAACACTCGTCCGTTCTTATCTTTTCCCTGCAGCAAGTGCGAGCTCTCCACCTGCAGCATCACCCTATTCACCCCTGGGCAAAGACCCCAGTTATCCTCACCAGCGACTTGTTCCCCACACTCCGCAGAAGCCATCCGCATTTCCCCAAATCAACAGCATGGGTTTCGAAGTGAGACAGCTCTGGAGTGCCCCAGAGATTAACCCTATCACAAAGAAGGCGAAGTCCATTCCCGTCTTCAATCCTGTCGACAAATATGGAAGAGTGTTCTTCTTCTCATACCTCGGATTCTTCATTGCGTTCTGGTCATGGTATGTTTATTTCCTCGCTTATCTGTAGTCTAATGTGTGCTAAGCATGGTGCGTTGTAGGTACGCTTTTCCGCCATTGGTATGATAATTCCCGATCGCGCTACTGCAGTCCAACCTAACGTTGCAATAGCTGTCCGTCACGATCAAGAAGGACATGCACCTTTCCCAGAATGAAGTCGCAAACTCCAACATCATCTCACTAACGGCTACGCTCGTGATGCGTGCTGTTGCTGGGCCTCTATGTGACCGATATGGACCACGGTACACCTTCGTCGGCTGCTTGCTCCTTGGTGCAATTCCGTCAGCTTTGGCTGGTACAGCACATAATGCGGCTGGCCTGTACGCAATCAGGTTCTTCGTTGGCATTCTCGGTAGTACGTTCGTACCTTGCCAGGTGTGGACGACCGGTTTCTTCGACCGCAACGTTGTCGGTACGGCAAACGCTTTGGTCGGCGGCTGGGGTAATTCTGGTGGCGGCATTACTTACTTCGTTATGCCCGCCATATACGACTCGTTGTAAGCACCCTTCCATCGTTGCAGTCGAACGACTCGCTGATCCTACCGACTAGGGTGCACAAGCGTGGTCTAACTCCGCACGTTGCGTGGCGCGTGTCCTTTATTGTGCCGTTCATCCTTATTACTGTGGTCGCAATCTCTATGCTCTTATTGACAGACGACACGCCCACCGGCAAGTGGTCCGACAGGGAGAGTGCCATTCCTATAGAGCAGCACCACACCGCCATCGTTTCAACACCAGGCCAACTTACCGACAAGACTGCTGCAGGGTCTATCTCATCGACCGATGACAAGGAGAAGAGGGGCCTAGGTGCTGGCGCGGATGTGGAAGGGAACACCGCCGTTGGGCAAAGCGATAAAGCAATCGACACAGCCCACGCTGAAGTCGTCGTCACACCTTCAGGCAAGGAGGCACTGAAGGTTCTCTGCTCTCTGCAAACCATCACCCTGATGGCCGCATATGTCTGCTCGTTCGGTGGTGAGCTTGCGATCAACTCCATCCTCGGCTCTTACTACCTCAAGAACTTCCCATACCTTGGACAGACAACATCTGGTCGCTGGGCCGCCATGTTCGGCCTCCTGAACATCATCACCCGTCCCACTGGAGGGTTCTTTGGCGACCTAGTCTTCAAATGGTCGGGCCACAACTTGTGGGCGAAGAAGTTCTGGATCCATTTCGTGGGCGTCATGTCTGGGGTCTTCTTAATCGTCATCGGCAAGCTTGACCCCAAAGATCTTGACACTATGATGGGCCTGATCGCGTTGATGGCTATCTTCCTGGAGGCGGGCAATGGTGCTAACTTCGCTCTTGTCCCACACGTGCATCCTCATGCCAACGTACGTACCTATCGAGCAACTTATTCGTCGAACGATATTCTAATCAGCTGTAGGGTATTGTTTCTGGCCTCGTCGGCGCGAGCGGCAACCTTGGTGGTATCATCTTCGCTATCATCTTCCGCCACAACGGCACACACTATGCGCGTGTTTTCTGGATTATGGGATGCATCATCATTGGTCTGAACCTTGTATTTGCCTGGGTACCCCCGATCTCCAAAGCTCAGCGGATGCGTGGTGTAGGCTTGTGATCATCCGCAGGTGCTGCTTCTGAATTGTGCAAAAAGATAGAACTAATACTATGGACATACGTTCGTACTTTTACCCGTGGACAGCAAGTTTCCACGTGTTCCATGTGTGCAAATTTCGCGTCGACCAATCGCGAATCTCATCGTGGCTGAGGCTCTCCATTCGTACTAGCGGAGCTTGGCTCGTGCAATTTTCCCTCTGGAGCCGAGGCGTAGCTTTTTGCACTCACTCCTCCCTCTTCTGCACTTTGTCGCGTAAGCGTGCCAGTGCAATAAAAGGACTGCACATCTTTAAAAACTTGGCCCTTCTATTCCTTTACCTTTTGACGATTTTGAAGAAGTATTGATTGCACATAGCTTGCCAGACTGGTGCCTCTCTCGTACGGGTCACGAGCGCAAAAGTGACCTCTCAATGTTGCACATTAGCAACACGAGTAGATCATAAGGAGGCTTGCAGGCACTTGTTGATGTCCGCAGATCCTGGTTCTTCGAGACGTGGTAGTCAATTTGCACAATTTACAAGATGACAAAAGACTGGGACGCAGTCAAAGGAGGTAAGGCTTGCTGCCCAGGTGCGTACTCTCTTTCACTGACACTCTTTCTTGCTTGCACAGAGATCGAGGATCTCTCCTGGGTACAAAAGAAGAGACTTGACGAGGTGCGAAAGATCATGGAGAGGAAACATGGGTTCAAGGCTTCGTGAGTCGTGCTCGTACGATGTGCATATTCAAGACAATCTAATTTGAAACCAGCACACGAGCATATCGCATGAAGTTGAGGTAAGGTTTTGATCAGATGTATGCTTGTAATGGCTGGTTACTAATCTTCGATTATACAGTGAATGGGGATTGACCACAAGGGCATCAACAAGAAGGTCGGGTAGAGATCCGAAAGGCAAGAAGCGGAGGCGACAAGATGAAGAAGAAGAAGATGATGATGATGAAAGTGACAGTGACTCGAACGTGGCAGAGCCTTCTCGCATTCAGGACCAATCTAGGGATCAAGAGAGAACACCGCAAGACTCGACCAACTTGGAGACCGTTCTGCTTGGTAGAGCAACGGTAAGGGCAGTTTCGGTAGATGCGGACGGAGATGTCGATACTACTACAAGTACACTGCAAGGCTCGGAAGAGTAAGTAACTTGGTCACAGCACAGGAACTACGCTCTAATACTTCGCAGTCTGCTCCCACCAGTCCCATACGAAGACACGACTATGTCTACCCCAAACGCTGACGCCCCTTCGAGGACCGCGGAAGGGGTCAGAATAAATGGCGTTATCATGAGTATGCTCGCAGCTGTCTTAGAGAGCGACTCTCAGAAGCTTGAATCGCTAGTCATGCGACACCCAGGCCACATGAATTTCCCGATCGGGCAGCCGTTCGATATCCCTGGCAGTCGCTTTTATAACCATCCCACAATGAGCGCTTGTGTCATTCTTCAGCATCCGGGGCAAACACTACTAGACATCGCGAGCGCCATACCTACTGGTCCGGTAATGTGGGTGCTGTTGGCACATGGGGCGAAAGGCTCGAAGCATCCTCTCGGCACTGACCTTGCCCTCCATAATGCGATAAAAAATGGGCGCACCTACACAACGCAGGCATTGCTAATGAATAATCGCTCGAATGTGAACGGAGAACCAGGCACGATGTGGAAGCCGATCCTTCAGGCTGTCTACTGGAACCAACCCCAGATCGTTCGCTTACTGATCGATCGAGGTGCAAACGTCAATGAGACATCTCCATGGGTAGATGGCACGCTGAAGAACGCGCTGCTTCACTGCACAGAGAGAAGACAAAGGGAGTTCCTCAATCCAGCAGTGAAAGAGAATTGCAATCAGATCCTCAAAGTGCTACTCAATGCTGGTGCTGACATCCATGCTCAACCAGGTGGGGAAGGATCGCCAACCGTGTTCGACACATTTCTTCGCCCATGGCAGGGCGACCCTCATTGGATCTCGAAACTCAGTCAAGAGGAGATGGAATGCCTAGAAGCATTCATCAGGAAGGGCGCAGATCTTAAGACGCCATTCATGGGCTTCACTTGCGGCGCACACTCATATAATCACTTCCAGCACCAGATGCTTTGGCATGCCACTCCAGCTGCAGCCCGCTTGATCGTTGATCACGCTTCGCCGACACCTGAAGGAAATGGGAGCACTCTGCTACATGAGATCGTCGGGTCTTGTCCGGATGCGAAGAGACATCCTTCAGACACGCTCAGAGATATTGAAGTGCTACTTGGACGAGGAGCTGATCCAAACATCTTGGACGAGTCCTTGTTCTCGCCAATCCGGAGATGCATTGAGAAGTGTCCCGCGGTCGATATCATTCCACGCTTGCGTCTGCTCCTAGACGGAGGTGCTGATCCCGAGCTCAAGCATAGCAACCGCTTGCCTCCGTACGTGCTTGCAGCCCGCACATTCGAGGAACCGCTTCGGTCACAGATTATGGACTTCTTGGTTGCAAAGATCAAAGGCCGTCAGCCTCGTGTTGTATACGACGACACCTTTACGTGGACTTCTGGATACTTCCCCATTTCCAACGAGCCGACCTGGGAGCAAGTGCAAATGTACAGCGGTCAGAATGGCGACTTCAATGCGAACCTAGAGCGTATGATCCCGGAGGATGTCCGCCAGGTTTTCCAACGAGCCTGCTTTAGCGTGGCCAGCATCAATTTTCTCAATGTCGCAACATTGAGGGCGAAGATGTCGCATCCACTCCCACCCACGGCCATGCAAAAGGATGAGATCTACCAAGCCGTCGCTCAAAGACAAGCTTGCGATCTACCCGTCTACACCTTTGACCAAGATTTCGTCATGCTTCTCCTCAAACCGAACATGGCCCCCGTTCTTCCAACATTCTCTACATCAAGTTCGTCCGGCACAGACACATTCCTCCTACCCCATCAAACGCCCATCACTTCCACCGCACAAGACGAGCCCTCTGTACTGGCCTCATCAGCAACATTCCGGTTCAACGCATCTCCTTCCGTCCCTCAACCCAACAACGTCGAGCGCTCTCACAGCCCATATGACAATTCTGACATTGACTTCTTAATGCCTGAAACCACCATGGTTCGATGGCCTCACCCAGGCGATCGGACCAGAAAAGGTGATGTTCGAAGGGCGAAAGAAAGTGTGCTAAGATTTCGATGTGAGGATTGCGGAAATGGGAATTTGCTGACTAAGGCTGAGCTGGACAAGCACGTCGTGGAACATGAGCATAGCAGGTGGTGCGTCGAGGAGGGATGCAGAAGGAGGTTCTGTGCGCAGCGGTCGTAAGTCGTGTTGTGTCAAACGTTGTCTCGGATGAAAGCTCGTTTACCGAGCTCCACGGAAATATCTTTGAAGCAGCTGCTTCGCCATGCAATTCACGTAGACACGCCTTTTGGGAGCCTTAAGCTCGCCTGGGCTAGATTCGAGTGTAGATTGCTAGAAGTGAACATCTGTCTTGCAGTCAGAGAAGAGGCACGCTCTCTAAACGTGGGACTATCAACGCCCGCCAACATTTCGACAGAGACAGCATCTCACGCATCTCGGAAGACCTTTGTTCAACTCGCAGACCTCCACACTGAATTTTCGCAATGGCTACAAATGCACCCACAGCCTTTACCCTACCAAGATATGCCAGCAGGAGAGCCGTAGACGAGAAACTCAATCAACATTACTTCGAGACACTTACCGTGGGCTCAATTGCTGGAATTCACGTTGAATTTCTCACCGTCTCAGTAAAGGACGGCTACTATAACCCCATCCGATTCTATCGACAAGATCCGCTTTTCTGCCGACGTACACTTGCAGACCTAATATTCCCAACCCTTACTTTCTAGCATCTGGCTTGCCAAACGGAAATGCCTGTTATGACTACGGATAGGAGAACAAGTATAAAGTTGCCCATAAATTTCAAGTATTTGGCAGAGTTTTCCCCAGAGCTGCTCTCTCGGTTTACCGAAGATACCGGTCGTTGGTGAGCTTCTTAAACGTTGTTCGTGACGTTCCTGTATGTCCTCGATGGTCTTTAAGCTGGTCCTCGGCCGACACATGAGAATATCAGGCCTGTTGACCGGCTGGCACTTCTACCACGTTCCTCTTCTAATGGACCGCGAAACCTAACATTTTCGGAAGAACTTCATGTCTCTCGTAGTGCATGTCTATACTCAGACCAAGGGCCGCTAACACCTGCGTTCTTAGGACTAGGACACCCTTACATGTGACGCACCGATCATCTCCAATTCGCTCCTATTTCGGCACGCTAGCTCGATACGTCCCGCTCGCCTATCCTTGCGGTCAATCCTCCGAAACTTGTTCATGCAATGTAATTTCTAGTACGCACGTTTCTTGATCGTCTTCTTGTAATTCGTCGTTTGAGCAGGTCGATTCAGGTACGCGTGGCGCGTTGCTCGGTTGCGGTTGTACCTGGCAAAGATTCAATATTCTCATGGTGATCAACATCTTGGACAGTCGCGGCAATATAAATGCACATGTTCGCCAGTCGAAGGAGCACAGGCATCGCGACGAGCCGACGCGCACATCAAGATGGTCTCCGCTACTTCCTCTGTCGGACTTCTTAGCCTCGTCCCCGTCGCTCTTTCGGCAGCCACGACGGGCACATTCGATGCGATCACGTTTAATGTGGCTGGTCTTCCGGCTTTCTTGAACGGTAACGACGTGCCTGGCGACAAGACCGAGAACACCGCGCGCATTGGTCAGCTGTTCGCACAAAATGATCCCGACATCATCCATGTGCAAGAAGATTTCAACTACCACGCGACTCTGTACGCCAATGATGACCATCCTTATCGTACGGCGACGAGCGGAGGCGTACCGTTTGGCGACGGCTTGAACACTTTGTCGAACTTTGACTGGGTTGACTTCGAGAGGACCAAATGGGCCACATGCAGTGAGCAGGCCTACTGAGGGAAATTGTAAATACCTTGTGACTGATCACTTTTGTCTTTACAGGTGATGCTAGTGGCTCGGACTGCCTCACACCGAAAGGGTTCACCTTCATGCGAGCAAAGATTAGCGAGGGAGTGTGGGCGGACCTTTACAACCTGCATGCGGATGCTGGGTGAGTACGAGTAACTCGGGATATTTCGTACAGAGAGCTAACGGTATCAGTACTGAGACCGCGGATAACACCGCTCGTGCTGCCAATTTGAAGCAAGTCTCTGACTACATTAAGACCTACTCTGACGGGAACTCTGTGCTTGTCTTTGGAGACACGAACTCGCGCTATACACGCTCAGATGATGTCCCCCGTATCTTCAGCACAGAAAATGGCATGACTGATGCTTGGGTCCAGCTCGCCAAGGGAGGTGTAGCACCAGCAGCGGGAAGTGATGCTTTGCTTTGCGATAACCCTTCACCCAACACTACGTGCGAGATTGTTGACAAGCTATGGTACCGAGGCTCGCCCTCGCTAACTTTGGCCGCAACCAAGTTCCAATATGCTGGAAGCCAGTACCTGCAAACTGACGGAAACATCTTGAGCGATCACGACCCTGTGCTTGTGGACTTCACGTGGACTGTGAGCACTAAGCTGAGGATCTCAGATCCGTATGGCGGTCCTCACGGTGACTTTTACAACGACATCTCTACGGTGAGTCATCATTCTATGCTCGAAATCGCGCTGTCACTAATGTAGCATTCTGATGAATAGCTCTCCGGCGTTTCCTCCCCAACAGCTTCATCCATCACCCTTCGTGGAGCCAACCGTCTAGATGCCGTGTCGCTCACCCTTTCTTCTGGACAAACGTTCACCCACGGTGGCACTGGAGGCACTGCCAGCACTTTGAAGCTCAATTCAGGTGAGAGCTTCACCAGCGCCACTATCTGCCAGGGCACATACAACAGCCAAACCAGGGTGTTCTACATGCAAGTTACGACTAGCTCTGGGCGAACGGTAGCTGCGGGTACGCAGAACAGTGATTGTGTCACTAGGACTGCTGAGAGTGGATGGGGCATTGTCGGTTTCACGGGAAGATCTGGAGACGAAGTGGACCGCGTGGCCCTTATCTACGGAAAGCTTTAGAGCATTGCGACGGCCGTAGTTCACACTAATTTGAGATTGTTAACATAAGCTAATTGTAATTCCGGTGATGGCTACATGATGAAGTTCTGACTGAGCCACGCGCGTTGCCAGGCGCGCCGACTAGGTACCTACAACCCGGGACCAAGACCTTTTAACCTTGGCTTCAGCTCTTCAGACGTTCAAACCCTGGACCGATTTTGGTAACTCACACAAGCTTTTCTCAAGCCAATAAGAGTTTCATCGCGCACTGAAGGGTAAGCGCTACTGAGCAGTTTTTCTGACGTGATATAAAGAGTACGCAAAGGCCCGAATATATACGACGTCCATACAATAATCAAGGGCAGCGAATGTGGCATCACAAGTACATTATACCATAGGTAGCGTGCACGCCGGTGCTGTGCAACATGTTTGACGGATCGTATGGGGCGCTCGGAAGGAAACAAAAATATACTTCTTCTGGAAACTATTTGTACAGCGCAAATGCGAACGGTACTCGTCCCGTGAAATCGTCGTGGTCTTACATTCCTCCAGCTTCCACCCTGGACTCATTTGGCTCTCCTATTTTCGCTCGACCATGAATCATTCTTGCTGCTCAACCAGGTGTTGACAGAAGCAGAGTTTTGGGACGTTTGCGTGGTTGATGACTGAGCCTGATTTCCGGAAGAACCATTGGCTTGTTTATCTGCTGGGCGAGTTGATGATGACGAGGTCTGGTTATTGTTGTTGCTGTTCGTATAATGTTAGCCAGTGAGTAAAGGATGCAAGATGCCGGTCACTGACCCGGACATGGTAGTTCATGTGTCACTGCTTCGTCTTCGATTGCAAATGTGTGATACAGTGATGAGCGGAACAGCAAGATGTTAATTCAATATGTTTGTGAATTGAGAAATAGTTAGAGCAGTGAGTTACTGGAAAGACCTAGTCATGCAGGAAGTGAGTGCAAGACTATATGCTTGCTGTTGTCATCTAGACGTATATACTTGACGGAGAGGTGGGATGCAGTTGATGTGAGATTCAACCTCGAGATAGGCGCAATTGCATGTCTCGCTATCATCATTTCGCTGCCAAAGAGTGAAGATGCCTTGCACTGCATCCCCGGAGACATTGGAGGAACCTGAAAGGCCGTGGGGTTCAATGAGTTACCCTTTTTGGAAGGCATGCGGACTTTGTTCCAGATCATGGCCCCCGATTGCGTGCGTTCCCTGCTCAAGGTTCTTCACGGTAGTACAGACATCCAGAGGCTGTGCCTAGAACTCGGGCCCAATGAGCTCTCTTGAATAGGAAGTCATCTCTATCCTGCGTGACAAATTGGAGGAGGGAGACATTTAAGAGCAGCGCGCAGGGTAGCAGGGCCACCTACAATAGGGGTAACATCCACACCAATCAGAAGCTTATCCCAAGCTTATACCTCTATCCGAACACTCTAAGGCTACCAGATTTGGTAAAAGCTAATTTGCCTTGTTCGGCTTACTACAATTACTTCAGAACGAAGAACCGGCTAGTCAGACCAGCATTACACTAGTGTAGGCTAGTGACACAAGACGTTTACTGTTAGGGTTGTTCAAGAAGGAATAATTGCTTAATAAAATCATATTCTTCAGAGCCTTGGATAGAATCCCTCGAAGCCCATATCTAGCAGTCACGAGCTCAATTGTAGCCATGCACGAATATGACACAATGTGTCCGCTGTAATCAATGTGCCTGCAGTAACGAAGCGGTTTGAGCCGGGTGGCTGCGCATGCGGTGCTCAGCCCACTTAGTGACCGTTCAACGGCGCGCCAGGTTTACGAAGTACCTTAACCGTAGCTTCGGATGCCTGAAATTCACTATGGCCGAACTCTGTACCTATACAGATATTCATGTACCTAAAGTAGGTAATGATTAGGGAAGTTCGAGTATGTCCTATATCGCTCTGAAAAATTAATATACCTAAATAGGTAAATTTAGCTTCCTTTACAATACTAAAAATTGATCTGATGGCATGAATAGGGCAAATTTGGCCGAAGGGTCGGACCCCGAGACGATTATTGGCGGATTGTTTCCTGGGCTGCGAGACAAGAACGCGTAATACTGCTCTTCTAGGCCTTGGGTTTTTCGATGAGCAGCTGAGTTCGCGCTGTACAAGCGCGGCACGGTAACGCAGCGTACATCCCGGCAGATCTACCACTTTCGGTATAAGGCAAACAAACGTACGTCAGCGGCGCAGTCACGTACAGCTTCCAAAACCTACCGATATGCTGCGAGTGATAGCACACTAAATTTAGCAACATCTATGTGAGAAGTCCTCTTACGTTTTTACCTTTTGAAGGTCCTTTTTTTGACGGGTACAGAACCGCAGATAGAATATGGTATCTCCAGTACATAGATGTACGGATCAAGTAATATTGTAAACGCAGGAGGCATGCAGGCTGAAAATTCTCTAAGTAAGAAGCATAATGTCGCAGAAAACCCGCACCAAAGAAGTCGTCAGCAGAGACTTGCTTTTGGCTAACACATGAGTCAGTCAAACCAAGGATTGGCTCTAAGTCCGATACCCTGTTATCCTATTGAACGGGTTTGGCCCCAATATGTCTATTCGACCGTCCTATAAAAGAGCCTCGGCGTTCAGCCCTACGGATTAAGATGTGCGCCTGCTCTATATTGAACTAATATACACGTGGCTTACCAGACGTGCGGATGTTACACAACATGCTGATCTTCAACGCAGGATTCCACGCTCGGGATACACTCAATGCCACGGTCAAGGCAAAGTACGCTCGCACTGCCCCCCGAATCAGGAAATTCGTCGCACATTTGTCATGGATAACAACTCGGAATTGTACCTCATGGCGTGTATCGATATAAATGCCCACCCATGGTCATCATTCGCCTTGCATGCGGATCATCCTCGTATTCAATAACGGTCAGGCAGGCCAACAAGCCTCTCAACGGATACCGTCCACTGACAGCCTCGCATCCACTGGAATGAGACAGTTCCGATGATGAAGTAGGTTACAGACACCATCATACGACGTTATTTCGCATTGAAATGGTCCTATGTCCCGGCAATGGATTCTCGACAGTGTGAGTTTTGATCTTGAAACATTACGGGAGGATATCAATAAATGCATGTTCAAGTATGTCTCCCTCGACGCGGTCATTCGAAAATGGGCCTGGTTCGAGATCTTCCCTAAACCCTTCAAAGGCTTGCATTACAACAAACAGGCTCGCCATAGCTCCTGTGCTTCTTCCGCGCGGCTTTGTTACGCACAACAGAGGTTCTTTTCTCCATATTTATTCCACGGTTTCGGTGCAGAGTTATGCCTGCTTCGGGTGGCCTTCGGCTATCATCTGCTGAGCTTTTCATAACACGTTTGAGGCTTCCCTATCGCTTATCACTGGGGAAAACGGGCTTTCTACGGCCATGCACGTCTAGTTGCGAAACTGGCTGTGAGCACTATGTGTCCTTCGTGAGAAGTGGGATGTCAAGTTGTGGACTTGTCGAGGTGAGGAGATATCTATGTATGCAAATCCTGTGGCAATATTCAGCGATGGAGACACAAGCGAGGAAGTACTCATTATTGTATATCGGAATGCTCGCATGGTTTTTGAGAAGGAGAAGAAAATCTAAAACCTTAGATGAGGTGGTAATGCTGACCATGGAGCGACAGTACGAATGCGCAGAGGCGATCAACCCAACGGCTACGGAAGCGCAGATGCACCATACTAACACAATCGTTTAAGCTGATCTTCAAAAGTGTCGCATTGCAATGACGATATAACGCGCGTGAGAGCTCCAGATCAGGCATTAAGAAGCCCGGATTACTGCCCCAGGAGCTTGCCTTTCCCTGGCTGTTGCATTTGATTAAGGGAGACGTGACCTGTGAAGACAAGAGCATTGCACTGGATGTTGTGAGCTTGCGAGCTCTAGTTTGCTGGATAGCAATCGTTCAGGTATTGCATCATAGATTGGAGTTCCTCTGACCCGGATGCCTCATTAGGAAGGTGCAAAGTCCCATGAGCGACTAACGCCAGGTACCCTGTCAGTCTTACGAGATGCGGCGCTAGTAAGTTGACATCGTGAGTGAATGAGTGCACATACGTGCCGTCGCCGAATCTCCTTGCCGTACTCAACCATGCCCACTGTTTACGTCATGCGTCACTATATGCACCACACCATCGCTCCTTACTTCTTTATTACTCCCTTGCTGGCCAGCGCGATTTCAGCACGCTATAGCCACGACTATGAAGCTGCTCGTCCTCGTAGCTCTGGCGGTCGCAGCTACCATCGCGGCCCCCACAACTTACCATGACGGAGCAGGCATCACTTACCAAGGTTTCGCCCGCAACGGCGTTGAAGTGTTTCTCGGTATTCCCTATGCTCAAGATACAGGTGGCAAGAACCGATTCAAGCCACCGCAGCCGCTTCAAGCGACACCAGGCGCGGTCGTAGATGCCACGAAGCCTGGCCAGGCCTGCCCTCAACAGCTAGGCCAGTGGTACGCGCCATTGACACTGCTCAATGTTACCAAGGAGAGCATCTCTGAAAACTGTTTGAACCTGAATATTGTGCGCCCGGCGAACTCGAGTTACAAGACATCGAGTTATCCTGTAATGGTATGGATCCATGGAGGAAGTTTTTGGGTTGGTTCGAACATGGAACCCACACACGAACCAGACGCTTTAGTCTTGAACTCAGTCGATGAGGGCACCCCAATCATTCACGTTGCAATCAATTATCGATTGGGCTTCTTTGGATTCGCCAAATCAGGGGCGTTACGCCAGGAGCACAGCGAAAATGCGGGTCTTCGCGATCAGAGAGCTGCCATCGAATGGGTCCGTGACAACATCAGGTATTTCGGCGGCAATGGAAACAAGATTACCATCCACGGTCAGTCGTCTGGTGGCCTTGCGGTCGGCATGCAGTTGCTGGCCTATGGCGGCGAGAAAGAGTTGCCATACCAGCGAGGAATATGTCAATCCCAGGCGTTGGAGCCTGGAATCACCGGAAACTTCACTCGCGACGCTATGGTTAAAGTCATTGAATACACAAAATGCAACCCGGGTAATTCTTCAACGGACTCACCTGAGGTCATTGCTTGCCTACGAAGCAAAGATACGCAGACCTTGTACGATGCTTCTGCCGCCACGTACACAGGAGATATCGCACACAACATTGGTGACATCTGGTTACCATCAGTGGATGGCGATTTCCTTCCGGACGCGCCTTCAAAACTTATTGCTGAAGGTCGCTTCGGCAATGCGTCCTACATGTTCGGGTGGGCTCAAGACGATGTCAATTTTTTTACCGACACCGATATCCGTAACGAAAATGATACGCTGCATTTCCTGGAGAGTTATCTGCCGAACGTGGATCCATATGCGCTTACAATACCAGGTAAAGACCAGAATGTAAGGGAATATTTGTCGCTTTATCCGATTGAGGATTTCATTCCACCATCAGGTACGCCAATACCGTTCCTTCGCACGATTATTGGTTATTATGCAACACCTTTTACAACAGCGGAGTCTGGTCTTACGAAGACTTGATCGGCTTTTGGCATATGCCGCCTAGTGAGCACCTTTACTGACTTCAATCATAGGGACAAGCCTGACGAGTGAGTTTTACCGCACAGCAAGGGTCTTCAGAGATATTCTGATGGTATGCGAGCCGATCTTGCTCGCCAAAGCGATAAACAAGAAAGGCAAACGCGTATACATGTACAGTTTCAATCAGACACTGCTCGATCCGATCATTGAATCATTGTATGGTATCAAGGGAATGGGTGTTGTACATACCTCAGAGTTTGCATACATTTATGGGAATCTCTCGCACTACAACGTCTCAGGTATGCGTAACAAGCAAAGCCCCGTCGCATATTCGCTAACACTTTGCACTGAAGGTTATCCATTCAATCCGACTAAAGCGGACTACGATTTGGCACAGCGCGCAAGTCGTTCTTGGGCAAGCTTTGCGTTTTCGGGAGATCCTTCTCACGGTGCACCCGCTTGGCACCCTTCGAAAACACTCCAAGAGTGGTTGCCAGCGTTTTGGAAATTTGGAGAGCTCAACACGTACGACCATGCACCGCGCAGGCCAGGTCACACATATGTGTATAGCATTGGCGGACCTTACGAAGGACTTTGGCCGCTCGACGGGCCGGAGAGTATCGAACCGGTGAGTAGCCAGGCACTCGAGGAGAGGTGTGCGTTCTACAACGACCCAGAGTTCATCAAGCGGGCTGGATTTTAGAGGTTGGCTCGATTGCGGATGCCAAAGCGTTAAGTGGGCGTCACGCGCTGGGGAATAATCAAGTTCCTACGGCATCCTACTTAGGGCTTCATCACTAGCAGGTTTCCTTGAGCGGTTAATCAAGAATGCTTAGATGAACGGCACATACCAAGACGAGCTTAGCAATAGACTCGGTACTCGAGATATCGTCTGCGCAATTTGTGCCGCGCGAATTCACAACCGCAGTAAGGCACTTGTGTCAATTCCAGAGCTGGGCTCAAATGCCATGAAATTAGTACCTATGAATAACGCCTTGGGCACCGGGGCGACGACTGACTCAATTAACGATAGCGGAAGTGCGAGGCTGACTAATGGCCCGTCGTGATAGCTCTCCTCCGCATCCACCTCCGCAATGTACTCCACACCCACAATGGCAGGTGCCCGAAGGTCGACGCGTCAATCCGCTTCTGCGGCACCGAAATATACCGAACCAGATTCGGTGTCAGAAGATGAGGCACCGAGGCGCAATGCGAAGACAACGACGCGTCGCAAGCGCGCTCGAGATGACCAAGAGGATGTGGTGAACGAGGATGAGTATGCCTGTACCCAGCCAATTTAGATGATTGAAGCGACAGCTAACACAATCGGCAATTACTAGTTCTCCACCGCCTAAGAAAGCCGCAAAACCCAAGCCCAAAGCTTCAAAACCCACCGCCAAAACCAGCACTCCAACCATCTCCACCGAAGCTTCAGATGCGAAACCCAGCACCCTCTCCTCCCTCGAGCCATCCTCAGAGACCAATCGCGATGCATCCGGCGCCCAAGAAGTCTACTGGCTTCTCAAAGCCGAGCCCCTCCCGCGCTATGAAAACGGCGTCAACGTCGCCTTCTCTATTGACGATCTCGCCGCGTGCACGAAACCTGAGCCATGGGGCGGCGTACGCAATCCGCAGGCCTGTAAGAACATGCGCGCCATGCGCAAAGGCGATCTAGGCTTCTTCTACCATAGCAATGCGAAGCCGAGCGGTGTTGTGGGCATACTGAGGGTCGTAGAGGAGGCGAAGGTCGACGAGACGGCGTTCGATGAGAAAGACCCGTATTACGACAAAAAGAGTGTGAGGGAAAAGCCGAGATGGTTTTGTGTGGGCGTGGAATTTGTAAAGAAGTTTGATGACGTGGTGGATCTAGCTACAATCAAGAAGCACGCAGAGAAAGGAAAGAAGCTGGAAAGTATGCAGTTAGTGAAGCAATCAAGGCTCAGTGTCAACAGGGTGCGGAAGGAAGAGTGGGAGTATATTCTGGGGTTAGCAGGCGAAAAAGACGATGGTGGAGGGGATGGGTCGGACGAGAAGAATAGGGAAGACACTACTGCAGGAGCTGAAGAGTGAGACGGTGTGGGAGAGAGCAAGCTCTGAGACCTCATTGTTGCGTATTGTGGTCCAACGTACTACACATAAGCCTCAGCATGAACGACAATCTCGGAGGTCCAATCGCGATTAAGACATACAGCCATCAACACCGATGCGTGTATGTGGTGTTAATTTGGGATATTTCTCGGTTTGTCCGGCCAACCATCGATAGGAGACGAAGAGGGGTTCACCAGCTTAAGCTTTCACTATTTGCTGGTGTTTTTGCGACCCGTCCCGCCGTGCATTAGCTGCGGGGAGTCACTCCGCTGCGGCAATTCGATTCGCGTATGAGCAAGCCCATGCGCTTTCAGCTCCAAAACCCCAGTCCACCCTGCATCTAGTGTTGAGAGCAAGGTGACAATAGGCCAAGGTCAGAATACTCGTGACACCCAAGTGGTCGTATGTGAAAGTTCTGATAGTACTACACCGTCAACAGCGGCTTTGCGCTGGCCGTCCTTGTATATATCATCGATACCCTTAACTTCGCCTATCTGCTTTAAACGCACGAAAGTCTCATGGGTTCCGTGCGCTCGTTCCTCCTGTTACTGTTGCATAGCGTGTGCCTCGCGGCTAACACCGTTCCACAGGCACAATTGCAGCCTCGTACGACAGTGCAAGTCGCAGAGGATTTAGCAAAAGTGCTATCGCCCAACGCGACCTTGGTTGTGCCAAATGATGCAACATGGAACAATGTCATCGCAAGGGTCAACTACCCTCGGATTTCGCCAGGCTATCGGCTGGTGGTCGAAGTCGCAACGGAGGACGATGTTACTGCAACGGTGAACTTAATTCTGCGTCATTCTCAACGTATGTATACTAAGGCAGGAGTAGGTCCTATATGCAAACCGACACGACATCGACTTCCTAGCCATCGCCGGTGCACATGGCGAGTCAACGACGCTAAATCGGCTACAAGATGGGATACAAATCAACTTGAGAAAGCTCAACTTCGTCAATATACACAATCGGACAGTGACTCTTGGGGGCGGCACGCTTCAGTGGGAGTTGACAGGCCAGCTATACTCCCACGGTAGACGGGCAGGTATAAGTACCAAATTGGACCGCGTGGCAGCAGAAAAAAGCTAATTGAGACCAGTAACCGGCCTCTGTGAGTGCGTGTCTGTCGCCGGGCCCCTCCTCGGTGCGGGACACTCTGCTCTCCAAAGCCAATATGGCTTCTCCGCCGATAACCTCCTCTCCGCAAACATTGTTTTAGCGAATGGCACAACCGCCTTGGCTTCCTCGGCAACCAATCCAGATCTCTTCTGGGCGATAAGAGGGGCGGGTCACAATTTCGGCATCGTGACCAGCTTCACCCTTCTCACCCATCCCGTCCCCTCCACCTACTCGCTCTACACCCTCGTCTACACCAAGGGCAAGATCGAGGCGCTCTTCAGTCTAGTAAACAACATAGATACTCCACCCGAGACTCGAGATTCAAAGTTCTTCCTCAATGCAGTCCTATCGAGACCTGCGGCAGATACAGACCCAGTATTCACATATAGTCTCGCCTACGAGGGCACGCCCGAGGAGTTGCACATCCGCGCGAAGTCGTTCCTAGCACTATCTCCCCTTACCACAACGCTGACGATGGACATAACCTACGACAAGCTGTACCAAGCACTGGGCTTCGGCAAGGACGCCTTCGCATGCAGGAAGAATATAAATCAGGATATGGCGGGCGTTGCACTGAAAAGGTGGAATATCGAGGGCTTGGAGAAAGCGTACAGGATATTCTCGGACCTGACAGCGGATCCGCGTTTCTTTAACTCGTTCATGCTAATGGAGAACTACGGCATTGTTGCTGTCACGGGTGTCGATCCGGATTCTACTGCGCTACCGCGCGAAGAGCGTGAAAGACCGATTCTGACAAGTGCTATTGTGCACTATGAAGGTGATGAAGAAACGACGAGGAGGGACGCTGCGGCTTATATAAGGGAGATTAAGGAGGCGTTGTATGAGGGACTAGACAAGGATGAGTGGCATGCGTACGTGAATTATGCGGCTGGAGACGAGGGAGTGGAGGAGGTGTATGGGAGGGAGAGGTGGAGGGTGGAGAAGTTGAGGGAAATGAAAGGAAGGTGGGATCCAGGGACTAGATTTAGGTTTTTTGCGCCGTTGGCATAGGTGGCTGTGATGAGATAGGATGGGACACGGCTGATTGAAATGGCACATCGGATGCAAGCACGCAATTTCTAAGTTGAGCGTCTACCAAACGCAAGCTTCCACTAACAACTTTCTGAGAAGCTTCTATCGACCTTCACATTAGTCCAAAACTAATTTGACGACACGCCAGATCAGCATCAAATCTTGCAGCAAGAACCCCTACCTCAGATCAGGAGTTATCACTCAGCCAACACCGCCTGCGTCAAATCCACGACCCTGTGCCCCGTCCTATTAAACCCCGGCACAAGCACTTCCCCAAAATCACTAACAAAATTGTCCCACGTCGTATTCGGCTTTGTCTCACACAGATGCACCATGACGTCGTTAAAGTACCCTTTCAGCCCCTTATTCGGGAACTCTCTCACAATCGCATCCCACTGCTCCTGCTCTACAGTGATGAGGTCGCCAAAGAAATCTTTGCTGATAGAGGGCCCCAGCAGCTCGGTCAAGACGCCACCCGAGACGATGGCGACTTCGGGCTGCTTGTAGCGCGCAATGCTAGCGGTGCCATGGAGGGCTATGGAGTCGAAAACAAGTTGCAGACGTTGGGGGGATTGCCAGTGGGATCCGCCGTGGGCTTGAAGGAAGGAGCGGGCGGCGATGGCGCCATCGACTTCGAAGCGTTTGTCAGGGGAAATGTAGGCTGGGTCGTCGCTCCTTTTCTTTGTAAGCTTGTATGTTATGGCTGGGTTATCATCTGCAGGTGATCTTACCAGCCTAGGTCGTGCAAGATAGTCGCGACGCCAAAAGCTTCCTCGTCGATGCGAGAGCGGTTTGCTAATGGAAGCTTGTTTATAATGGCTTGTCCGTTGAGCCACGAGCGCATGACATGGTTGTAGCCTTGATCCGGAAGAGTTGCTCTTGCAAGTGCGATTGAGGAGTTGATGAGGGGGGTGTTCGGGACGGGAATGCCCGCGATGACACGAGTGAGGAGTGGAGATACTGCAACCATATTGGTTTGCTGTTAGAAGTGGCCCAGATGGTTTGATGCAGCGATCGAAGAGATGCCGTGATTTAGAATTCCCGTCGAAGCCAACGAACTTATAGCAAGTCCACATGTGTGGTGCTGTCTCTCTCACCGCATCATGGACGTACACATTTCTAATCATCTCCGAACCTAATTACAAAGTCATACCGATTCCCCTCGTTGCGGAGGTCATCCGCGGACAGGGCGCTCTGAACCATGTTCTCAGTGCTTAGGTATTCCAAATGCACAGAAGGAGCGAGAATGTTTACTCAATCAGCTGTATTCATCAGTGGAAGCCTGACCAATAAGGAACTGTCGCCTTTACCCGAGAAAGCTCAATGTTGTCGCCTTGGTGGTTGTGCGTAGTCCGCGGGCGTGTTTGTGTGTCGAGGAGTGTCAGACGGCACGGAAGCAAGGCTTACACCCGACCGTTGAACATCACAGCAGCTTACCAATTGTAAAGGATGTTGGCAGTGAAACCACGTGCAATTGCGAGTCCTATATTTACAGTCTTATAGCTTGACCATGAGCGACCAGAAACATATCGATTATCCCTCGCTGTCGCAGTTTAGCGTCGTAGGATGGACACAATGTTACCCTCCCAACCCTATTTTGCACACTCATAGTGTCCGCTCCTTTTCTCTGAAAGAGGCCCGATACGTGCATGTGCGACGCACTCATCTAGAGCACTCCATCGTGCCAGCTTTGCATAACCTTCAACACATCGCTCGCAGCAAGCTCTCCCCTATCAGCATGCCTCTTTGCACTCTCCCTAACCTTGAAATTCCTGTAAAACTCCTCAAGCCTTGGATACTCCTCTTGCGAATCTCTTCCGTACACATCCTTCACCACAGCCCCAGATCCTTTCGTTAGATCAACACCGTAGCAATACTCAACGAAATCCAAAAAATGGAACAGTACTACATCCGCAATCGAGACGCTTTTCGTGTCGTTCCTCAAGTAGTCCAAGCCTCGATCGACAAGAAGCTTGTCCACGGTGGCGATGGTGCGCATGACCCATCTTAGCATCTCTTTTGCGCCTTCTGGGTACTTCAGAGTCCCTGCGCCTGTACCAAAGGATCGCACCGGGTTCCATGAGACGAGAAGTTCCTCCGCAAGTGTCAGAATCTCTGCAATGCGTGCACGTTCTAGTGCATCGTCACCCTTAATCATCGCCCTTGCGTTGAGATGGGCTAGTTGACCTCCGGACGAACACGCTTCTTCAAGATAGTAGATAATCGCCATAGACTGTCTGATGTACGTCCAGTCTTTGCCATCACTCGGTGGGATTGCGAGGATTGGAAGGGAACCTTTCGGACGAGGCGGGAATTTGGAGGCTTGAGAGGGGACGACGTGATCGCCTTTCTGAGGGTCTGTTACGTGGACGATGGTGATGGCCGATTGGGGGATGCGCTTCTCGGAAAGGTAACCGGCGATGCGGCGGGGAAACGGCATCCAAGGGTAGGAATAGAGAAGCCAAGGGCGAACGGATTTGGTGCTCATCTTGATTGGGAAATGTTTAGAAAGTTGGTATATGAGAGTAGCAGGTCGCAAAATGAAAAGCGAGGTCGTATTCGTGGTATTTCCTGCAAATGATGTATAGACCGGGCAGGAATGAAAGAGATAAATACTTCTCCTGAGTACCCGGATGGTGTGTCATTATTATGTCCGCAGTTCGGAATCTTTCATACCATCTCAGAAGAGTCCCGAAGGATTCTATCATGGTATTCTAGTGGTGATATGGGTTACCGCCAAACGACAAGACAGGCAGCTAAAGTCTCCGAGGCAGTATCGGAGAGTTTCATGCCAGACTTGAAGGCTCCGGGAAACAAGGCACGACTAGAAGAAGCCCTCTTATTAGTTTAGGTCTACGGACGTAAGAATGGATCGATCGCATCCACATCACTATGGATGCATTTCGGGGCCTCCGTAAACACTCATACCATACTAACCAAGCGCACCAACCAACCCAACAACACCTCCCAAGCCGATCAAAACAGCTCTAGCACTGTTCAACCTGCCAAACTTCTCTAACAGTTGCTGCACCTCCCTATCCTCGTCTTTCGTAGTGTTTTCCTTCGTACGCTCTTGCGGTACGCTTAGATCGGTCCACTGACTCGCGTCACCCTCGCTATTTACTGAACCGTCCGCACTCCGTTTCGTAGCCGAGTCTGGTGTCGCAGCGCTCCTCTTTCCACCTTTCTGTTCATTCTTTTCGATGAGCGTGAAATTTGTTGGAACCATGACGAGCATCGTCCACGGCGCGATGCTGATGGACAATGCTGCCGCCACGACGTACCAGGTTACAGGCCCGCCTCGTGTCGCGCTGCTCAGCAAATTGTTGAACGTGCCCGTAGCGGGTGGAAGCGCGTTATAGGCCAAATATGCGAACCCACTGCTGGAAACGAAAGCGGCAGTCGGAAAAATGTGTGAACCGCGACTGAAAAGCCAGCGGATGAGTGGTAGAGATCGCGATGCTGGTTGCGACACGAGCATTGGGATGTCGAAGAGGGACATGTTTGCGATGCCACCGGCAGCGGCAAGCGCTGTGGAGATGCTTGCAACTTGAACAACCTGAGTAGTCGACATGGTGAATGTGTATTTTCAATATTGACTTTTGCCCTGCCTTTGGTCTGTCTATTATATGCTCGTGCTCTCGTACGGCCTAAGACATCAGGTACAGAAGTGGTGATGTCACACTGAAACTATGCGCAACAACGCACTACCACGGCTTTTGGGCGGCTTTTGTAACTCAAACAAGCAACCACGGATCTCGGAAGCCTCTGGACTACGAGCTGCGAGAAAGAAGCGGTCCAACGGAAGATCCAAGTGCCCGAAAGCAAATACTAATTTCTCGGCATACGAAATCTACCTGAATACACGCCTGAGGTACGAGCGAATGGGAACCGCATAGAGCACTCCCTCGCCACGCTTCCACTGGACACCTTTAGAGAGGATGTGCAAACGTCTATAAATACTGCAGACGGGTGGCCGTTCTTGCGATCTTTTCCAAATACTAAGCTTCTCTCCTCAAAGCTGAAAGTTTGTCCAGATGAGTTCATGTTTGTGCTTACATGAGGTCTCGGTCTGACTATCAATTTGGAAAACATGGTTGCCAAATCACGAAAATTATGAACACACGCATGGAAGCCTCCTACTGTAGACCCTTCTACGACGGTACAGGGACAAAAGTTCTAAGGGCCTGAACAATGTCACGCGAGTCAGAGCGCTCGCGTTCAGCATGTTTACCAAACCCAACAGAGGCTGACAATGTCCGTGGCCGATACATGCTCGGGAGCTTGCTGCACCAAAACCAGCCAGATCATATTTCATGGCTTTTGGTCCATTTCTCTTCTCCAAAATCGTAATCGGTTTAATGCATGGGAGTCGAGCGCTCGCAACATCCTTTCCCATTAAAGGATATCCAACGAGGGCCGCTGGAGACCCTGCTGTACTAAAAAACATACTGGTGCTGGTCATGATTCTTGAATGGCTAAATTATCCACTCGACTGGCGTAATACGGAGTGCACCCCTTTCTGCTCAGGTTACCACATCCGTTGCAAGGAGGAAACCTCAATGATCCAAAACGCTTATACCAGAGATCATGCTTTGAGTGAGTGACCTATATCAGACAGCCAACGATATCATGCGCTTTTGATATGCGGCTACCAAAACTGGACCTTCAGACAACATGTGGATCGGCAACATCTATGGGCAAGAAACATGCTGCACCCGGAGTGGTGTCAAATTTAGCCAGAAGCAAAATTATGTCCGGACGATTCCTAAGCGAAAAGAAAGCTTACCTCAACGTGTCCAAAAAGATTGGGGAAACATATTATGCGCTCGTCTTGGACTCTCTCGCGGCACCAAATGAAAAATGCTAGCTATTCGTATCCTTGAGGCACTGAAACCCGCCACCTAGTATATCCATGCAGTGTACGCCTCTCTTTACAAAATCCAGGCCATTGGGGGTATAGCCGTTATAGGTCAAACTCCAAAAGCTCCAAAATATCCCGTGTTTCACGTTATGCTCTGAGCCAAGCGCGAACCAAAACAAATGGAACAGAATAGCCATGTTGGCTACGCTTGCGGTCTCTTCCAAACCACGCAAGCAAAAAGATCATGTAGATCCAGCATGATGCGAGCCGATCGGGCCAACAAGAGAAGGACAAGGACACCGGTTCACACTTAATCAACCTCACTTCTTAAGCTGAGACGCGTCCAGGAGTATTGCTGTGACTACCAGACCCTGAAATATCAAAAGCACAATGTTTTGGTCCCATGCTCCGACCGCGTGGACGAATCAAAATCTGAAAGCCAACGGCATCATGTGGTTGCCTTCGGTGTTTCTAAAAGTGTGAAGTTTCAGCTCCATGTAGATCTGAATTGAGTGCAGCATTTGTCCACATCTGTCCAGGAGCGATGTCGCAAACAAACATCAACATTATGTTGCGAGTCCTCGAGGCGAACACGATAATTTATCCTCAATGCATACGTGCTCAGGTCGAGCTGTACAACGAAACTCCGGATCAAGCAGCTCATGCGGTCTGCTTTTTGCGTCTCCAAATCCTTGATCCGAAGGCCCCATGTGGCACAAGACATGAGATCCTCGACACCCACAAACATGCACAGTTCACGCACGGCATCAAAGATGTTGATCATCATCTTCATTCAAATCTCCGAGACCTCTCCGGTGATCAAGGTCTATTCAATGCTCCTGTAGCCAACTACCGTCCATCAACGAGCAGCCCAACTCCTCTGTCCTCCTCCTCATCAATATCGACCAACCTCATCTTCGGCCCGTCAGCCCTCCACTCCTTCCCAGGTGGTCGCCAATCAAAAAGGTCAAAAGCTTCGCTACTCCAAGGTCCAACATCATTATCGACTGGCGGCGTCTTTATCTCCGGCGCCTCAGCACTCTCGTTTGCCTTCCCAGCATCCACGCTCAGACTCTGCGCGCGCTGAAACTTGCGCCGCGGGTCCGTTCGCTGGACCAGCGCTGCGAGACCGCCTGCTTTCGGCTTTGTGTTACCGCTGCCAGATGCGGGTGCGGGTTTGCTCGTGCCCTGATGTTTGGGCATGTTCCGCTGCTCCCATTCCTCGCTGGTGGATGGGATGGGTGCGTCGTTCTCACTGCGGGAGCGTTTGAAGCCAGAGGAACGTTTGGAAGGCGAGATGTTGGTGTCTCCCTGGGTACTGTCCTCGATCGGGTCGTCTTCGAGAGGCATGGATTTAGGGCCGCTTTGGAGAAGTGCTGAAAGCTCGGTTGTGCTCATCAATGGACCGTTTTTAGTGGATCGAAGAGGATGAGGAGGAAGAGTTACGGTTGTGGATCGTTGGGGTGGAGGTGGGGCTAGGTCCTCGGAAGCTGTTGAGCATGCTGAGGCTCCCTTGCGCTTCTTGTTGAAGCCACCAGTTGACAAAGCCGCTAGTCTACTGGATGATGCCGAAGTGGAAGCATTTCGTGGTCGGTCAATTGCTCGGTTAGAGGGCACAATGGAACCATCTCGCGAGGTCGCTTCCGACGCATGTGGTAGCGGTGCAGGAGAAGGCGAGCGTGAGTTAACAGGCGGATTTGGTTTCTCGACCTTTTTCTTTCTCACAGGAGGCTTAGCTGCATCCTCTTTCGCCTGCGTGGCTTTGGGTCTCTTTAGCTTAGGTACAGGATCTTCAGCAGATGGTTCGCTTGCTCTTTTGGCGCTCTTGGAAGATTTTTTCGTTGGTGGTTGTTTCGTAGTTGAAGGCTTGGGTATTATAGGAGACTTCGACGCTGTCGGGCTGTGGTGAAGATTAGGCGGCGACGGAGACACCAACAATTGCTGGTCCATGAATCCATGCGCCAACTCCAGGTCATCCAAAATGTCCACGGGCGCTGATTCAGGTCTCCTCGCAGACTCTCCTGTCTCTAAGGATGGTCCTAAGGTGGTACTGACATCTCTCCCAGGACGGCCAGCTTTTACCGTCGCACCTTGCACAACAATTCTGTCCCTGTGAGGACCTTTCGGTTCGTTCGGACTTATTCGCCTCCTTGTCGGCGCGGACTGGCACAACAACATCCCTCGCTTCGCTCCTGTCGACAACTTGAGTGACTTTGTCTTCCTTTTTTCAATAACCTGCAAAGGTTGAGGGGGTGATGGAACTGGAGACGATTCCCTCATGGAATCTGACGCAGGTTGGATGGCAAAGTCGACATTTGCAATGCGATTAGCCGCGCTGACCGGCGGCGAAGAAGGTACTCGATCTGGTCGGGGTGTCTGCTGGGCCTTGACGTGGGGTACTGGTACCTTGCCCTTGGGCAGCTTCGGGGTCAAACGGGCAGCTTTCTGCTGTGGCGATGGCCCCTTCCGAGCCGGTACAAAGGCAGTAATCGGTGGGAGAGCCACTGGATCCGATCTAGAAGGTGTGTGGGGCAATGTGACATCGGACGGAATGTTGTCTGCCTCAGGTTGGGAGCTCAAGCTGATAATCGTCGCGCCGGGTGGGACTACCTGTGGTCGTGGATTGATCCCAGGGCTGTTGGTATGCGGTGGCCTAGCAGAAAGAGAAGGAGCCTTCTTCGGCGCAGTCTCTATTGGTGCAACGCGGCTGGGTACCTGTTGGGCTTGTACCGTATGTGCCGTCTTCTGCCTCTTGGCCGCTCTTTCCTCGAAATTTTGGTTCTCCTTCTCCATCCTCTCTTCAAAAGGCGACCTGATTGGAGCAGCCTTGCCCATCGGCCCTCTTGGTGTTCCTAATAAGGCGTTGAGCGACTTGTGCCGGAGCTGCGACGCCGCTCGAAGAGGGTTGCTTGCGGGGATAGTCGGTCGGGGCAGCGGCCTCTGAAAACGTGCGGCATTGTCGCGCTGTGGCGATTCCTTCGTTTTGCGCTCGAATAGAGGCGTGAGGTCTGTCTGCGTAACTCCAATGGGCTCAGCTACCTCGACCATGACGCCTTTATCCAGCATGAGTTCATCGCCTTCCTGCAGCTCATTACTGTCTTTGTAGTACGTGTCTCCAACAGTGAACCGCGACGCGTCATACACGATAACGCGGCTGTTGAAAGAGTGGAACTTGAGGTAGCCATCTTGCCATTTCTTTTGCTTCTTGCGTGTATCGTGGGTGAACAAGCAGCGGAACTCAGCAACGGGCGCGGTGTTCTGAGATGCGGGGATGGCAGATACTCGCGGCGTGCCTCGCATAGGGGCTGTCATCGCGTTACTAGCGGATAGCGACGCGTCTTGGGCGTTGCGTTGAGCATCGAGAGGGGTGGGTGCGCGGTGGCGGGCGGCGTGGAGGCGTGAGAGACGCGAGACATCGAGTATGCGGCCCGCGGGCGTCGCGAAAGCACATGATCAGGGCCAGGCTGCACCTGCCCATAAAACGCGCAAGCTGCGTTACGCTGAACAGTGCCCCACGAGATCATCTGTGCAAAGTGGACTGCCACCCCATAGGCTGGGCTGTCAGTGTGATGTCCACCCCCGTTCAAGTTGCTTGAAACGAGGAGGGGCTTTCTGCCTTCTACTCCGCCCCCAGCCAGCCTACCTTCGCCTGCGCCCATGACATGAGCTTCTGTTGACTGGCAACCTCCGTGCACTCGTCAGCTTGCACCGCCCTCTTCCCTACACCACTCTCGTTCAGCTTCCGTCGCTCGCTCCCCTCACGCCACATTGCACTTGCTTGCAACCCACCGTCGCCATGCAGAGAGTGCAGAGGAAGATTGGGCGTCTGCCCTTCATGGTCGGCCGGACGCCCAACGAGGCCGACATCGAGGCCATGCTCCGGGACTTCAATGACAGCGACCAGATGCTGAAAAATGTGAGTCCACGTACGCAACTTGCTGCCGAGCCGCAGCTGGAGGGGTGTTTTCCACGTAGTGGGGTTGCAACTTCCTCCACCTGCGCTTCGAGTCATTGCACCACGTCGCAACAATTGCATTTACCGTCTGCCAATTGCGCTGCTAACACGGACAGATCGAAGAAGCTTCGGCACAATGGCGCGATGGGTGGACCAATATCCTCAACCACCAGCTCGCGTGCGCCGAGGGCTTGCACAGCATCTACAAACCCGTCGCCGGCGAATTCACAAGACACGAACATGTCGATACGCCGGCTGCGACCATGGAGCGTGCCGTCAAGCTCGAGGAGGCGTTTGCGGAGCTCAAAACGGATATGATGGAAGAAATCAAAGACATCGACAAGAAGCTCATCCTGCCAGCCAAGCTGGCCAGAGACTCACTGAAGCCAATGAAGAAGGCTATCAGCAAGCGCGAGGATAAAAAGGTACGACTCGTGCTCTCTTTGCTCATTCAGTCGCTGATTGGCGTATGATTAGGCCGATTACGAACGCTACAAAGGACGCGCCGAACAACTCCAGAAGAAGAAGACTCGCTCCGACAGAGAGAACACGGCGCTGGCAAAACACGAAGCCGATCTGGAACGCGCCGTTCACGAGTACAACTACGCCGACGAAGGCCTCCGTAATCAGCTTCCCAAGCTCAACGCCGCTACCTTCTCCCTTCTCCCGCATCTGCTCGCCAACCAAATCATCCTCCAGAACAATTTAATCGGCAATCTTTACACTGTGTTGCACCAATATTCGCATGAGCAGGGATATCCAGACCCGCCTCCAGAACCTGAGGAGGTCATCCCTGAATGGGATGCGAACTTTACTCCGATGCGCAAAGAGATGGAAGAAAACTTTGAGCTTCTCAGGACTGGGAAAGCAAGAACCCAACCCATGCGACTACCGGATAAAGGTGACACGATCACTGGTGTGTACTACTTTCCTCAATCCTTCCCACCTGTCCCTCGATTCTTCTAGAATCTCTCAAATTCTGTAGATGTTGTTTGCTTACTAATGCGCGGCAACAGGTATAGGGATCAGAAACAGAGTCATGCCCGGAAGGAGGGTTAGCAGCAATGACACGATTCCGATCCGTGAAAAGTCACCGAGACCTCAGCGCAACAATCTACCTCCTAGCTATGAGGACGATGGACCCCCGGCACCGAAGCTGAATTTAGCAAGCAAGCCTTCGATGAATCAACTAAACGCATCCAAACCTAGAATAGGGGGAACTTCTCCTGGATTGATTCCGACTCCGACATTCGACCAGTTTGGCAGACGGACCTCTTCGTACTCCGATGCATCATCGACCCATACGAATGGTCACGACGACTATTTCGGCAACAGCAACGGCAATGGCAGGCCGCGTATAACCTCTACGAGCTCATCCTATACCACAGGATATCCATCACCGCAAGCATTAGCAGCAAAGAAGAAACCCCCACCACCGCCACCGCCGAAGAAGGTCGGATCGTTCCATGGAGAATACGTCACGGCGATGTACGACTTCGATGGGCAAAGCCAGGGTGATTTATCATTCAGAGAGGGAGATAGAATACGTGTGATCAAAAAGACGAACAGTTCGCAAGATTGGTGGGAGGGCGAGCTGCGGGGACACCGGGGAAGTTTCCCTGCCAACTACGTGAAGTGATCAGCGCATGAAGCGTACGATTTCAGCAAGCTTCGGCATATTACAGGGAGCGAATCGAGTTATCGCATGGAATGACATACGACTGCATAGGGAAGGGCATGGTAATGATCACACGACGGATACCCGCTTGGGTATAAGGTGTGACTATCAACACATCAGACTGCCGACAATGTGGTTAGGCTAGCATAGAATGGCTGGGGCGTTGAATGGGCGTCAAAAGATCCCTTCTTCAAGAGTATTTTACTCCTTGAACATAATGTACCATTCGCTTGAACATGAGATCCTTGACTTGGCGTGGCACAGCCAACCATTAGAACTGAACTTCTGCGCACCAGACCCTACCTCTCGCAGGTGAGAACAAAGTCTCTGACTTCAAAAGACGTATTATAGCTCGAATTGCCCTCGAATGGATTATCCTAAGTTTGAGCTATGAACGCATTACCCTTCAAGTCAACACAGCCTCTGGAGGTATGCGGTACAAATGCCCGTTCTAAGCACAGCCACATGCCCCATTTAGCTCCCGCATCCCGCTATCCCGCCTTCCCGTTCCACAGAGAGCACATGAGGACAGCCACTGCACCTGCAGCTCAGCCTGATGCGGGTCACAAAACCTCTCCAGCTCCTGCTCATGGAGTCCACATGCTCATTCATATTCCGTGCCTCGACCAGCCATGACGGCTGAAAAGCCCGCAGAGTCTGTATGTGTGCCCCTCCACCGCGCGTCGCTTTACGCGTTACCCCAGGTGCTAACTCTAGCGGACCCAGATCGCTACACCCGCACCCGTTCTACACCCGCCGTTCGCTCCGCGTCCCATCCCGCCCAAGCCCGCCATCACCGCATCGTACGCGTCTCTACCCAATGGCGCTGTGGACTACGGGCAACAACCTGTCCTGGACTCAGCGACTAACATCCCGCTGACGGACCTCGAATCTCTGCCGACCCTGACCGGCGATCCTTACGAACCATTCCTCGCGAACGAGGACATCAAGAATTTCCTCGCTATCGATTTAGACCTTAAGCGGCTGAATCGCATACATGGACACCTCTGGATGTGCGGGCGGCCCATGCGCGCAAGGGCGCTCCACCGCTACAAGATGCTCGGCATGGAAGCCCTGCCTACCGCGCAGATGGACCTGCACTTGCTGCGCTTCTCCAACAAGCTCATGATCAAGCCGTTGGGGGAGTACATGCTGAGCCACTCCTTCTGGCTTGATTATATCTGCGACAGCGATGAGCTGCACAAGGCAGCGTGCGGGTTCCTGCTCAGCTACGTATGGCTGCTCACCACGCCTTTGGACCTCAAGCTTGCGCATGAACTCTTTCTCATCCCGAGTTTCGTCACCTGGCACTGGTGGAAATCATTCGTCGCAGAGTTCGTCAAAGAGGTAGATATCAAGGCGCTCGATCAAGTCAATAAGAGGTTTCACTTTGGCGACCTGCGTCTCGGACGTATCAATTCCGTGTACAGGATTCGCTACGCTCACACGCACTTTGTCCGCGGCTATCTTTATGGGTACAACCGCTATGTCGTCTTTTTTCAGCGCAAGTTCGGTTGGATTCTTATCGTGTTCGTATTCTTCAGCCTCGTGCTAGCTGCCATGCAAGTCGGCGCCTCCGTGGACCCACTTCAAGAGAACAACGCATTCTTGAAGAGTTGTTATGGGTTTGTGGTGTTTAGTATGGTGAGTGTGGCGGCGGTGTTGGGCGTCATCGGAGCTTTGTTCTTTTTCATATTCTTTTTCAACATGGTCACTGCGATTGGGCAGGCGAAGAGTCTGGAAATCAAGCGGGGAAAGATGGCGAAGGAGAGGAGGGTTAAAGAAGCCTGAATACCTGGGGGCAGGAGCAATACGAGGGGTCTCTGCTTCGGTCTGGGGCCATATAGGCGGTGAGGCTGTCTTCACGCGGAACGTGAGACTATAATGGTGAGTTTGAACCATTAACTGGTCGCTTCGCTGTGCACATTTTGAACTTCGCCTGAGCACTGATAAACGAATTGACGATTATTGGCGTTGAAGCAGGAACATCCTTGTGTACAGGAGGAGCAATATCAATTATATATATATAATGCATTGGCCGCTCTCGCAATGCATCGCAATGATGCTCAACATTTTATCACACAGTCCTCATCACACCACCATCGCCTACCGCTCGCACATCGTCTCCATCCTCTCTGTAGCTCATAATGCTCGCCACGGCTTTCGTCTCCTTCGCATGCTTCCTCTTGATCAACGATAACATCACGCTATTATACAACAGAAACAGTGCACAAGTAGCGACGGATAGAGCGGCCGTAACAATTATTGTTGCGCGCGCGGTCACAGAGTACTGGCCTGCGATCACATTTTATCAGCCCTAAATGTTTTCTCTTTCCTCCTCATGCACATAGAGCTAAGTAGGAGATGATGGAGAACTCACCACTCTGCGCAGAGTAAACATTCACAAGCGTCGATATCAGCCCCGCAATACTATTCATCAAGCTCGGCAGAAAAATCCTATTGATGACCCAGACGTAGTTCTTCTTGTGCTTCCACCACAGCCAAACGCATCCGAGGACGCCGACGCCGCATGCAAACGCCGCGACGTACAGCAGCGGCACGTTTCGCACCGTGGCTAGTGCATGCGCTTTCAATGCGTTGTTGGCTTTCTCGTCGAGATCTTTATCGTTGAGTTTGTTGAAGGTCGCGGGGAAGACGATGTATCCCGCGAGCAGAACCCACGTGAAGAACGAGGCGAGGATGTTGTGTAGTTTGGATACGTTATCCAGGCCGAGGAGCATGTCGATGTAGCGGGTTTGCGCGGTTGTACGGCGGCGCTGGAGGCCCGGTCGTTCAGGTACCGATTTCTTAGAGGCGGTGGATTTGGTTCGGTCAATGGTTGATGGGTTTCGTTTCATTTGCGAGGGTGTGCGAATGGGCTCTTGGATGCGGGTTGAGGGGTTGCGTGTGGGTGTTGGCTTTGTAGGCGCATTGATGAACGCGCTGTCTTTCCGCTTCTCATCCATACTGTGTGGTACTTCGAGAGAGGCAGTCGGCTCGCGGACGGTGGGGAGAATCGATTCCTCTTGCGCTTTCTTTCGTTTGAAGAAAGACATTTTGGATAATGGGTTGACAGGCATGGTTCAAGGGGCAGCGATTACTGCTTGGAAAGCTACAAAGAATGTCGAAAACCTCAGTTCTACAGGACCCACCTCGCAGTATATCTTCACTTCCATGATACCGAGATAAATACATCACCATCTAGCCAATGGTCCAGGGTCCAAACCTGTTCCTGAGACACAGTATCCCATTCGCCAGTGGCATGGCGAGATAACGTTCGGCGTGAGTCAAGTTGGACTGCTCGCAAAGGGATAGTCTAACGGGCGTGCGACTTGTTTCGTGAAAGAGGGCAGCGTGTAGGACGAGTGGTTGGCGGAGATTGGGTAGCGAGACAGGGGGCTGGTGCCGATCACTTGTTGCGTCATTGTGCATGGCTGTCTGCGAGTTGCGAGAGCGTTGAAGTCCCAGCTCGCCATCGTCAAAGGTACATCTGCCCATGTAACTTCAATGTATGATTGACGAAAGTGGAGGCCCAGATCGAGGTACCAAGATTCGCACCACGTTCCGACCCATTGGTGGAAGTTCCTGCACGTGATCCGTTCTCCGAACGCCCCTTCCCTCCCACGTTTCACCCACTCCCCACCAACAACTGTCTGTACCCTCACATGCAAGGCACAATGTGTCCTCCCGCCTAGTCACCAGACTTAAGTATACTCCACCGTGTCCTATTAATCTACATCTCCTCGCCTACAGTGGAGCTTACCCCGGCGGTTAATATGGAAAGCGGGAAAACGGTGCGGCTGCGTCTCAAACTACCGATTATGGCAAGCTTCGAGAAGAAAAGGACAGATGCATGAACTGTAACGCGGAGCTAAGAGCTTGGGATGCTGGGAAGCTTGGGGTAGAAAAGTTGGGGTGTGACCACTTTTTCGATAGCTTTTGTTTCTCTGTACTATTGCGATACCCACTCCATTCTGTCCTAAGACTGTAGTGCCCGAGAGAAGAAATAATAGAACGAAAGATTCTCTAAACATAAATCTTCAGAAGCCGAGCTCAACATGCGCTTCACTACGCTATTTCCCCTCCTCGCCGCTACAGCCCTCGCCTCCTCCGACTCCTCCTCATCCTCATCATCTGCCGCCTCCTCAGAAGCATCCCCCAAAGTAGAAGAGCCCACACCAGCCGGCGAAATATGGGCCGCCAAATGGAAGGACGAGGATCTCTCATCCTACACCAAGCACTGTGCCGGCAGCACCACATTCAAAGCGCAGATCTACACCCTCGGGGAGATGTACCCGACGCTGAAAGATTTTGCGCCGCAGCTCAAAGTCTTCTACAATAAGCAGCTTTACCCCGGATCATGGGAGGGCAAAGATGTGCATGGTGAGGGAAGAGAGCTATTGAAAATGCCGTTGGTGGAGTTACCGTTTGCGGTGCGGGAATGGTATGTTCTTAGTTCGGGGAAAGGAATAATGAAGGAAGAATGCTAATACAGTGCTCAGGTTGACCAAGAGTCCCAAACAGCGTCACTTCAGCGTCCAGGATGACACCGTCTTCTTCGCCCCGGGCGCCATCTACCCCATCCTTCCGCTCTTTGTCGATGAGCCGGAAAGCGACAAGTTATCCGATTGCGACGGTTTGTACGAGGACCTTGAGAACTATAGTGCAGAGCCCAAGGATGGCGTTGTGCTGGGTAAGGTGGCGCACAAAAGCTTGGGGAAGAACGAGGTCGAGGTCACGCTTGATGCGTTCCAAGTCAAGGGGGCGGCAGGGGCCAAAGATGAGTTGTAGGGACGCGAAAGCAGGAGTCTTGATTGAAAGGGGTGTGGCGTTGACTTGGCCGAATCTTCTTGTGTATAGCTATTTTCTTTAGGTAATTGATTGGGAGACCACCACTTTACGAAGAATTGGATGCGTAGTCTGAGGTCGGAAAAGAACTTTGAACAGGCGTGGCGCAACACTCGCGGCTGTAAACAATGCCACGCGCAGTTGAATCATGGGTCGTGTTCGAGATTTTCCCCCTGGAACTGAGAATGTAGTCCGATTTCGATGCCATTTGTTTCGATACCTTCTCAATCCCACTTCCATTCAAGAGCGGACGTGACATCGCCTTGGTAGCCAGCAGAAGCTCCACATTGACGCCATCAAGCTCGTTCTCCATTATTTGCTCATAATGTTCCCATCGTTCCACGACTTGAGTTGTTGCTTTTTGCTGATCTGTCGGTAGGTAGCACCGCGTGCAGCCTGCGCCGACCGTGCTTCGTCCGCATATCAATCCTCACACAATTTGGGACATGTATCTCCAGGCCCTCCAGCCGCTTTGCACACGCATCGACTTGTTTCAGGACGTGCTCTGGCGGAATAAGTTGACGCCGAAAGATTGTTTGGTGAAGGGTCGCGGGACGTTGAGGTTGCGGCAAGGAGCCCCTGGAGGCACATTGAGCTCACAATGATTGGCTGCAAAAACGCCGTCATCACGTGTACGTTACATTCACCAGACAAAACCCAGGCACGAGTGATCGCTATCCTAGCATAAAGAACATATTCACCATTTGGTTGATCTAGCTTTTGCAAAATCGACGTAACCTATTTTGATTGATATAACGCTTGCATCATGAAACCCCTCAATGCTCTTCCTGACACCGCTTCAACGTTTCGAGGATTTCAATAAAGTGTTTGAGCTTGACCACACATTACTCATTGCACCCGGCAGTCCTACATATAATAATGCTCTGAAACTCGACCTTGACGCCCCTTGCACAGGTATGTAAGTCTTGCACCAATCGGATTGTAGATTCTTGGAAAAACTTGATATGAGCTGTAACGTAGGCTTCGTTGTTTATGGAAGCTGCGGTCGGTTGAGTCGGATAGTCTTGTGTACGATAGTAAGTTTCGAGTTGGCTCTATTTGGAGGCGCCCTGGAGAAGGCAGGGGTTGGTTCATCTGCCTCTTCTCCTGCATGTTAGTTGGGTGTTGGCTCGTGCTTCTTTGTTTCGAAGCCATTCTGGGATTGTAGAGAAGGACTATATCTACGTCCAGGTCTTTTATCCCAGTACAGAAGTCGTCAAAGGTCCTGCATACTCGTTACCGATGCCCACGGGATTCCACCTTCTGATCGCTGAACATCTCGATCTCGGGTGACTCAAAAGCGTCTCAACTGCTTTTGCTTGTTGCATATATCCTTGTTCATTGGTTGTGCCGCGGGCGTCCCCTCTTTTGAAAGCTTCCTTCTCGTACGTATACTTGAGTGTGGGATGCTATGACTTACAAACTAACGTGATGGAGCTGTGCTGTAGTCCTTACAGTCTAGAAGAGGCTAAGAAATCGAAGATCTCCAGCGGGGAAGCAAGCTTGGCGTCAGCTGCGGTAAGTTCAACAATGCGAATCACTCCTATTCAGTAACAAGTATGAACTCCGTAGGATTTTGCAAGCAAGTAAGCAGTGCGAAGCTACTATAGCTAATCCCGTATGGGAAGGTCAAACAGTGCTATATCACTCTCATCCTATCTTGACCCCAGTCAGGCATATGCTGGTCTCTAAACAATGGCGAGTGAAATATCTATCCCAGAACGTAAATGGGTCGAGATAGATTCTAAGATCCTACGCCCAAATGCAAAAAGGTATAAGTATCCGAGTTGTCTCCATGTCCGTTTTTGCGACTCACCACTACACTATAAAAGCACCTTGCTAGCACTCACGCTCTACCAAGCTTTCCACTCTTACGATTTCCAAATTCGATTGCTTCGCACAGCTTTGCCCAAGGTCACCATGCGCTACTTTCCTCTTGTATCTCTGACTCTCATCCCAACCCTGGCACTAGCCGGCACCATCTCTTTCGCCTCCAACACCGAATGCGAAGGCGGAACCGAACAAACAGTCGCGAGTTACACCTGCTCAGAGGCGCCTGCGGGATTAACTGGTTCCTTCTTGGTCACTGACACGGGTGGATGCGACTCGATTGGCTTCTACGACAACGCCGATTGCACCAATGGACAGGCGTACTATAGCGAAACCGACATTCTCAAGTTTTGTCTTGCACCGAAATACTCATTCACCCACTACGATTTCACCGTGTGTTAATAGAGGTCGGTGCCGAAGTGGAAGTGAATGAGAGGATATGTGGGGTTGGGGAGAAACAAGATGGGCGATTGAGCGGTACAATCACTAGTTTACAGAAAGTTCGAATCGTCGCGATGAGATCGTTGAGGAGAGCAGAATCTCGATGTTCAGTCGCACCCCTGCCAGATATCTCAGAGGCCTATTAATATCACTTAAGTCCAAGCGTAGATGAATTCAGCATTAACTCACTTGTCTTCGGAAGCTAGATGAGGCTCCGTGCTAGAAAGGTTTCCCTGAGCACTCCTCAGTTGAGTGCAGAACCACACATGAATAGAAAGACATAAACACTATTCTCAAACTTTTTGCGTATAATATTTGTGCGCGTTCACTACCCTGCTAAATGAACCGAAGCCTGTTTTACGCGGAGATTGGTGTACCACGTCTCTTAAAAAGAGATAAGTCATACCATCAGGCTCTCGCTGATTCATGCCTACAGAGTACACTTATCATGAGAACATTGTGTATTTAGAGGCCTATGTATGCTTTTCCAACCAACAACCCATGTACCCCTGAAAATGCAGCAAGCGGATATCATATGCTCCCAAACCAAACCCACACAAGACGCCATGTCCCACATCCAAACCAAGACCTACACCCTAAACAAACGAAAACCACGAAACAGGAAAATAAAGAGCTCATCTCGAACTCGCATTCGAGCTCCCCTCCAAACTCCTGCCCTTGCTGTAATCTTCCTGCCCATCCAACCCCCTAAACGCCATCCTTCCATTCCCCCTCAGCACCTCACAAACCATCTCGGCACTAACCTCATACCCGCTCTTCTTCCACCTTCTATTCAGCCACCCCGCCAGCGCATCCGCACTACATCCCCACCTCCTCTCATCCCATGCCCTGAGAATGACTTCCACGATGCCAGCATCGATGCCAGGCTCGGTCGCGGATTGCAATGGGACAGATGATAGAGGGAGTGGTAGCGCGCGAGGGGGGAAGGTGGATTCGTAAGCGGTGAGGAAGTGTAAGAGGGTGTGTTCGGTGTGGGGTGGAGATGTTAGAGTGAGACCGAAGGGCTGACCGTTTAATTTGAGGGCGGAGAGGGGGCAGGCGGCTGTGGGGTAGGATGCCGCTGCTGAAAGCGTCGACAATGCGGAATCTCCTGGCGCAATAAGAATATCGAGCTGGTGCTGGTTGAAGAGGAAGTCGAGGCCATCGCGGCCGCCGGCTGTAAGCAGATGCGTACGAAGGTGGTTTAGATGTTCCTTAGGCGTGTGCGATTGCAGTGCGGAGATGAGGTCGTTTTGGTGGGGGCAGTTTGGCGGGAGAGTGAGTTCGGGATGCTCAGTGTTAAAATTTATAATCTCGGCGAGGGAATGTACTTTCGTCGTCTTGAACTGCCGTATGAACTCTGTAAGGCATTCTTTGAACTCGGAGTATACGATGGGCTCGAAAGCATTCGCATTCTCATAGTTCAAGGACGATTGAGAAGGTAGTTCTACTGGGTATACGATGTCGGCGCCCATTTCGATGAGGGATTGCACGACCATATCGTATTTCTGCAGCATGAAGCGCTCGGCATCGGCGTTGATCCGGCCGCTTTTGCGCCAGGATCTCCAAATCGTAGGCTCGGTGAAGCCGATGCGGAGGCCCGCAAAATCGGAGCGAATCTTGTAGGTGGGTTTTTGAGCACCGAATTTCGTTTCTTTGCCGGTTGGAGAGAGGATCACGTCCATGAGGGCGACGAGGTCTTTTGCTGATTTGGCCTGTAGTCATTTCAGTGAGTGTACATAGGAAACAGCAGGAGATAGTGCATACCATTCCACCAGCTGAGTCGAAGCTCTTGCTGAGTGAAAAAATGCCATCCATGGGAACTTCACCGATCGTAGGTTTCAGCGCATACAAGCCAGCGCGGTTCGCAGGTGTGATAAGAGAACCGAGTGTATCGGTTCCAATAGCAAGAGCACTAAACCCCGATGCCACGCTCACGGCTGATCCTGTAGATGAGCCTCCAGGTGCGGAAAGTTCCCAATGTAGCTTCTTTTTCGCAATATGTCTTGCCACATACGGTGACTGGCACTGACCTCCCACAGCTGACCACCCAGGCGGCATAGATGGGTTCTTCAACCCACAGAACTCCGTGAGATTCGATTTCCCTAATATGATGAGGCCTCTTCGGATGAGACGGTCGACGATGGTAGCGTTCCTCTTTGGTATGCATCCCACAAAAGCGTACGAGCCTGTCCCGCATATGTTAACTTTCTGAAGCCCTGATGCTGCCAACGCAATTCGACCTACCAACAGTAGTATCCATGCCCAAATTCGCATCCGTCATGATATTGTCCTTCAATACAATTGGTATCCCATGCAACGGTCCTCTCCTCTTCCCCCTACTCCTCTCATCATCTAACCTTCTCGCAATGCGTACCAACTCATGTCTCGGCGCCACACTTATCAATGCCCTAAGCTGTCTTCCCCTCCGGTTGTGATGCTCAATCTGGTGCAAATAGGCCTCTACGATTTCTACGCTGGTGATGACGCCTGCGTTCAACATTTCCGCTAGCTCAAAAGCCGATGCGACCAGTGGGTCGAATTCTGGTTGGAAAGAAGCATCGCTGCCGGCAGAAGTGACGGATCCTTTGCGCGCGGCGTGGACTTGGATAGTTTGGAGCAGCTCGGGTGGTAGTTCAGGCTCGAAGGCAGAGGGCGTGAAAGCGGCCTTGAGGGACTTCCACATGGTCGCAGTGGAGCGACGGGATCGTCGGCGCGGCTATAGGAAGCGAGGGTGTAATCTGCAATTCGCGATCTTGCTAAACAATCGATGACTTGCTCCCATAAATGGACATTTGAAGAGAAGCAGAATGAAGCTGAACAAGACAATAGGAACGGCCAGCACGCTCGCCCACCCCGCGAGAGCCAGCCCGCATCCTCATAAATGCTGCCCTTGCCTTGGCTCACCATTCGCACGCGTGAGCACAGCGGTTCCCCAGACTAGGGTTCTGCCTACTGCTAACCGATGGCGGTTACACTCGTGTCCTTCCAGAAGACGCGTTCGCCAATTGCGAGTCAGAGCCGAGCCTTATTCATGGTATAAATCCTTGTCGAAGGACTGTTTACCCGGCACGTAGGGCCGCACGGAGCATCGCTTGTGATTGCTGGGGAAAGCGGCACCTACCATCCTTGTTGCAGGTGCGTGAGAATGATTGCTGCAACGTGGAAGATGTATGGAAATGTAGTCCTTTGCTCCACCTTGGCGGCTTGTTGTTCAGTTTTGCTTTCTCGATGGTCGCAAAGGCTTGCTGTGCCCTGCTCATGCATCCGCAAAGAGCAGAAACATCGAGATAACACCCAATAAGCCACAGCCTGGAACTCTGTCATGAACCCAGCCCGGATCCAGGTTCTCCAATTTTACCGAAAGCTTTGGCAATCCGCATGTATCCGCATGGCTAAGATCAGCACCCTGATACCAAACCCTCAACCTCTCAGCAGGCTCCTGCGCATTTTAACATGCGACATTATGAGGCCTCGGCAGCATGGTAAACGCGTCAAACCCAGGGAACCGCAATCTCTGTTCCAGAACAATGCTTGAAGGATGCGAGGTCAGATGGCTCGCTCGCTAGTATAGCGTGCGTCGTATAGAAGGGTATGCGGACCGACGAAGACGTGCGGCATCCCACCCGTTTCCATCCAGCCTCCGTATCATCACGCAGCCGCCGATAGATGCAAAGAGTGTAATTCTCCCGCTGCTGATCTCTGCGTGCCGTGTCTCGTTTGTGATGTTCTGGAAGTCGCCCAGGCACTTCGAGCACCCAATCAAGGACCGTTCGCATTCTCGAAACTGCCTGCCCAACATCCCTCTCCCCACCATAAGCAATCAACCCTCATATAAATTTCCCCGCCTTGAAGTGGGCGGCTAGCAATGACGCCACGATGTTTTATATTACCGCCCAGCTGCCATTGATAGTAGAGATTCAGAGATATTACGCATCCCAGCGGCACATCCAACGGGCTCATCAACTGACCTGTTCTTTTCTACCGCGAACCTGGGATACTATGATGCAGCCGGTGGGAGTGCGAAGTGCCGAACGGCACTGAGAAATAGATTAAACAGGTATGTGGGGCAGAACGGAGCGGAGGATAAGCGGTATGAGCGCGCCGAATTCGAGGAGAATGCCACTTGACATTTCTTATTCTTCCTGATATGCAGCAGATCATTGGTGTTGACATGGAAAAGGAAAACTTGAGACGTACACACGAGAAGAGGAGCGGCTCGCTTCCGCCGCTTCTCTGCATGGAAGGCTGCAGATCTTGGAATATTGACAGGCTCTAGACTCTTCGCCTAATGAGGATGGCTTGACTGGTGGGAAAACAGCAGAGACATGTAAGAAGTGAGACTGTTGTCGCGAAAAGTAACGCTCAAGCTCCTACTGGAGGAAGTGGTATGTGTTTTGGGTAAAGGTATCTCGAATTCGCTACAGCGTAGCTGTGAAAGAAATGTTCCGCCCCTCTGCACTCGATTTGCTAGATATCCTTGCCATCGAGTAACAGGACCATCTCTTTGCAACATGTGAATTCCACTTGGAATAATGCTAGCTGTGAGCTATTGTTGCACATTCGAAAAGGGACCGATCTTTGTAGGGGATGCTTTACTATACAAGGGATATCTCACAGCCGAGCGCTACTGTGGTGACCATCTTAGAACGTGGTCGTGGCTAACCTGCTAGCCGCATTCTTTGCATCGATGCGATCATCGTCATCGTCGGCGCCAGCCTTGCTAGTCGCACGCTTTCTTCCAGTGGTGCTTTCCTCTTCGCCTTCTTCGTCTTCTTCTTGCACACCAGGAACGGCAGGGAAGCTACCGCTCATGCTTCGGTTGAGTCCATCACCTGGCCGCCTTGGGACACCAGACCAAGCATCGCCCTTCGGCCCTTGAGAGCTTGCCATAGATGCACGGCGCACTGCCGGATGTGCCTCGCGACCCAGACGTGAAAGTCCACCGCTATTGTCTATCGCTCGAATATCGGGCCTCACGGATTCTAGAGTAGCGAGTGTGCGACGTTCTGCTTCTATTTGACGCACAACATACTCCCGGACCGCATATCGCATGTCGGCTGCAGTTCGGTCGAACCATTTCCTCTGCTCTTGAAGGAGGTTCGCGGTTACTCGCTGAGACTTTTGAAGAAGATATTGCTCGTGACTGCGGGCTTCTTCCAATGCAGTGATAGCCTCATCCACCTTGTCCCTTTTCACGCTTGAGCTTGCTTTCAACCGGTCTGCTGCTGACATCTTCGACTTGGTCGAAGCTTGTGCCTGCAACAATTCTCGCAGGAGGATGTGTCGGTTCGTCAGAGTTTCCTTGACAATGAAGGCATCACTGCTGTGGTACTGGAGAGGGTCGCCCAGTGTCGTTGCCTCGGCTGTTCCTTGAGCAGCATGGAAGTCGCCCGTAGCCTGGATGACTTTCCCTAGCTTTCTGTATGCCAGGCCGAGACCGGTATGTGTTTCTTGCACATGCATTGCTGCGAGCTTCTGTCCTAGATCAGACTCGGCAACCCCAAGATCTGATGGTCCAAGTCAGCGCGGGCACATGTTGCAGTCGAGAGATAACCTACTTCTCCTAGACTTGACGACCTTCTCAACTTTCTGCTCCGTGTCCATGGTGCCCAAGTAGAAAGCCTTTACTATCGGACGCGCAGCAGCGAGCTCAGGCGTGTCGTCTGGCGGGGGCGCAAACTGCTTGATCACCTTCCGGCGAACACCAGTCGCCGGTTGTTTCCTTCGAACGACTGGGCTGTATCCAAAATCGCTTTCCACGAAAAAGACCATCTCTTCGTCTCGTATCAGCACCTCGTTGCTGCATACCACGTTCAGCCATCGCTGTATTGATGCTTTGACGCGCGCTTCGTCCTCGTCGGTTCCCGCGCCAGCAGCTGTAGTTGCAGGCGGTACTGCAGGTACCATAGCTTCCGGACATGCCGATATTAGATGCTCTGCAAGCTTCACGAATTCTGAGTGCAATCGTCGGACATCGCGGAACTGGGTCGTGCGGAATTTAGGAAGGTTTGTCTTGGAAATATTAGCACATCATTCAAGAGGACTATGTTAGGCTCCACGAATCTTTGAACCGTGAATAACATACGTATACATCAAATCGGAGGATTGGGTCCTTCTTGCCGGTGCGCTCCAGGCCTGTTACTTTTGCTTGAAGCTTGTAGTGGGTCTGCGGCTTCTGCTGGCGGTTCCCATGGTAGCGTTGGGGTTGATTATGTCCTTGTTGGCCCTGCGCCGGAGCTTGTTGTTGCTGCTGCGCTGCCTGGCCATCTTGCCTGGGGTCTTGCGATTGGGGTCGGGCCGGGTCGCCATTCTCAGACGCCGTATTTGGCCTGTTCTGGTCGCCCATATATCCATAATTCTCCGATTCCTGGCCATAGGGAGAAGCTTGCGGCGGGAGCGGAGAGGAGGGGATGTCGCTGGTGGGAGGCTGGCCAAAGCTCGTCCTGTTGTGCTGCGGGGAGGACGCCCATGGATCGCCTCCTGCTGGGTGGTCGGGGTCATGCGCAGAGTAGTCCATGGCGGCGACAGCAATTGGAACGGGAGGCAAAGGGTAGACGGGCTGACAAGTGGACGTGGGTGGTCGCCTGCTACTGCTCCGGCGAGCAGCTTGGCTCGCTTGTCGTGACGGGGAAAGCGCGCGTCATTTCTCCGCAGTCACGTGTGGCGCGCTCCGACATCTGCACCTCTCATCCGATCGATTGCAGGCTGCACAGCATTGGGTATGTGGCTTGGATGGGCGTTATGTGCTCGTCGAGTCGTTCGACACCATGTGAGAGCTCCTAGGAGGCTGCTCTCGACGCAGGCCAGCCCGCAATTAGATTCGCTGTCGAAGACCACAAGAAACATTGGCATCATCGCTCATATAGATGCAGTGAGTGCATAGTCATCACGTAAATGACAATTACTGATCAAGGAAGGGCAAAACGACAACGACAGAGCGAATGCTCTTTTACAGCGGGTATACAAGAAGAATAGGAGGTACGTAAGATTTCCATCCTCGTCGCAAGTCAAGCATCTGGAACTCCTCCCTGACGACTGTATGAGTCCTTCCGGTGTTCAAGATCAACTGAACTTGACCAATGCGAATTATGTACTGTATAATGTGTCTTTGACCAACACTGATTATGATGAAGATGTTGACGAAGGATCGACTGTCACCGACTTTTTACCTGCAGAGCGAGCGCGAGGTATCACCATTCAATCAGCAGCCATCACCTTTGATTGGCCTCCAAAGAACCCTCAAGCTCCACCATCTCAGCCACCTGCTTCTTTCGATGCTATACCATACTCTTCATTCTCCCACAACGTCAACCTGATTGATACACCCGGACACGCCGACTTCACCTTTGAGGTCCTCCGCTCGCTCCGCGTGCTTGATGGCGCAGTATGCATCCTGGACGGCGTTGCCGGTGTTGAAGCGCAAACTGAAAAAGTCTGGACCCAAGCAGGAACCTATCAAATCCCCAGGATCATCTTTGTGAACAAACTTGACCGGGTTGGTGCGGCTTTTGCACGGACTGTAAAAGAGATCGGTGTGAGATTGCATGGTTGGCCTGCAGTATGTCAAATACCGTGGTGGAAAGACGGAAATGGCGACTTTGTTGGCGTCGGCGATGCTGTCAATTTGAGAGGTCTGCTGTGGCAAGCCTCGACCGATGGGAGTCAGATCCAGCCTTACACTCTCAAGCAGCTCGAAGGCGTTGATAAGAACTTCGCCGACGAGCTCAAGAAAGCTCGAATTGCACTGGTGGAGCTCTTGAGCGAACATGATGATGTAATGGTCGAGCTCTTCTTGGAGCACGACGAAGATCATCTTGCAATCCCGGGCCTTCAGATTATGCAATCGCTTCGTCGGACCATTCTCCAGGCGCCCCAAACCGTCATACCAGTCTTTGCCGGTGCCAGCTTCCGGAACATTGGCGTGCAGCCTCTCCTTGACTCTGTAGTCGACTTGCTTCCTTCTCCACTCGAACGACCAGATCCAGAGATCACTGTCGGGAACCAGAATAGTACTCTCAGTGAGCTACTTCATCCAGCATCGAAGGCTCCGATTCCGACACAGAAGAAGAATAAGAAGGACGAGAACGCAGTTGGCCCGGCGGAAGCCCGCAGTCTCTCGGCTTGTGCCCTGGCTTTCAAGGTGGTAAACGACGCCAAACGGGGCATGCTCGTATACGTTCGTGTCTACAGCGGTACGCTTGACCGTGGTGCTGTTCTCTACAACACCAATCTTCACCTTGCCGAACGCGCTCCTCGTCTTTTAAAGATGTATGCGAACGATGCCGTCGAAGTTGACTCACTGTCATCGGGCCAGATTGGTGTCATTCCAGGCCTCAAGCACGCACGTACAGGAGACACACTGATCTGGTGTAAGGGTTTGCCCATGAAGGCACAGCCTCCTGGTGGACTGAAAAGCCTACAGCTGAGGCCAATCAACGTCCCCCCTCCTGTCTTCTTCACCAGCATTGAACCGCATAGCCTGAGTGAGCAAAAGCATGTACAGGAGTGCTTGGCCATTCTCCTGCGGGAAGATCCCAGTTTGCAGCTCTCCATTGATGAAGAAAGTGGTCAAACACACCTTGCGGGGATGGGCGATCTTCACTTGGAGATCGCTCGTGATCGCCTGCTCAACGACTATAAGGCCAAAGCACGCATCGGTAAGATCGAAATAGGATATCGCGAGACGATTACATCGTCCACATCTCCCAATACCTACATCCTCGACAAGCCAATAGCAAGCAAACCGGCCAAAGCAGGCATCACGGTTGCTTTGACACCCATCGATGACTTGATTGTACCTGCAACGCCATCCGCACAGACGCTGCTGGAAGATGGTCCCTTCGAAACCACATACTTCCTACCCGACAATTGTACATTATGCATCACGCATCCCAATCTCTCTCGTCACGACTCCAGTGGCCACAAGAATCACATTCCGGCGCATCTCAGCCTTCCTGGTATCTTGTCCTCCGTACACTCCGGTGCGTCGGCAGCACTAGCTCGGGGACCTTACAACGGCTACCCTGTTTCCAATACGAGGATCGAAGTCAACATAGACGCAGCAGCACATCTGTTCAACGAGACGACGCCAACAGCAATCTCAATGGCCACCAGAACAGCCGTCCAAAACAGCCTGGGAGTAGCTAATGACACCAGCCCAGCAGTTCTCATGGAACCTGTGATGCTCGCCACCATTTTTGTGAACGAAGCCTCCCTCGGCGCCGTCGTCCAAGACATATCCTCGGCTCGCGGAGGCCAGGTGCTCTCCCTCGATTCATCCGACGCGCCTATCCCTACAACGTCGCTTACATCTGAAATGCCTACGATCGATCCAAATCTGATTTACACCCCACCTGATCCTTTCTCGTCTGGGATTAATGATGTTGGGTCTGGACTTGGAGACAGCCAAAGGCAAATCGTGGCGAGGGTGCCGCTGAAAGAGATGGTGGGGTATCTGAACCAGTTGCGTGCGTTGACGGGTGGGAGGGGGACCTTCGTGATGACTGTGGATGGGTTTGAGAGGATGGCGGCACAGAGACAAAAGGAGGTAATGGATGCGATGAGGGAGTTTGTTTAATCACTGGAATTGGTAAAGAGATGGTGTAAGATACAGTGCATGTGCAATCCGGAGGCGATGCGCTGCCATGTAGGTCCTAGTGTATGATATAAGTGTAAGAGAATACCTTCGTTGTACTTTGCAACGAAGGCAAAGACTCGGCTTGTAGAATTTCTGTCACATCACAGGATAGGGGGTACCGTCCGCTTGGATCCTCGAGAAACAAACTGTTCACATTCCCTTTCAATCGTCCGTCCGTCCAATCTCGGCTTGTCTGCCATCAAGAACTGCGGCGGACCTCAGAGTTGACCAGGAAGCTCGCACGCACGAGGCACCTGTGGGTCCCAGTCGCGTCAGCCGTCTCCTTGGGTAGTTATATAAACCCGTTTGCTCGACTGGTCCACCCCTCAAAACCCAAACGCCACCCTTATTCGCGCTCATGGTAGCACCTACTGACAATCCTGCAGCGCAGCCTCGCACAACTAATGAGAGGCTTGCTGAGGCTGGCTTTCAAAGCACACTAAAGGATATCACAGAAGGCATCAAGAATTTTCCGGTGACGCGGCCAAATCAATCTGGTGAGCATGCTCGTCTCTCACCTCACGCGCGCCTTCCCTAACAAACAGCAGCCGCTCACCACAACAACAATCGGCCCCACGCCGACAATTTACCTCTCGCCGTGCAACAAACAGCGCGTAAGCGATCTCAATCTGCTCCTCCAAGACAAGGTACGCCCTGTCCTTGACCTTCTTTGCCATTGCACTGTCAAGGCTGACCAGCAGTAACTCTTCCACTTCCCGAGATGAATCGCAAGTCTCTCCATGGCGCCCCTCCACGAGGCCCGCCGCGCCCACCGTATGGCTCTCAGGACGCACGAAGCGGTAGCAACTTCCCTACGCAAGCACCCGCACCTATTGGAGGCATTAGCCTGAAGAAAGCCGCGGTCAGAGTTGCGCGCCCTGCTGGACCTGTGCCTGGGACTCCCAGCAGCGCCGGCGGTCCTGCGCCTCCGGTCGTAGCGTCGCCGAAGGTTGAAGACGGGTATGTACTTTTTCAATAGTGCTAGATCCGGGTGACAGCTCTCCCAGTCTGTGCTACTCTACGATAGGCAGTGCAGATAAAGATGGAAGCTCCTGATCGAGCACTATAGCATCGTATGCTTTGTACGAGGACTGACTTTCATTTCACAGACATGCAATGGCGGCATCGACCGCCAACGCGCCATCCGCACCCAGCCTGGCTGAGTCCATCTCGTCCATCTCGAAAGAGGAGGCAGCACTCGAGGAACTGTGGGCACGACTGAATTCTCCATCTATGCTTTCGACCCCCACCCTGGCCAAAGAGAACGAGGAGTCTGCTTCTATAGCCAACTACAAAGCTGATAGCACGAATGCCAGCAAATCCTTTCCACCTGGCGTTCAGGTGCAACAGCCTGCCGCGCCTTCAGCAGCGAGTACGGCCAACACAGAGACCGACAGCACGAACGCTAGCATGTCCTTTCCACCGGGCGTTCAGGTGGAGATGCCTCTGCCGAAGGGAGGGCTGGTAGCTATCAAAGAAGAGCCGGTCGAAGACGAGATGTCACCCGCTCCCGCTGAGTCCAACCCTGACGAGAGCACTCCTGAGATGAAGTCTGAAGAGCGCACGGTTAAGAAAGCAATAGGTAAGTTGATCAGCGCCGCTCTACTCGCTACAGCTGCAGGACGTCAATTTGAGTACTGGTGGCCTTTGTATTATCATTGCTGGGGCAACACACAGTGCGCAAACTGTTCTTCTCGTATTGGGTTGCCGTTGTTTTCCATTCGACCTGTGCGCCGGGGTTGAGCTGACTGAGAACAGGTACCGATCTTGAGCAATTGTCTCTTCAGGACATCGAGCGCGAGTACCTGCTAAAAGCCGCGGAATATCTCACTTCGCTTCCATCGGATGTAGGCCCAACTGCTGAAACGGTCAAGAATGCGACCACCAAGCTCGGTCGCCCTTATGCCCCTTCTGCAATCTTGGAGCCGGATGTTGTAGAGGTGCTCAAGGGAAGATACGTGGATGCCATCTTTACATTTCTCGACGGGATCAACAAGAGTCATAAGTCTGTTACCAAAGACCAGATCGCAGACATCTTAGTCAAGGGCGACGGGAACTTCCTTCACCTATGTACTATGTTGGCAGAGCAAGGCTTCATCTCAATCGAGAACCTAGATCACGTATGCATCGTCCCAGTACGTTTAGTCCTTTGCTAACGTGGTTGGCCAGGTCGTTGGTTTGAGCAAGGCAGTCGAGAGTGTCCTTCCCGAAGATGAAGATAGCGAATCTTCCACACTAGCTCCAGCTGCCACATCGAAGGACCCTCTGGAGGGTATGACCTCATGGCCGGCTCGCGAGAAGCGGGAGAATGGTAAGATTGTATGATTTGTATATCACCAGGCCACTACTAATCTTGGTTTAGCACCAAAGTGCCGCACTTGCCTACTCACAGGCTTGCCTGAGAACATCAGCTTCAACAGACTACAAGCATTGGTCAGTGCAATTTCCTTCCTCACGCAACCAGGTAGTATCACGTCGTAGCGACGGCAGTACAGTCAGAATCAAGCTGCTAACACGTGGCGGTCATAGGTCTGGGGTGGTAGGATTGAGTCACTTCAACTTCCCAAATCCGGCTCCGGTAAAGCTATCGTCAAGTTCTTCACCGCCGAAGCGTGCCAGAAGTACTTCGACGTTACTGAGAATGGCATCACTATTCCCGGCACAAAGACTGTCGTCTTCGTGGAGAAAGCGGAAGGCCCTAACTCCGTCAACGATGTGCTCGCTGCCTGCACCGAGGGGGACGCCACACGCTGCGTTCGAGCCTATGATGCGGATGAGGATTGGGGCGATGTGATGCTCATGAAGCTTGCCACTCGCGCCAAAGGCGGCCAACCCAAGCGCGAGGTCGACACCATCAAGCGCGGAAAGACTGCTAGAGGCGTAAGTTTACCCCAGTCCTACTTGGTGGAATAATTCTACTAGGAATGCCCTTCTTAAGAAAACCTTACTAACCTTTAGTTACACAGCGATCCTACATCGAATTCCGCTTCGCGAAGTTCTACGCGGCCCTCCAGTTCAAGCGCGAGCTTATGGAGGACCAAGAATGGGAGCATTGCACCATCATCTACGCTCCTGATCCGTGCGAGATTGCTCAGGGTATCCACATCAAGGACGAGGTCGAGAAGGTGAAGCCTAGCGGGTCCTCCTAGGTTCGCGGCGCATTCGGACAGGTCGCGCTTGATCGGCTGCAGTCTGAGACGGTGCTAGCAATGATTTTCGGGTTAAGAAACCTTGTGATTGAGGCAGGAGTTGGGAGTATGAGATGACCGCTCATTAACCCTTCCGACCTGGTCTATGCCGCATTGGGCGTCTTGATAGCAAGTACCTGACGGGTCCATGTTTAAGGCAGTCATGGGCATAAGCGAATGAATACCAACATGATCTGAGCAACATCATCTACACCGGTCTCAAAGATTGGGTTCACGATTTGCGTTCGATGAAGCATTACCTCTTATCCTGTCTAATAGATGCAGCCGCAACACAGTCTGACAGGGCTGTTCACTTCTAGCACCTGCCGCTCGTCGCTCATTAATAATAATCTCATTTCCTCTAACATCATCCAAGCCTATGCAATGCTCGTTATCACCCCGATGACTCCTACTCGTCCACGGCTACGTGCGGCTGGATGTTGTTGACTTCGCTTTTTGCTTCTTCCCACGCGGCCTGGTTGCGTTTCGCCCAGTCGATGTGACATTGCGCGAATTCAATCTGAACAAGGGATGATTAACATCGAGGCGAAGAAATCGCGGAAACAGGGGAGCTTACCATGTACCGTCGCAAATCGTTCTCCTTCTCTGCTTGGAAGCGCCGCAGGTCTTTCAGCACGCCGGAGCTCGCGTCCTTGGTGTCCTTCTCGGCCACGACTACTGCTTGTTCGAGCTGTGAAACGTCAGCATCATATGTCAACAAAAGATAACAGAGGTACGGACCTGATGCAAGCTCTCCCTCGTCTTCCCAATCTGATCCCTCCTCGTCCTCTCGGGATCCACATCCGCCATTCCCCTAAACGCATGCGTGATCGGCCCAAACAGCTTATTCGTTACAAAGTTCCCACTCGGGCTCTTCTTATGCGGACTTGTTGGTGATGTCGTGCTGGCTTCAGGGCTCCCTTGCGAGCTCGACGGGACCTCGCCATGTGTAGGCGGGAAATCCGAATCAATCGATGCGGTGTCTTCCTCAGGCCGTCTATCGTGGCCGCTGCTGCGCTGTGAGCTGTTCGAGGTAGTGCGGCCGCGGACGGGCTGTGGGTAGGCACCGGTGCCGCTGAGATGTTGTTCTAATCGCTTGGCTTCGGCTTCGCTGTGTTCGAGGGATTCGAGCAGGGAGCGTTTCCTTTGGAGTTCGTCTTTTGTCATTTCTTCTTGTATTCGCTTTAGAACGCGGTAGCGTAGTACGCTGCGGACGACGCCCGCGAACTGTGCGCTCTCGCGCATGGGCTCGGCGAAGCTGGCGCTTAAGGAAGAAGAGAGCTCCGCGGTTGCTATGTATGTGGAATCCACCGCTTGGCCTGTCTTCTCTATCGCACCAGCTAGCGATTGTGATTGCTCTGACAGGGAGAAGGCATTGAAGCGGGCGCCCAGCTCGGCCAAATCTTCTCCCAGAGCTGATAGATGCAACAATGTGCGTCTGTTGACCTTCTCCATGCTGCCCTGTAGTAGGTTCTCCAGCTCTTTCGATGAGGTTTCAAAATTTACAAAATACGGGTCTAGGTCCTCTTCAGTGAGGTTTTTGGACTCTGGAGGGAATCGACCGAAGATCTGCGGGCCTGGTGTTGTATGTGCGGCTGTAGAGGGCTGTGCGGCATGGTTCGGGGGGGCGGTGGGCGTTCCGGATGACGACGTTGTGCCGCCGGATCTGAGCTTCGCGGAGGATGATGGGACGGGAAGGTAGCTATGGGCTTGTGAGGGGTTTGCGGTATCGAGCGGGGGTGCCTTGAGGATCTGCTTGGGAATGTTCGAGACCGGCGGCGCATGGAGCACTTCGTTCTGTTCGACCGCATCAATGAAGTATTCTTGGCGGGATAGATTGTTAGGGGAGGTATTACCCAGCTCGTGTGAGGATCGAGGAATCTCCAGAACACGCCATCCTCAAGGACCTCCTTCATCCTCCTACAACGATTGAGGAAGACAGCCAGCATGCGCTTCCTCAGCTCAATTATTCCTGCATCCTCTTTTGCCCTGGTCGGCTTCGCAGCGTAGTCTGCCATTGTGTGCTTCTCGGGTATTGGTGGTATGATGAGAGTGGGATGCAGGTTGACCAGCGTTGCGCGCAGAGAAGCAAACTCAGAGTATCTGCGCCGTACCTCCATGCCCTATAATGTGCTTAGCTTTCTTCCATTGCGCGTAGAGCCTGTCGTACCCCAGTCGCGATTGTGTATGTGATCCAGTTCCCGCCGCCTTCCACGTTCTTCCCAGCATACGTGATCAAGATGGGCGAGTCGGGATTCTCGTACAACCATTGCTCCGCGCGGCTGTCATAACCGCCTTTTTTGGGCACTATGGGCTCTCCACCAGACTCGGCCCCGTCCTCATCCTCGTCTTCATTCTCGTTGTCATCGTAGTTTATTTCGGTAAGACCTCGTCCGGGAACGTACTCGGGCGAATCATGAGCGGGGGAGGATGCTTCCGAGGGCGGTGTCGCGGGGCGATACGGTACTGCGAAAGTGTTAGTATAAGTATCTCAAATACACAGGCACACATTGCGCAAGGCTTACAAGCTCCGGGCGAAGACAGGCCAGGCACTTCATTGGAATTGGAGTCGTGGCGGGCGAAGGAGCCATACGGATTGTTATCCTCGTCGTCCCACATGGCGCCGATTGCTGTGCTGCAGGTAGAACGAGAGCGATGGTGTGTGGGTACGAACAGGCGAAGGCTGAGGAAGGGCTGTCGAGTGTTTGGTTCGCACTGCAGCGAAGCTCCAGGCACTTGCGGGACGGCCTCAACGTCATGTCATGTGGTGCACGGACCAGCAAACCATCACCACCAACCACCTTTGGCTCACATGCATCACTCGAGACACTACAAACTATCCAAATGGGCGAGAAGACCCCTACCAACGCGTTAGGGACGAGAAGTCCTGATCGTCGCATCGAGCCGCCAATAATGAAGAGCAGGTGTTGCCGCAGTCGAATGTCGTGGCATACTGGCTAGATTACGCCTATAGGCTTAGATTACAGGCCCAACTCTTTTATAATGATATCTGCCGCCTTCTCCGCAATAGCCACCGCCGTGTTCATCGTATTCGCAGCGACGTTGCGTGGTGGAATGCTTAAATCAGCAACCTTAAGCCCTTCAACACCGTAGACGCTCAACTTCGAGTCCACAACGCCCTTTTCCTCACGCGGCCCCATCTTGCAAGTACCCATTGAGTGCCATGTGGTCTCTACGTGCCGCCGCACGTAGTCTTCGATCACCTTGTCATCCTCCGGTGTGTACACAATGTCTGTTACATTCGTGGGTGGTTTATCACCCAACTGAACTAGAGCGGCGCTAGACTTGGACGAAAATGGCGGGTGCAACATCGCGAGTTCACCGCGGTATGTCTCCATGCGGCGGAAGATCTCGCGCTGCTTCTTGTAAGCCCATACATGTTTCTTAATATCCACACAGCTGGCATCTGAGAAGAAGCCGGTAGTGAAGTTAGGCTTGTCACTAGTCTCGGGCCCGCTGATATGGATGGAGCCGCGCGAGAGAGGGTATCCAGTGAATAAAGACATGGCAAAGTATTGACCGGCAGGAACGAGGGAGGGATCGCCTGGGAACCTGATTCGGTTAGTCGTATTATCTCTCTTACGGCGAACATTGACTCACGCATTAACCAGAGAGCCTAGCACAAGCGGCTTATTTTGGTCATTCTTGTAATCACTTTCCCACAGCGCTTGGAAATCCGGTCCTAAGGCTACAACCTCTGTTTCGGTTGGTCGAATCTTCCACGTAGTGTCCATCGCGTTCCAGCCAAGAATCGTGGCATTCTCCTGAATCAATTGGCCAACATCTAATCGGCCGCCAAGAAGGGCATCTAGAGTTTCATGTTCGTCTAAGGCCGATAGATATGGGTAGACCATGAGATGGTGGTCTTGGTAATTTTCTCCAACGCCAGGGAGATCTGCGACTACGTCGACTCCCGTCTTCTTGAGAATCTCCGGGTCCCCTAGACCAGATCTTTCGAGCACAGATGGGGTTCCCAGCGCCCCGCTGGACACAACAACCAACTTTTTAGCTCGAATAGTACGAGGGGTCCCGTCAGGATGGACTTTTGGATTAGGCCTGTATTCAACCCCAGAAGCTCTTTTGTCATCGAAGATAACCCGCTTTACTTGTGAATTCACAACGACGTGCAGATTCGGATATCTCCCACTTTGGATCTTAGGATGAATATATCGATAGGCTGTATCTTGCCGCGTGCCGTCAGTCCCGATATAGCGCAAAGCGCGTTGAACACCGTTGTTCGCATCAAGGGATGCTAAGTCTTCAAGCTCAGGGTATCCCACTTTGTTCGCAGCTTGAATCCAATCCGACTCTGACCTATTTGCACGGTACGTCCCGCCAGAGATGTTGATGGGGCCTTCGAAGCCATGGACAGCTTTTGGACCTGGGCCGTGATACGTTTCGAGCTGGTAAAACCAAATTAACTTTATTCGTCGCAATGACCCTTTCCCTGACGTACCTTTTTCAAGTAGGGTATCATATCTTCGGTTGACCAGCCGGGTACCTTCCATGCATTGAAGTCGGAACGTTGAGCTCTTGAATACATCATAAGATTTATCGACGAGCCCCCGCCAAGAGTACCCCCGGACGGAACGACCAGCTCTCTATCACCAAGCTGACTCTCCTTTTCTCCTTGATAGAAGAGAGTGGCATTGCTTGTTGGCATAAGGGCGCTCAGACACAAGGCTGGGTGCACGATGGTAGGCACCTCAAGATTATTAGGGCCCTGTTCAATAACCAAGATGGACAGGTCTGGGTCGGCTTCTGCGAGCCTTCCGGCAACAACACAGCCAGCCGTTCCGCCTGCGAGCATCCAGTCAGTCGTGTATAATGGATTGACAAGCATGTAAACTTACCTCCAGCAATAATGACGTCCACTTCTTGAATCCCATCTGGGAGGGTCTCATAAATCTGTGCCATTGTGATGTCGCAGAGCACTTGAATAAGGGTCCAGAATGTATCCGAAGCGTAGTGAGGGGAATCTGGAGACAGCGGAGATCGGCTCTCTCGTGCGAAAAGAGCCTTGTCTCAAGGCAACTTGGGAACGAGCTGGAGCGGTGAATGCAGATGCAGGGCTTAGAATCGTACGTTCAGGTGCTACAGAATTGGGTTTCTTTTCAAGAACCGAAGTACAGTGTGTCACAGTCGATCACCTATACCTAGTATAAAGGAATTCAAGCGCAGAGGCTAGATGCTGTATCCCAGCAATCAATACTGCGGGCATGGCAAAGTATCGGGCAGCCAAAGGTGTAATATAGAGGCGCGGGCTTTGGCGTGAGATTCTAAAGCCGCGGGAACGGGACCGCGCCCGGTACGAGATACCTCAAGCTAGGTGCTTGCATGCCCCGCAGCTCCATGAAGCAGCTAGCACCACCACGAGGTGCTGCGGTCAGCCAACCCATCCTTGGACACGCGGCTCGACCTTTCACCATCGGTCGGATTTGATCTGCGCTGTGGTGCTCAGGGCTGACCCCACCTGGCGAATACGGGGCGTGCGGCGCAACCACCTGTGGCGCACATGATTCACTCATGCACTCGAGACACCAGAGATTATCTGAGTAGGCGAGAACACCCCTACCAGGACGGTTCTACACGACGAACTAAGTAAGTCCTGGATAGTCAACATTGGGGCGAACGGAAAAGAGTTCTTGAGAGGCAATATATGCTACGATCGATACCTCCCCTAAAAGCAGCTCCCAATGCCCAGTAAGGCGCAAGACGGGATCCTCAGATTATCAAACATCCCGTCTTTATTACCCTTCCCGATCCCAAACAAAACTGGATACAATATCCGACCCCATATCCCCCTCTCGCTCCCTCTCACCAGTCGGAGAAACATCTTCCCCAACCTGTCTACGATCCCTCCGCTCGACGCTACTCACGTGTAGGCTAAATACAAAAGTCGAGGGCGAAGCGTCATGCTCCCCTGCCGCGTCTTCGACTGGTGTCGGTGCTGCTCTCCGCCGCACGACTTCCTCCGCTGGTTCCTCGATGACATCATTCGTTATCACCTCTTCCTCTTGCCTGTCTGGAGTCGCCGTTGTTTCTGCTACTCGATCCTCCAAAGAAACATGTACCTCTCGTTCCTCTTCCAGAACCGGCTGCAACGCTTCTTGCAGAGTACCTGCACGTGCTTCATGCTGGTGGGACATGGAAGGCGACATACCGAGGAGAATCGGCTGTCTTTCAGTCGGATCCTCCTGGACTTGAACTACCTCATCGTCGGCTGGGTGTTGAACTATTTCTTCGACCTCGATGTTGTTGGCTGGTGTTACCTCTTCCTGGTCAGCTTGTGGGGCTTCTGTAGGTTCCTCAATTTCTGCCGGTGGTACCATGCTTTCATGGCCGTATGACATGTTATGCCCACTAAATGGTGGACGAGGGCAGGGCTGTGTCACATCGCTCCGGCGGCGGTTGATATGCCGTGATGACCTGAGTATTCAGTTGACTTAGTAAGTGACTTGGCAAAGGTTTCGGGAGAACATACCGATTTATCACGCTCGCTCTCTCCATTGGCGGTCTAGGATACGCGCGCCTCTCCCGCCTCTCACGTCTGTCACGCCTTGCACGCATCTCTCTCGTCGACATCCCGCGCCCGTACGCAAGCTCTTCTGGATACTCCATCACTCCAGGGCCCCATGAGTCCTGCAGATAAGCTCTGCGTGCGCTCTCTCTATGCGGAGTATACCTTCTTCCATCACCTGTACACGCCTCTGGTCAGCAAAGTGCAAAGCATCAACGCATAGGATAAGCAAGGCTATCCTACATCATCAAATAGAGCATGGAGATGCATTACTAGGTGCGAGCCCTGACCTCCGCCTTGCACGGTCACGTTGCAACTTGCGTTCGCTCACTTGCGGTACGTATCCGAATTCGTCATCATAGAGCGGCTCGAAATCAGGCATCCTGGTACACATCAGCGCATGTGGGGGTGTCAGCGAAGCCTAAGCGCACTCACAACTGCCTCGGGTAGCTCGTCGGAATATGCGCTGGATCCATTCTCCACGGCGTCTGTGGGAAGTGGAAAGGAGGTCGCTGGGTGGCATTTGGTATCGGGCCCCTAGGTACTTCCTCTTCTGCTGAGCTCGAGGGTGAGCTTGAGGAGGCACTGTCCTCGACTTTCGCCTTCGCTCTCTCCCTCGCCTTTCTCTTTGCTTTCTCTTTTCCCTCTAGGTCTTTGCGAACCCACGCTGGTAACTCATCGCAGATCACGATTTCGTCTACGTGCTCCGGTCCTCTTGGTGCTGGGGACTGACGTTCAGACGACTCGTACCGTTCAACAAACTCGTCTTCCACAGCTAGGGTTGTGGAACTCTCCTCTTCTGGGTAGTTTTGCGGACATGACGATTGATATTCCACGTGCGGGCCCGCACCCGAGCCTCCCATGTCGGCATCCAGAGATAGCACCGGACGAGGTATACTCAGGGGTACGTACTGAGGTATGTACGACTGCGGAATCGGTATAAAGGCCGGAACGTACGTAGGTGCATACGGCTGGAGCATAATACCGTCTGAACGCCCCGATCCACGCTCCTCGTCGAATGCGTGCCGCCTCGATCTTGGAAGCATGTATGTCTTCGGCATGGGGCTTCTTCCTATGTGCTCCTCATCACTGCCCTCCGACTCCTGAGATCTCTTCCTAGGTCTCTCCCCTCTCCTGTCCTCGCGCTCTATGTCACGATTTGCCTGACGCATGGCAGAAGGAGGAAGTAAGTATCTCTCCTTCTCTCGCACAGCCTCCTCTCCTGTCCTCATCTCTTTCTCCACCACCCATGTATCTGGCGTCCTATGACTTACTGACGCCTCGGCTCGCTCGTTCCTGTAGTCTTCCTGTGTCTGTACAGTCCAGACGAAGCCGGTGAAGTAGTCTTTGATTTTGCAGCATTCGCCACGAATGTATTGATATAAGTAGAACACCGCGGCCCAGATAAGAGCGGCGCCGAACAAACCGCCAAAGGCTATGGTAGTTGCCAGGGTTGCAGTGCTCATGTTGCTGTTAGGGCAAGTGCAATTGACCTTGTCACTGATTGGAAAAACAGAACGAGGCAAAGAAAATAAGCGCAGGTGGGATCCAACACGATTTATCTCCAAGAAGAAGGCAAGGAATGCATAAGGTAGAGTCAAACTAGGTGCCCTTCATTTCAATAATGCACAGCCGTGGGAAGGACATGTTTGTCGAGTCGACTTGGGGCAAACAAAACAGCCCACTTGTGCGACTCGAGCGACCTCGCCACTGTCAGAGCAAACTTCCTGCACCACTTGGCCCACTCAACCTGACGATCTTGCAACGCAAGCCGCAACCCGTCCAGTTTTCCTCCTTGTCGACCCAACATCGTGGTCACACCAACCTCCAAACATGCAAGCAAGCCAATCCCTCGTCCACTGTCACACCTAGACGGCCGCTTCTCAGCTCTCTTCTCCCTCAAACTGCACATCCTTCGTGATCTTACTTCCCACCCTGTTCTGCAAACTCCCTCGCTCTTTGCTGTAGCTCTATATGCACGGCCTCGGCCTCGACGACTTGCACGCAGTTGCGGTGCAGATACCAGATGAACCCGATGACGAAGAGGGCGATCATGAAGAGCGTCAGGATAATAGCCTCGTTGTATTTGAGGTCGCGCATCTTGGTTCCCGGGGGTTAGGGAAGGGAGTGATGGACTGGGCGGAGTTGGTATCCGTCGAGTGGCAAGTGAAGGTTGAAGTGGATGGAAATAGATTGGGCTTGAGCTTAAACTTGAGCGACGCGGTGGCGGGTGCTGTGGGAGGCACCGGCAGTAAGTATTGTTTGGTCGCGAATCGTGGGTCCGATTGAGAGATGTTGTGAGCGGAACGGGCAGGAAATTTGCATTGTCGTGACGTGAATTCGGGTGAGACGTGTGAGGCTGGTAGAGCGCTCGTTGCCGAAGGCGCAACGTCTTTCACTTACTTCATTACATACAATATACGACGCCAAAGCGAAACTGCAAACACCAGAAGCAACTATGCTATATCAAAATCTCCCCATCCATACTCCGACCATGCAATACCACCCGTAACCGCATATGCTGTTGAAACCCTACGCCGTAAGCGCCGAACTCAACCCCAAGATACCCATGCCCACAAACGCACTCACAAAGCACAGCCGCCGACTATGCGTCAACTCCAGACTCTCCCCTAGCAACTGTAGACTCACCATCGCCATGATCCCCGAGGTCACCGCAAACATAATTCCGTACATCAAATCGCCCGGCTCGCCCTCACCTTCACCAGCACTCTTGTTCGCGAGCTTGAACCACAGCGCGGCGACGCCGGCTCCCAACGGCTGGGACACACCACCCAACAGGGCAGACCAGAACATGGCTTTCCAGCGGGAGTTGATGGCGAGATAGAGTGGAAGCGCCATAGCGAAGCCCTCGGTGATGTTGTGGATGAAAAGGGCGAGGAAGATGGAGACGCCGAGGCGGGGGTTGGCGTGGTTGGTCGCATACGTAATAAACCCCTCGGGGATTTTGTGGAGGGCGATGGCGATGCTGGTCTGGAGGCCGATGGAGAGGAAGGCATTGGTCGGGACGTGGTGGTGGTGTGCGTGAGAAGTGCCTGAGGCATGGGAGCGGAGGGACGTCTGGCTGGGGTTTTTATGAAGTGAGTGGGCGGCACCATTGCCGTTCCCGTGAATAGAGGAGAGGCTGACTTGGGAGTTCTCCATGGTGGCGGGGCCGGAGACGGTGGGTGTGAGGGGGCTGTTTTCATCGACGTCTGGGAGGTTGGCGATGCTTGGAAGAAGAGGCTGGCGTTCGGCGGGAAGTGTCTGTGTTCTTGAGCCGGCCGGCCTTGTTAGGCTCTTGTTCGATGTGGAGTGTAGTAGTCGCGGCACCCGATCGTGTTGGATGTTCCTAAAGCACTCATTCCCACACGGATCAGAGTAACCAAAGCACTTCCCATCCTCATCGCAGAACTGTTTCGAACCTTTTACGAGCTGCGTGACCTTCGTAGATATTTGTGTATGCAAAGAAGGTCTCCTGACCGGGAATCCCGGGTGGTGGGCTTGGTCCGTGCCACCATAGGAAGAATGCGAGTGCTCGAGGGAGCTGTTCCACTGCTCTTGCATAGGCCTACTGCTCGGACGTGAATGATCGTGCCCTACATGCTCGTCATCGTCCTTACCCTCCTCTTCATCACCGTGCTCGTGATCACAGTCCACAACGGAATGTGGAATATATTGGTGCAAAATTTGCGATACCACCGCAATACCGATTGCTCCCACCAGAAAGCTTCCAATAAGGGCCAGCGTCGCAATCTTTGGGTTTAGTCCGCCCTTTGTTAAATAATTTTTAGCAGACGGTAACATGCTATATAGCGAAGAAAAGATCTGAAGCAAAGCCGTTAGCTGATGAGTTTCTCAATACGAACAGAAAGTAGGATGCACCATGACGCCAAATGAAAGGCTCAAGCCTGTCGACAAGAACGAATTGCTTTCTTCTATTTTGAAATTCTTTTGCCCAGGGAACTGGCGGATGACAAGGTCGACACATATTATCGACGCTGGTGGCGTTAGAGCAATTCACTTCCTCTTTCCACAAGAACAAGCCTACCTCCAACCGTGCATGCTGCAGTACCGTTAGCGGAAATCCCTAACATATGCAAGTAACCTCCTACCTATGCCGCTCACCGCAGCCATGATCCACCCCCGGGCATCGTTGTCTAGCCCCATATTTCAATATGACGTCCGCGCCAAGCCCGCACAAAAAAGTCGAAAAGTTGCAGTAGACGATAGCCGGGGATATAGAGGACGAATACAGAAGCGGCTAAGCTATGCGCGCGATATGAACATCGGAGAAAGATGTAGAGATAGAGGTAGGCATCGGCGAAAGCCATTCAAAGGCTGGACATCAAGGTGCTAGAATCGTAGGCGGCCTAGCGCGGGCGATCGTTTTGTCATGGCCTTTCTGACATCGCTATTGGCCAGTCATCACACGCCTCACAATTGGAGTGCAGTCACGAACAAGCCTAACGAGAACTTGCATATTCAAGTTGTAAGCTACTGGGTACCACGTGCAATGGTCACACAGTCGAAAGCACTTCATGGAGGTGTGGACTCGCTACTAGCTGACGTAGCCGTGTGACGATTACCAATGGACTCCCACAAATGTCATGTCCGACGCAATCACCGAAAGCATCACACAAAGCAAGCAGTCCAAGCAAACATATAGTCATCGAATCGATTACTCGCACTGTTCGACATCATGATGATATTCCGAGCCCTCGGTGAAGTATACCGCCCGCTATCGCTAGACCGCCGTAAGTCTAATATAATACATGCTTTGCACTCCGGAGGAAAAGCCTCGCCCATTTGGTAAATACGCCGTCGCTATGCAGATGTGATTGACACAAGGAAATAAGGCAATACCGAGAGCCTCTAGGAGGATGTCGGTAGCTAGTTAAAGTCGAATGTTGTGTGGTACAGTGGTACAAGAAGCGAAGGAAATCACACCATTAAAGCCGCTTTTCGTGAGAATTTATGGTCGGGAGGGCGAAGGGGGTTCGATCTTGCCCCATTTGCCCTCGCCCTGCTCGGGGGTCTCGTTGATGACGAGAAGATTTCTGCCGCCGCAGTAGCCGCCCGGTTGTGCTGTGCGCTCGACCTGACGATATTGGCCTTTGAGGTCAGCCTCAGAAGCATTGGGTAGGTATGCTTTGACGGGATCGTCATATTCCCAAACAGTATCGGTGACGACCTGGCCCGGTTCCTCATGTCGCCTGGGGTTGTAGAGCGGGAAGCCCGCAACGTGGTTCAGGATGTCCTGTATGATGGAGTATAGCCTCTCCGGACGACGTGTGAGAGAAAGCCAAGAAAGCGTCTTGGTGTCGTACGCCACGCGGATGTAAGGGTTCATGTAGATTCCTGAATCCTGCGGGAAGCCAGTCCCGGAACGTCGATACTGGAGATCGGCATGGATGAGGCAGCACTCTGATGACTCCCAGAAGGTATCTTCCTCATAACGGAAACGGAGAGGAGATGTTGTAGGGTTCGGCGAGGTTTCCGATTCAGATGTTGTCTTGGGTGCGCTGCTCGTGAAGCGAGTCTGGTCCTGGAACCATTTTGCATCGAATGCAGTCATGCCTCCCCAGCAGCTCCTCACTCGGACCGCATCACTGCCCGCAATGGTGTCTTTCCTGCTTGTTGCTTCGCCCTCGTTGGTGAACCATGGGAAGAATGGAACCCCCATATCGGCACCGTCTAGGTCTCGCGTCGCAAATCGATCGTAGAACTTGAAGGCGTTGATGAAGTCCACGGCGCAAGCTGCACCGTAGTTTGGCAGTCCGTTGGCATCGACGTTGGTGGAGAAGAGGAGTTGGGCGGCATCGATGGGGTCAAAGTTGACGTCGTTGAGGTAGAGGATCTTGTCAAACGCTACCTCTGAGGTCTCGAGAGGCGCAAGAGCGCGATTGCGGACCTCGGCGAGGAATGTCATACGCTTGATGCGGGAGTCGCCGTTGGGCAGGATAATGCGCGGCAACGAGCTTAGGTCGAAGTCTTCGTAGACGATAGTAGAGTTGCCTAGGTTGTTAGCAAAGACAAACCGTCGAGGATAAATGAAACTCACTTTGCGTCTTCTTCTCCATGGCACGCAGCGACTCCTTTGTAACATCATCCGCGTCGTTTTCAAAGATACTCAAGTAAACGTTCTGTGGGCCCAATAGATGCACCAGTTCAAGCACCGACTTGCCCCACGCTCCCGATGTCAGCGCTCCGTCCTCCTCATAGATAGCTGCCGCAATGAAGACCTTCTGGTCGTGTATGTTTGCGCGACCGGGCGAATCGCTGGCGAGCGCACGCTTACGGAGCTCATTGTAATGGGCTGGTCGATGTGTGTATGATGGGAAGAAGATGCCCACGAAGAGGACGAGGAAGAGGCAGAGGTAGGGGACAGAGAAGACAGTGTAGTAGATCAGGCGCAGGACGGAGCGTTTCCTGCGGCGCGGGGTGATATAGTGGGCGCATACAGCTGGGTCTGTAAGCTTGTTCACGCCTGGAATGCTGTGACCCAGGCGACCGAGCCACGACTTGGTCGATGAATTCGAAGTGTTGGAGTCGCGGCGCCTGAGGGTGGTCAGGTCTTCGAGGTCGGCAGAGGCCCGCGGCAGCAGCTCATAGTTGTGAGCGGAGGGACGAGGTCGAGATGACATTTAGGGGGTTGAGGGCGATGTGCGGACAGCGACTCTCCATGCGGGGGGCAGCGCTGGCGTGTGTTAACGAGAGACAGGCGAGTACAAGCGGGGTAGTCAGTTGGTGGTGTAGCGGTCACAGGACACAGCGAGGGAACAGCTCAAAAGAAGTGGCAGCGGCTGCGACACACGTGTAATTGTTCGACGCGACAAGGCGGACGATTGACGACAAGGGTGGGACAACGGCGTGGGACAGCACCGCCCCTACGAAACCAGGCTAAGCCGCTGCCGGCGTTTTGCCAGGCCTGTGCAGCAACTGCTCCGCCCCTGCGTCCGATCCGGGCCATACTTTGCGACGCTTTTCATCTCGTATCAGGTACCCGCGTCCACTTACCCTCGGGGTCTCGACGCGCCCGTTTCCGTGATTGGGCGGTCCGCAGGATGCCGCTGCCTTGAAGGAAGCTTACATCTCGCTGTAGATCCTCTCTTTCAATAGCTCGTGGAACCCACACAAAGTGCTCGTGTGCGTGTTCCGTTAGCCTAAGGTGCAAGTGGTTACGCTTGCGAAATCGGTGCTCTCCAGGGCTAGAGTCTTGCCCTTTCAATGACCCTAACTGGCGCGCCCTGAAGCTACCATTTTGCGTCTTTGTGTGCTTGCGAAAAGGGTCGTGAAGTGGAGAACGGAGCATCGGATGACTACGCGGCCGTCGCTCAGCCACGCGCAGCCTTCAGCTAATGATGCGCTTACTTCAGGACGTTAATTCTCATACGTCAAGATTTTGTTGTTGACTTTGCTTCACAGAGGAAATGCAAGTAAGCTGATGTTTCATGTGGGATATTGAGAGCTCCTGCTCGATTATGTACATAAAGGGGAATAGCCGATGGACCCTCTCAGCCCGTGGGGAAAATTGGACCCCCAATTTGCCGAATTCGCCGGACCCTCCAGATGCTCCACTGAAGCACCGCGGACCGAACTCAAAGTCTGTTGCTCCAGGGAGAAGAACCATGGAACGACTGTTTCTCTTCGTGTGTCCACTTTCAAGTGTAAACAACGCACTCTACGCCGTTCCATCATGTCCCTACACATTCCTGGGTCCGCAAACACAAATCGGCTCCACAATGATCTCCATCTTATCTCCTCCCAATCCTATGACGAACTCATTGTGCCAGTAGCGTTCCTCGCCATCCTTGTCACCAAGTGCCATCAGCTTTTGCCTAAGCCGTGCAGCATTACTCTCTCGCCCTGCTTGGCTTAATGGCGTCTTCGCATTGATGATCTCATTTTGCAAGTTGCACGCAGCGCTGTTGGCCCAGTCAACCGATGTGTAAACCTCAGGACATGGTATCTGGTCAGGTTGACGAATGATGCGCTTTGGAGTTGCTAGCTTAGTCTGGCGGTGTAGCGGGATGGACTTATGCGATGTTGACTTAGTCTTGCGCCGCTTTGGAGGAGGACTACCCTTCAGCGCCTCCTTGGCCTGGCGCTTCTTGTTGTGCTTGCCCTCGTCGGGATCCAAGTCTGTTTCGGATGCGTCTTCATCTGAATCGTCAGAAGAGGATTCGCCACCTACGGAGACAGATGCTTCATCATCGCCCTTCACCTCCTCATCCTCGATCTCGCCCTCATCCTTGTCTGTCTCATCGAGCTCCTCAATGGGTACCTCGGTCAGCTTGTACAGACGCAACATGTACAATGTCTTGCTCAGAAAGGGCGTGAACTTGGGTGGCGGATGGAAAGCGGCCACATCTGATGGCACTGGCGACGCCTGTAAGCTTGTGAACGCGTTGAGAAACAGCAAGTACTTACCTTCTCCTCGCTCGACCCGAGTTTTCAGATGGAATTGCTTCACAGGCCATCCTATCGAAGCCAGCGTGCCCACTAGTTCCAAGCAGCCCTTTTCGGTGTGTCCGCTCGACGACTGCTGGTGTTGAATTGGAAAAGAGGATAGATACTGTTGCTTCGCTTGTGTAAAGAGTTCTTCTGCTTGCATGTTCGCTGTTTCGAGAACTGTAGAGGAGAAGCCCACCATCATTGTGGCAGCATCTTGCTCAGTTCCTGACTCTGGCCAAATCTTTTGTTTGACCCTGTACTCGAAGTACGGCTCTTTCGGCGGGTCAACCTTCGGACGGTCTCGCAAGACTATCTCAGGTAGCTTTGCGAGTGCATCCGTTCGTTCATCAACACGCTGTGGTGCGATATAGGTGCATGCGTGCGGAATAGCCTGCAAAGTCGATGTCTCCTCGGTAGCAGACCTTTGCAGACAATGCCTGACATGACTCACCTCATTGAGCTTTGCGATTGTGGTCGAAGTAGCTTGACGCGGCTTGGCAACCAGCGGTGCAACAATGGGCTTGTCTTTTTGATTAGGTTCTTGACTAATGACAGGAGCTGGTATGACAGGAACTGGTACGACATCCTTGCCCGACGGGGCTGCTGTACGTGCGGATCTTCCAGCAACGCCAGCTTGAGGTGCAGCGGTGGGACGGTCCTGTCTAAGAACCGAGGCGCTGGTCGAGACTTCAGTCTCAGTCGTTGAGGCCGTCGTGGGTGCGCTCAGGGGACTCCGCTTACCATCGTCGAGAGAAGGTAAAGTACTGACTGCAGGAAGCTTTTCAATAGTTGAGACTTCTCCGCTTAGATGGCTTGGGGTAGCTGGCATAGCAGCTACATTCACTTTAGTGTTCGGGGTTGACATCGTTGCAGCTTTGCGCGCTCCGGGAGCTGGTGGTATGTAGATATCGAATCCATCTTCGGTTGGACCACTCGGCACTCTGACATGCGTTCTGGTAAATTGTTTCGTCGCTGCCGTGGTGGCGTCAAAAGCGTGATTTACGGGCTTCTCGATGGAGGCTGGTGGTTCCGCGCATGTCGCTGAAGGTGCTCTTGGTGCAGTTGATGAGGGCGTTCTGGACGGTGCTTGTTGAGAAACTTGTGGCTGATTACTAGCAGTGGCTTTGGTCTGCAAAGGAACTAGTATTTGAGCTTGTGCATGAGTTGGCGGCTTGGCCGGCGGAATGGCTGCAGCTTTGAACTGAGAGTAGGGGCCTTTTGATCCAGCCGGTCTGGGCGCTTTGAACGAATCTGGCGAAGTCGTTCGAGGTTGACCAGTGGAAAGTTGACTGGACTGTATCGTAGAAGGTTGCAAAGAGACTTGCACCGGCTCGTGAGAACGGTTCTTCGTAGGATGACCCACTGTGCTTTCTGACTTGTCATCGCTGCCAACACCCGTTCCTGATTGGGGTCGAGCAACCGCATCATCAGTCCTGAATCTCGCTTTGGTAAGAGGCATAGGTGCGGGAGTCGAAACAGTACCGCGAGATGCCGCTTTCGAAGCATTGTTCGATTGAGCCGTATCCGGTCCATGCTTTGATAGACTTGGAGTGGAAATGCTGGTCGGAGGCTTCTGCATGACTCTGGGAGGGATAACAGCGTTGTCGGTTGAAGGAACCTTCGTGGCCTCAATACCTTTCCCAATTACTGGTTCCACTGTGGCATCACCGCTAGAAACTTCTGTCAGAATATTCTGTAGCGTCCATGCAGCAGACTTGTGCACCGGCACTTGTAGGTCCATTGGTGATGCTGATGTCGGCTTGCTGGCGGCACCTTTGATTTGCGCTGGCTTATTCACCGAATCTCTCTTTGCGTCAGCAGCATTGGACTTGCTTGGCGTCGACTTCGGGGCACTTCCTGCCTCCTTTTGATGTTGATGAATTGGTCTTGCTCCCCCGACAGGTATGGTTGGGCGATCTGATGTTACAGTCGTATCGCAAGGCGTTGATGATTTCAAATTCTTGTTGCTCGCCTTTGTAGCCGTTCCTTTCGTTTGCGTTGGCTTATTTGCAGGCGCAAACTTCGTGGTAGTACTCTGGAGGTTGGCTGGTTTGGTTTGCGGCGTGCTCGTTTTCGTCCTCGCTCTTGGGTGTCCCTCCAAGTTCATTTGGATTGTTCGCGCAGGCGTAGCTGGCCGACCAGTCGTTGATAAGGGAGCCGGTTGGCCCAGTAGAGCGCTCTGTAATTCATTTGTAGGAGTAATAGTCTTGCTAGGTGGCACTGTCGTTGCTGGCGTAAACAATACCTGAGCTGGGTCACTAGGTGGGCTTCTCCCAGGGGAAGTCGCAATGTGAGGATATGATGACGTTGTGGGTTTCTCTTCACGTACTCCGCCTTTGCTATTAGTTCTAGAAGTATCAGGCTGATCTGGCGCTGGAGCGAATACAGGCTGCTTTCGACGCATAGTTTGCCTCTGTTGAGACGCATTGAATGGACCATACGCAGGAGGCCTGTTCACAAGGGTGGTCCGCGGAGCCTCAGCACGAGATACTTGCGTTTGAGTGCGTAGGAAAGATGGAGGCGTCTGCTTTTGACTGCCTCGCTGCGTACCTGCACTAGAAGAGGCCGCTCTAGGCCTGTCATCTGGAAGGAGCTTGCTCGCCTGAGTAGTCGCATTCGTCAATTTAGCCTCACCCACCAACTGTCCTGTAGTATTCTCGAAGACTTGTCCCGTTTCCTTGGCCGGTTCTCTAGTTATTGGATTCCTATCTTTCGCAATGTTGTTGCCTTGGTCCTGAGGGCTGCTTGCTGACATGCCCTTCCTGGCTATGGCTTGCTGAAGACGGGCACGCAAGCCTGAGCCCAATGTCTTTGTGCCTGTTGCTTGGAGAGTGGCCCTCGGTGGTACTCGTCGTAAATCTGACGGTGCTTGCAATGGTATTTGTCGCGATGCTGGCGGTGGTGCCTGCTGTCGCGCTTGCAAAGATGTCTGCGGTGGGGGCGATGATGGTTTGTACGATTCTTCGTCATCTGCAAACTCTTCACCACCAGCTGGCTGGTCATCTTCAGACGAGGAAGACTGATATAAAGGTGTACCTGTAAATCATGGGCTGTGTCAGTAATGAGTTGTATGCGTCCTGAGCTAACAATTATATATGGATGGCCACTCACGCTTCGATTTCTTAGGATTAGCCTTAGAGGTGTTCGATGCCGAAGGCCGCCCCTTCTTTATTTTGGAAGCAACACGATCCGCAGTGGACTTCCCGATTATGGAACGGGCGTGGGGTGTAGATTTGGGGGCGTTTGAAGGTGAGGGCTTGTAACTGCGGTAGGCTTTGGAGCGTGAGGGTCGTAATTCGTGATCCGAATCTTCCTCGAACTCACTTGCGGAGTATCCAACAAACTGCGCCACCTGGTCCATTTCGGGAGCCGAATGATCGCTTTCTGGTGCGATGAACAGGCGTCCAGTGTCAGGCGAATGCGGACTGGCAGAATGAAAGTTGGGATCTTCCAGACCAAGTTTGCATGCAGAACTTGATGTTCGGGTGGGGAAGCCGTGGAAAACTTCGTGTTCTTCCTCCGAAGAGCCTTCGTCACTTACCTATATATGATGAGCGAGGTAAAGGCCAGAGAGATATCGCGAAGCACAGAATCACTCACCTCGCTATCCGACCAAAGTTGTCCAGGCGATGGCAGACGACGCAGATCCCGGTGCTGTGTTGCCGCTTCATGAAAGGCTGTAGTTCCCCCTGGGGTACCTGGTGGGGTTCCGGTTGTAATTCGCGTACGCGACGGTTCCACCCGCCGTCCAGCGCCATTGGGGCTGTGATTTGCTGTTGTTTCTGCGGCGTTTGTGTTCATGCTCTACACCGCTACATAGGCCGACCGTATGTGATTGAATGAGTACTGTATTAAAAGTTTGGTGTTACAACAAGTAGCTGAAATGAGCACCGATTGGGCGGCTGCCGTGAATGTTGGTGGTCCTCGTTCTGCTCAACAAGGTTGGCGTTAATCAAGCCAGTTTGAACGGCCACTTCAGGGTCCGTGTCTGCTTGCGATTGGTGCAGATGCCGCGAATGTAATTTCAGGCACGCTCGGCAGGTAGACAGACCATGTATGTATGATTTGTTTCATAGGTAGACGGTGAGCGCGTTGCTACTGGCGCGTACAACAGCGGTGCAAGTTGGCAGAGCCGTAGGTCGATATTGCTATCGACTCTAGACTTTGAGCAATCGTAAGAGGAAACAGAAGCGACGGTGTCATGAGGCTCTGAGGAATATTGGGGTTGCTCTTGGAGACTTATCTGTGTCTTGAGAGTGCAATCAAAACACTATTCGCTTACCCTACGAGGTCAAACGCTCTAGCCTGAAAAAGGTGACCACGATGTCGCTCAAGCGAAGTCATGGGGCAGGTTTGCTAGAATCCTAGAATCAGGTCTTTCTCGTGCATTTGTGGGAAGTACATCTCGAGAGCTGCAGGTTTCTGCGGTGCCCAGTTGTACAGGATCCGGCTGCCGTGGCTTCTTGAAAGACCATGTACTGACCAAGAGCTCCAAATCACCTATAACAACATGATTCTGGGAACCTAAATGTGTTGTGTTCCAGAATCGTGATGGATCAAAAGGAAGGTGATGTTGGTTCATGAGCTTTAGTCATCACCTAATGTGGTATAGCGCCCCGCACTCTTTTTCTGGACGCGAACATCTGTGAAAGCGAAAGACACTGTCCGATTCCGCCTGCTGTTGGCCGACGCTCGTCATGGCTGCTTCAGCCTTATCCGAGGAGGTTCCTATCCCGGAGCAAACGCTCAGGAGTTTGTCTAAAGATATAGGAGGCATAGTACCCAATTTTACGGATCAGAATCCAGACATTGGCGTGAAGTAAGAATCGAAGTCCGTGAGCTTTGCGTGTTTGTTTCCTGAGTGTCTCTGACAAGGAAAACAGGATTTTACATGCTGTAATAGATCCTCTGTTGGAGACGGCAGCTTCATCTGACCTCGGCACGTCACATCGCGCAGCCGTAAGTAACGTCATTTGCTCTGTCCTTGAGAGATGTCACGCACAGGAGTTGCAGTACGTCCAAGATGCCATTCTGGACGATTCAATCTGGTCAAGAGCTTTCACCATCTACCTTGAGAAGTCGGACACTGCCAAAGGAAAATCCGTAAGACAAGTGCTAGTGACACTCACGAGTATCCTCCTTCGGAACCAAAGCCAGAGAGCGTTCGAACTTCAAGAATGGGCAGTCGCCAATCTCGTTGAGATTATCTGCCAAAGACAGGATCGCGTAAAAGTCAAGCCAGCCTTGCAAGGTCTTGCTCATTTCTTGCAAAAAGACATTGTGACAATTCCTCGGCTCGTGAGCGTTCACGCGATGATTCTTGGCGACACCTCAGAGCCATCTGTAGATGGAACGGGCATTCAGTCTCTATTTTCCGCGCTCCTGTCTTGGATTGTGCATCATGACACATCGCTATCGGCCGGCCATGTGGTCAAGAATTTTCTCGCTCAATTGCGCAGAACATCGCATCACCACCCGATGAGTGTTGAGGAGTCTGTTACTTCTATGTGGTTCAAGCCAGTGGTAGATTGTTTACATCAATGGCCGGACCGGATACAAGAGTTCAAGACACATGTCTTTCCTCACTGCTTCCTTCCAAACGTCGATGAATTTGTTCATTTCTTGTCTTATTTACACTTTGGTCGCCATGTACAATCGAGAGAGCCTGTCCCTCTGGAGCTGGGCGCAGACACCACGGAAAGAAATGGCTTGGAAGAATTCGAAGAGTTTCGAATTCTTCTCGCTTCCATTCAGACAGGCAAAGAGCTCGGTGTTATCAGGGATGTTGACTATCGAGTGCGCAATGTCATTGAGCTTGAGCACGATGCTTTGATCCTTCCCGATGACGTCTTTGGCGGGTGGCTCTCACATATGGAAAATGAAGTTCGCCTCGCTGGACTGTTCCTCTGCGTGTACTCAACCAATGTGACACGGACCATCACCGGCGGCATCTTCAGATCTCTCAAGAAGAACCTGTTGCATCTACATACGGATCCTGACGTCAACTTTCGAAGGGAGCTTATCAGCTACATTCAGAGGTTGTTCAACCGCCTTCGAGGAAGTACAGCAACTCTCGCCAAGTTGGGTAACACCGGTACTATGAAAAGCGATGCTCGCCTTCCATTTCCTAAAGAATGCAACAACCATCAGCGTCAATCCACGGTCAACGACTCGTTGGTAGAGTCATTGAATTTCATCACTTGGTACCTTGGCTTCCTCGAAGGGGAGATTCGCTCAGATGCTGCTTATCAACGACGGATAACGGGATTGCGTGCGTTTATGGTTGTACTGAAGTCTGGTATTGATCCACGTGTTCCCTATCGGTTCCTCTCTAAAGGCGCTCAAGGCCAGCTGCATTGGGCTCATGGACTACCGCTGGCCAACATCCACTTAGTCCGAAGATTGCTTGACATGATGTTAGATCCATTCGAAGATGTCAGGGACACATCTGTGGCTATCCTACATATTTGTTTTGAGTCAATGCCGGAAGAGGAGAAGAAAGTTATGTTATCGATGCTGCCGCGTTTTATAAAGCGCGCTGAGCATACTATGCTTCGTACCGGACGTGCCGATCATGCCGATGGTCTAGCAAGAGCCTATGCGTTGCACTATACCTGTGCCCCGACATCCATAGGAACGCCACAACCCGGCAGCCTGCCCTTAGCTACTAAGATCGGCATCATCCGTCATCTTAACGAACAATTACAAAAGACACTGGTCGCAGCCCGGGACAATCTCTCAGAGGCGGTCGAGGGCCGACCAGTCCATGGAATTTTCGCAGCCATAAGGTACAACGCATCTTCCAGTATGACTACATAAAGCTAACCATCTAGGTACATCGTTGACCAAGACGATTTCTATAGCGAGCTAGACAAACTTGATGCTGGTAGCTTCGACGAGCTGAAGGCAATTCACAACCAGCTACTCGACGATTGCGATACGACATGGAATGTAGTTCAAACGATCCTTTCCGCGGACGCACCCGAAGGGCACGTTCCTGAAGACATGGAAGACGAAGTCAGTCTTGATACGAAGGAGATACTCAGTTACTCTTGGCGTGGCTTGAAGGAGGCTAGCACGCTTCTGAGAGTGATCGCAACGAGAGCTCCCATAGGGACACAAGATAGGGATCTGGTAGCCTCAGCTCGCTTCGAAGAGCTCGGTCGACTATGTTTTACACAGCTTATAGAGCTACGTCACCGTGGAGCGTTCTCTACAGTAGCGCAGACCTTTGCAGCGTTCTGTAGACGGACGTATCTTGTAAACGATGCGTGTTTGCAAGCGCTACCTGACAAGTGGTATCAGGAAACACTTTCGTCTATTCAAGCTCAAGCGCATGCCATCACCCGACGCTCTGGCGGAATTCCAGCACTCATGGCTGGTATCATAGCTGCAGAGCCGCAGTCAAGCGGTAAGCTTTTCTCGCAGGCAATGCGAGATCTTACCATCGAGGCGTCCAAAGAGGCGGAGAGTTCCAACATCGAGGAGAGTCGATTGCCTCAAGTACATGCATTGAACTGCATCAAGGAGTTCTTTATGACCTCGAAGCTTGGCGCATCTTCTGAGGCATACATTGGGGATGGTCTAGAGCTGGCCGCAAGAACCATTAATTCAAGCATATGGCCAATCCGAAACTGCGGTCTCATGCTATTCAAAGCCCTTATCGAACGACTGCTCGGTAGCGACGAGGCTCAGGATTGGAAGGAGCGCGAGATGACGAGGACCTCACGCTTCTCATATGATAATTATCCCAGTCTAGTCAGCATCATCAAAGACCTTCTCAACCCAGAAGGACCCTTGAAAGAATCGCTTGATACCCCGGAAACCAACTCACCCATGGATCTACACGGTGCTGAGGGAGTCTTCCCAGCTCTTCAGATCCTGAGGCAGGCAATGCCACCCGAGGATTATCGAATGGTTATCTTACAGTCGGTCACGAAGCTTTTGTCAAGCCCGCATTGGCATATGCGGGATATGGCCGCTCGCACAATCACCGCGCTTTACCGACCAAGCGAGCTTTTGACGGGCGTGAAGTGGCTATTGGACAATCTTGAAGAGTCCAGCAACGCCAAGCATGGAAAGTTACTCTGCATCAAGTATTGCGCCATGAAGGGACTGCAGAGCAGTGAACAAGGTATGACTACTCTACCTGCTAATCTCCAATCACTAACACTGTCACGTTTTAGGCGAAGAGTTCCTGAGGGAATTCATGCTCCGCCTGAGCCTTTGCGCTCCAGCTTGGTTCGATCAAACTAATTGCTCATATGTCAAGGGAGCTTTTCTAGACCTTGTGAGCGTCTGTGGCATGTTCATCATCGAACATGGCACCAATAAGTCCACAATGAACGTATGGACAGCACTCGCGGCCGCCATTGGAGTTGGTCCCAGCCAGACTTTCAATCTAAGTAGCAAAGGTGCGGACGCTCTGCTCCAGAAATCTGCGGCCGAAGTATTCTTCATTGATCGCGTTATCGTTCGACCTGAGCAGATTAGCGTCTACCTATCGCGAGACTTCCAGAGCATTGGAGACGCCCTCCAATCCTTGGTTGCAGAGGACCCAGATACGTGCCTAGCAGGGCTCGACGCACTCCACGAGATCATCCAACTCAAGACACTTGGAGGTCCCATCCTTCAACTGTCCCTCATTCTCCGCGACATATACCGCCTCACACTCTCCGCCACTGACCCTGAAGTACTCTCCAGAGCCCAGCTCGTCCTCGCCGATGGCCTAATCAACCCCGGAATGCCTCAGGAGGTTCTCGACCTCATCCGCGAACCCGAATCCCTCTTCACACTTGACAAGCTCGAAGAACAATGCCTCAACAGCGCGCCGTCAAACGGACAAAGCGCCCTGCACCTCCTCGGCTTCTTTCTAGATTGGACATATGCCACATACCCATCCCAGCGAAAGAACCTCTGGCCCAGGTTAGCTCGCTACATCGGCATCCTGCGCATGACAATCGTCGACACCAACCCCTTCGACGCTCGCTTCGCCGCCGTAAATTCCATCTGCGCCCTCCACCACATCTGGCGCATATCCCCTTCGTCCAAATCCACAGGTCTGCTCCTCCTCGGCCTCTCAATAACACTCTACGACATGCTTAACGACGATGACGACGAGATCCGGGACGCCGCGGCCATCGCCACAACGGCGCTGCTGAACACACATTCCACTACACGAGCTACTATGCCCTCCGTCCCTATACTAACATCTCACCGCCTCGCCTCCTTCCTCACAACTCAATTCTCGACCTCCCCTGCCCTCTGCCGCGAAGCCCTGCGCCGCCTAACCGCCACCCATTTCCGATTTCCCTTGTTTAGAGAACCTTTCGCGCAAACACTCGCCCGGGAGAGAGAAGAAGACACCACCCTCTTTGCAACCGAGAAGCAGAACCTGTTCTTCGATCCTACGCTGGATGCGCTATTTTGGTCGCGTGTGCTTGCCGCTTGCACTCCGCCTCGCAGCCTCGCGAGCAAGCTTGGGTTGTGGGTCGAGGAGGCACTAAGATTGCTGGGGGAGTTAAGTGAGAAGGAGGGCGATGGGGCGTTGGGGTGGACGAATAAGACGGAGGTGTTTACGCTGGGGATGAGAGTGCTTTGTGCGGCGGATGTGGCAGTCGGATGGGAGGCGGAAAATGCTACTTCGATTCGCGAGCTGTTGGTTCGCTTCACCCGGGTTGGGAGGGAGAAAGATGTGAATGGGATTTGGGTGGGGAAGGCAGACAAGGTGGTGGAGCGAAGTATTCTGGGTCTTGTGAGGGGCGCCGGAGCAAGGATTGAGGCGGTCGAGAAGGGGTTGGAGAGAGCGAAGAAGGAGGGAGATAAGAAGACGGAGGGGACTTCGGGGAAGAAGGAGAAAACGGCCATGGATGAGCAACGCGTTCTGGAATTTTTGAAAGGGCTTGGGACGCGCGTGAGGGCGACTGAAGGAGGACTCATGAAAAAAGCCGGAATGTGAAGCTTCCAGAGGGTAAATCACATAATGCGCTCTTAACCTAGCGACATAAACCGACATTCGATTTATTGGGTATACACATGTCATCGTCATTTCCTAGCTATCGTCAACCACGTTACCGTAACGACAGAGTTCGAATTCCTCTCAACACCACAGACCCATCCCCCTCGCTCAAATCTTAGACGATCGCATCTGGGTTCTCCACCCTCCTCTTCGCAGTACCAATGCCACTAACACCCTTATCCTGATCCTCGCCCAACCACGGCTTCTTCTGCTCCGCCAAGCTACCCTGTCTCAAGAAGTAGATTACTTGGCCCACAAGAATGAGCACAAACGCAATGGGGTACATCCAGTGAATGTGGTAGTGGAACACTTTAATCCCAATAGCCACACCCCAAAAATTGCCTGTCAGAAGCGAAATATTAAAGAAAGCCGCGCTCGTCAAGCGAAACAGGATCGGCGCAAGAGAATAGAAGAGAGAGAGGATGAGCGTGTAGCCCGTGAGGTAGCCTCCCACGGCACCGTTCCAGGTAGCAGCGCGGAAGGACGTGCGGTCGAAGATACCCGCTTGCGTGCCGTTGATGAACATGCCCCAGAAGCCGAGTTGCCCGATAACCACGTATAGCGGCTGTTCGCTGACCAGAAACTCCTCGAAGGTGTTGCTGATGCCGTATAGCGATGCGCCGAGTAGGGCGAACAAATCGCCTTTGACGGGGTCAATCGCATCGAATTGGTTGAAGCCTGTGATGTGGTCGGATCCGAAGAGGACGCCTACGCCCCCGATGCAGAGCAAGATACCCGCAATCTGCGTCCAGCGGTAGCGCACGCGGAGGAACAAGAATGAGAGGATGACCACCACGACGATGGCCCAGAAGTTTATCAGCTGTGCGGAGAGAAGGGTGGTGTAGCGGTATGCGAGGACGATGAAGTAGTTCCCCTCCACGTCGATGAAGGCCAAAATGAAGAAGCGCCAGCCGTCTTTCAGCATGATCTTGCCCCATCCCTTGAAGCCCAGTTTGTAAATGGTGTAGGAGGTGTAGACGAGGTTGAGGAGGACGTAGTTGAAGAAGGACTGGAAGGCGGGAATGGAGGTTCCTTCGTTGGAAAGCAATTGCGACAGCGTGTTCGTCGAGGTGATGCAGATTGCGAGGGCTGGGGCGTTATTAGTATTGCAATGTGGGCATGTTCAAGGACTACTCACTTTGCCCAAGCAACATTGCAATCCAGAACTGCTTCGTCTTCACATAGCCCGCCCACGTCCCCTTGGTCTGCGCGTCCCTCTCAAGCACAGGGTTCGCTTCATGCGAAGTCACTAGGGTCGGCACACCGTGCCCGTTCTCAGGGCTCGCGGCTTCTGCGCCTTTCGGCTGGTGCGTGACCGTGTCGGCGTTCGTCATGTCGATGTTGTCGGAGTCCTTTCCGTAGAATTCTTGGGTGTTTGATTGAGCCATTTCGAGTCCTTATGAACGAAAACCTTTACAAGATGGGCTTGGAGAACCAGCAATCCGGCTCTTCTTGAATCGCAGATGCGGGGAACCTTTAGCGGGAATGGATATGGTGGATGGGAGCTTTTCGTCTTTAACGTGAGCGCAAAACTCCAGAAGTCGCTCACGGATTCTGCACAGCAGCAGTCTGTCGCAAAGAAGCGTTGAAGACGCCCAGGCGGCGGGCAGCCCACCACTACTTATGTTTGGCTCGCGGGAGGGAACTTTTTGCGCCCATGCATCTCGACTCGGTAACGCCGCTGACGCCTTACCGCACTCGCTCAAGCTCCGGGCCCGCTGTGGGATGTTCGGTCCAAGCTCCAGCAGAACTTGCAGGTCGAGATGCAGCTAGCCTAGCCGGCTTCCTGGTTTGCTTTTTGGCCTCCACCACTCCATCTTGCGGGCTGATGTGACGGGTGCTGATTCGGTGGAATGCCATATGTTGGGAGGATTGACTCTGGCATTACGAGAAGTCGATCATGAGATGCAATGCTATGGCAGTGTTCAATGGGTAGTGCTCGTATAAGGATTGCCACATTCTGCAATACCCTGCGACATCGAACGGTTGACGGCGACATGCGGGCCCACGTTCATGGTCCCACTGCCTCGGTCCTGGGACGTGCACGAGATGCAGGACCGTTGGGAGCAGGTGGAACTATGTGAAGTCTTCGATTACTGTATGTTGCCTCAGACAGGTGATACTGCAGCCGATCATACTCCAGTTCTTGTCTTGACATACAGCACCTAGGTCTATAAAGAAGGCACGGTGCAGCTTATTCTGGAGTGACTCAGGGCATTTAAAGAATGGTCGTTAGGCATCTAGCAGTAGTCACAATTCGGAAATTCGATTAAACAGTATTCAACAAGATCTATCGCCCGATGTATGAACAATCCGGTGACACGGGGCCAGAACATGTACGCCGGTTTCCACAAATAGTCTAACAGCGTAACCAACAACTTTACGCAAGAAGTGAAGTCAGCGTCCGACAAGATGCAATGCAGGGCTCTGAGGGAACTGCTTGGAGACACTACCATATTTCGCATGCCAAGCAAAGAAGTATAGTAGTGCGCCGAGCGGTTGTCCCACGAGGCAGAAGCTGACCCAAAAGATCATGTTGCCTGCCACTTCACCGCGGATGCCCTTGACCTTCTTAAGCATATCGGTGAAGACGATGAGGGGGATCTGGAACATCATGCCCATGAAAGCGACGCCTGGTACGACTTAGTAGGCAAACCCGAGGTTGAAGCGCAGAAGGGTCACTAACCGAGAACATTGTGGGTCGGGATGCCGACAAGCAGCTCATGCAAAACCGCAGAAATGAAGAAGACGACGATCTGCGCGAGCGATGGTGGCATCCCACGGCCAACGAGCGGACTGTATATGTGGCGGCGCATGAAGTTCGTCACTGGCTTGTTCCACGTCGTCCAGTACTCCCTCACGCTGCTAACGTTCCACCATTCTTCGTAGAACTCGCGGTCCGCAAAGCGCATTATCTCGGCGAGGCCGTTCATCGAAGACTGGAAGAGGGCAAAGAACCCGCAAAGCCAGCAGAACAGAGAGATGGTGGAGAGTTTCATGACGCGCTCCAGGATCGAGGTAAAGTCGAGGCTGGCCATCTTGTCAAGCGAATTCTGTAGTAGGGGTGCGGCATATTGAGCGGACGCGATCCAGATGGCGATGCTGAGACCAAACACTTCGAGAGCACGCATTGCGACATATCCCCAGCGGATTCGGTCAGTGCGGGGGTAGGCAGGTTGGTAAACGAGCGTTGGAGCCCACCAAAAGTAGCAAAGATTCGAGAAACTGATGTTCCTAGGGTAGGGGCAGCTGGCGTAGATCTCGGGCAGCGGCTCAGCCTCATTTGGGTGCAAGAGGGCATGTCGTAGATCACGGTTGGTGAAGGCATACGAGCAAGCCTTGAGCCACACCACCACCGCGTGCAGCTCGCAGAGAGTGCCTATCCCCGGATGGTGGATGTGGTAATAGACAATGTAGGACGAAATCCAGAGATTGAATGTGGCGTGCATGCCGTGACAGAAGGCGACGATCCTCCATATCTTCTTGAATCTGCGCCGAGCAGCCGCCTGATTCTCACGAGTGTTGTGTTCCTCGCCGGCTCGTTTCATTCGCGCCAGGGCGCTCTTCGCTTGTTGTGCGGCAACGAGCTCGATAAGGTATGCGAGAAATAGCTGACAGGGAATAGAGAAGTAGAGTGCGAGGCCGTATATGACGTCCTGGCGACTATAGTCGTGGCATGAGATGCAGATGAGGACGCCATACTAGGTCTGTCAGTTACCGCTCGAGACAAAGTTTCGCGTACAATCGGCGCTTGTATTGGTCACCCTGGGGTAACTGGACGTACTTTACGGAAGTTCTCAATCATTAGTCTAAGGTTAGAAAAGACGAGGACGAGTATCATCAGGTTGCGAAATCCGACGAAGCTTGGTGATTGAGGTGCACCGTGAGTGAGGCATGACTGCCGGCTCTGCGAATGGGTTGCAAAGACATGACGATACTTTGTCTTCTTCATCTTCTGAGGCGAGCTGTTGACCGTTTGTTCCGTGGTCTTCCCGTTGTACGATAGCGATGGCATGGCGGAGTGAGTGCCATCAGACCTTTCCATGGCGGTCGAGGTGGCAGTATTCACTATTGTTGCCATTGCGGGTCTGCGTGGGTCGCAATTGCCCTTGGTACGGAAATTTGAACGTAGTTATTATGCGAGGCAGCGTGGGGTGTTCGATCAGTTGCGGCAGCGGGATGCCCGAGTAGGCGGGTGGAATGGACGGAAGCAGACGCTTGGCCGACAGACGAGGACGAGGGCATTGTGCAGTTCCATATTTTATCAGCGCAGAGTGAGATATGCCCAGAACGGAAGTGTTGAGGCAGGCGATGCGGGGGCTACTGGAAACATGTCCGAGTGCATGCAGGCTCCAGCGACGTCAGTGGTCGAGCCGTGGGCCTGTTCGTTCATGAAATGTGGCGTGTGGCTGGTGTTTGTTCCTCTTGGCGAACCTCCAGCTCGAAGCTCCGCGACAGTCGCGACAAAGGACCGCGCGCGAACAAGACCAACAAATTTCCTGCGAGCGGTGCACTTCCTCCCTTCCACAGCCCCTACTAGGGCGACCATTCCGTGCGCTGGTCGAAACTCGCAAACATGAGTGAATACCACCAGTACGACGGCCCACCGCGCCCGCGGCCGAAGAGTATGTCCTTTCATTGCTGCACCACGGTGCGAACGTCTCGAGCAAATTTGCTGTGTGGTCTTTCAGCTGCAAATGTATCTTCGCATGCTATCTCCATGCGATTCCAATAAAGACCTGCCCGGTCGCCTTCAAAGCATATGCTGATCCAACATTTGCAGGAGCGGTAACAGACTATGGCTCGACGACTGTACAATGGATGCGCAACCGCCGCCCACGATACAAGAATGTCCTCTTTCCTGAGGTCGAGCGCCCGAGCGCCAGTTATATCGTGGATATGGCGCCTCCCGCAGCCCGAATAACCAATGCCGCGGAATCGATACCAGCCAAAGCCCTACACTCGTCCCTGAACAAGGTCAAACATCCTATCAATGTGGTCAAATGGACGCCTGAAGGACGACGCTTACTCACAGGATCGACAAGCGGAGAGTTCACATTATGGAACGGCATGGGGTTCAACTTCGAGACCATTATGCAGGCGCACGAGTCTGCGATCCGGGGCGTCGCCTACACACACACCGACGACTGGCTCCTCTCGGCAGACCAGACGGGTATCATCAAGTACTGGCAGACGAACTTCAACAACGTGAAGGAGATTCAGGCTCATACGGAAGCAATACGAGGGCTTGCGATCGCACCGACGGATTCAAAGTTTGTGACCGCAGCCGACGACACGACACTGAAGATCTGGGATTTCGCCTCGAGCACAGAAGAATCGACGTTGAACGGACACGGTTGGGAGGTGAGGACAGTCGATTGGCATCCAACAAAGGGACTGCTCTGCTCTGGGTCAAAGGATCACACGGTCAAGCTGTGGGACCCGCGGACAGGCCGCTGTCTCTCGACACTACATGGACATAAAAACCCAATAGCAAAGACTTTGTTCGAGCCTGTTCTCGGCAACATGATGGCAACTTGCGCCCGTGACCACACCGCGCGCATCTTTGACCTGCGCATGATGCGCGACGTGCTGCTGCTGCGCGGCCACGAGAAGGACGTCACAACCATATCGTGGCATCCCATGCACAAGAACTTGCTCTCGACGGGCGGAGTGGACGGGAGCATCATCCACTGGCTCCTCGATGAGCAGAATGCGCCCCCCGGTGTGGCACCAACAACATCACCATATGATATGGCAGACCCGCAGAACGCGCCCGCACAAACCATATATCCCGCCCATAAAGTCCAGTACGCCCACGACTTCACCGTCTGGACACTTGATTGGCACCCTCTCGGTCACATCCTCGCCTCTGGCTCCAACGACCGCGTCACCCGCTTCTGGGCGCGCCCCAGACCCGGAGACTCGACCTGGGTCAGCGACAGATATCACATCGGGACGGCCGCCGCCGAAGCCCAGGGCACCTACGACCGGCGCGACGGCCGCCGGCAACTGCGCGACGAAGAAGAGCAAGAAGCCGAAGACGAAGCGGAAGGCCTCGTCGACCAGAAAATGCCGTCCAAGAACCCCGCTTCCCTATTACCACCAGGCCTCACGCTTCCCGGCCTCAACACCTCGCCCGACGGCACCAGCAGCATACTTCCTGGAATTGGCGGTGCGATCCCTCCGCCACCCGCGGGAATGCATATACCGCCTCCCCCGCCAGGAGCTGGCTTTCCTCCCCCAGGCTTTCCTCCGCATGGCATGGATCCTTCGCGTCTTGCACAGCTCATCGCCTCAGGCGCTCTGCCACCGCCTCCCATACCAGGAGCGAACAATGCGCCTGGTCAACCGCCGCCCTTCCCCTTCCCTCCACCAGGTATGCCAGGCGCACCCCTCCCATCCCACCAGGTATGAATCCAAACGGGCCACCACCGCCGTTCCCATTTCCCCCGCCAGGCATGAATCCACCGGGAGGACTGCCGGGCATGAATGCTGGCGGGCCGCCGCCTCCGCCGCCGAACTTCGCGTTTCCGCCTGGTGGATTGCCTGGTGGGTTACCTGGGCTGCCGCAAGGTATGCCGCATCCTGGGCAGGGGAACACGCCACCGAATGGAGGGCCGGTTGGCGGGGCTGCGGCAGCAGCAGCAGCGGCCTTTGAAAGGAGGAGGATACCGCTTCCGAGTCAGCAGGATAGTTTGAAAGCGGAGATGCGGAAGGGGAATTATCGGAAGGCGAGGTAGAAACGCTATTCCTAGATTGTGACGAGGCGTGCGGTGGTGTTCCCCTGGTTGATGGAGATTCTTAGATTCAGGTATCTCAGCGTATTGAAGACTTGTATGATATGACTAGGAGCTTGGGAACCATGTATGCATGAGGTGGCGCTTTGGCGTTGCACTTGAGCCGTAGCGTAGCGGGAATACCTTATTTTGACTCTCCTTGCCAGCCTCAGACAGCGTCAAGGTTCCTGTTCATCCACATGTCGTTCATCATGCCTTGCATGATGAGCGATAATGATTCTGCATTAGATTCGATCGATGATACCGCTCAAGAATTGATTGATTCACAAACGAGATCACGATCTTGCACAAGACACCTCACGGGTTACGTCACGGAATCAAGTGATGGGATAGTACCATGCAAAAGCAACACTTTTCTATAGGTTTAGAAAGACTGACTAGCCCGACATCCACCCATCTGCGGACCATCATGTACGAGGAGTAGAGATACCACACGCCGTCAAGTCGATACACAATACGAAGATAAGCAAAGCAACAAGCAGACAAGGTCAAAGTGTCCTAGCCATCTGACAGGCTACACCAACGTCAGGGCTGCGGTGACAAGAGAATCACCATGAAGCGATTACTCAGAGTCCTCGTCTTCTTCCTCGTCGCTGTCGGCCTGGTCAAGCCACTCGATGAATTTCTCGGCCGAGCGACGGACCTGCTTGCTGGTCTTGATGTCGACGTACTTCTTGCTAGCCTTGGAGCCCCAAGCCTTGAACTGCTCCTCTTCGATGAGGTCGTTCTGGTAGTACTTGATGAGAATAGCAGAGACCTGAGGGATAAGCTCAGGATGGTCGATGCCGACGAAGCGCTCGGTTCCGCCCAAGAAAGCCTTCTCATGCTTCTCGGAGGTGATCATCTTCTTCAGCATGCCGGCGCGGCCATCAATCTGCTTGACGATATTCTTGTCGAAGATGGTCTGAGCGAGAACGGTAAGAGTGCGGTGCTTGCTCTCAATGCCGAGTTCCTTGGCCTTGACGTAGACCTCCACGCTATCGATCTTCTCGACGCTGCCCTTCTGAGCAGCAGTGTCAAGGATCCACTTGCCGAATTCGTCGTAGATCGAAGGACCTCCTTCGCCATCCTCAGCATCTTCGACGAACACGGCAGGGTTGATAGCAGCGCGCTTGAGGTCCTCCGGAAGGACCTCAGCACGGGACTTGACGGCATCGGCGGAGAAATCGGTGGCCCACTGAACCTCCTTCTCCTCTAGCACGTCGTCGATGTCCAAAGCGCCGTCTTCGATCTGGCGGGTGAGCTCATCATCACTGCCGGCTGCAATGCCGTAGTCGCCGTTCTCGTCGCCGTGGTCAGATGCACTGTCACCAGGGCTGGCGCCATTCTGAGACGCATCCTCATCGTCGTCGTCTCCCTTTCCAGCCGCTTTGCGGGCACGGCGCTCAGCCTTCTTGGTAGACTTGTCCTTCTTGCCTTTCTTCGGCTGGTTTTTGAGAATGAAGGAGGTCAGCTTCAAGCGCAAGTCGACCGTGGAGATCTGACCGCAGGCCTTGCAGTCCAGTGTGATGCCATCCTTTTTGACTTCCATAACAGTCTCAGGATTCTTGCACTTCTTGCAGAGGACAAACTTGGAAATGAAGCCATCCAGATAGTCCTGAAGTTTGCTAGCATCGTGGGCGCCATTGATGATCCAACGGTCGTCGGCTGGATTCGTATTCGTCTGAGCGCCCAGCTCGAAGCCGAAGTACTTGATGACATCTATGTTGGATTAGCTTAGTCGCAACAATGAGGGGCACGAGGCGGGTGGACTCACAGGCAGGAGGACGGTCGAGAGAGTTGGCAACGCTGGTCAGGTTGACGATGACAGTCTTGATGCCGTTACCCTTGCCTTCGATCTTAGACTGCAGCCGCTCCATCTTGTAGCGGTAGAAAGGGTCGGTAACATCGCGGCGAACGTTGATGGTGGCCATGGTTGCGGTGATGAGGGATTGTTGGTTGAGCTGAAATTTACTTCTGCGGTAGCGGGCGGACGGCTATAGGAACACTACGAGTGCTTATGAGGGCCGAAAGAGACATGCAGTAGATGCAGGCTCTAGGTGCGTGCGGGTTGATTTGTAGGACGCGTGGTCGTTCAACAGTGGGCTAGCCGTTGGTGCAGTGGTGAACACTGCTGGGTTTCCGCGTACTGCGAAATGATTGCAGCTCGGGGGGAGGGTCGAGTCGGAAAGCGTTCCTTTGGCGCGAATACATATGCCAGTTGACAAGGCGACACTGGAGGGCAGTGGGGTGGGTTTTGAGGTGTGAAGTGGCGGTTTGGCAGGAGGCCGCGGGCTTGCGACTCTGCAGTTGGCGTGGCGGGGTTTGCTGGTGAATCGAGGGTTTGCGCAGTGTGTCACTGGCAGCGTGTGAATTTTGAGCGTGCGGCTGTGGCTGTGTGGGGAGTGAAAGCGTGCGGCAGACGGCGGGTGGGCGTGTCGAAGAAGAGGAAGGTCGTCAGGCGGCGGTCCAGTTTTTATAAGACGCTCGCTCGCCGAGAAAAGGTAGGAGCGACGGTCCCGCGGTTCCCACCACCAGCACCACGCCAGCCATAATGCAATTTTACGTGCAGCCCCATCTGCACGTCATTCGCTCTAGAAACGCTTTTACGTCCGCATACGGCAGCCTGGCGACCCGGAGTAGGCGTCGCGGACTGCAGCACCGCGCTTTTGCTGCCTGCTGTGGCGCGGGAGTCGGCATCAAACAGTCATCACCAGGCGCGCAAAGGAGCTGTAATTTGGATCGTCTACGAGCTCACGTGACGCCCTCTGGACTGTAGAGTATAGGCATATTTGCGGTCTAGATAGTAGGCGACGTACACGTATCTGGCCTCTTTGCTCCTCGTACTGTACGATGCAAGTTTGGTACCCCCGATTTTTTCGGAGGACTACGTTACCCCACGGCGATATTGCGCCAGAGACCAGAGACCCTCGCAAATGGCAGTGCCATGCAGTCATGAGAACACAGTATGCGCTGCCGCAGGGTCCACTGCCATGACGGTCCTCTTACGGCTGCAGTTGCTCCCATGTGGTGCGTCGTGCATTCGAATCCCCCGCAGCCCTGAGCCTCAGCATTTCTAGCCGTCCGAACTTTTTGCGCCCGCCCAGGAGGAACAACATTCTAGCGCCTGTTAGCACTGCACTTCACTTCCGATCACCGCTTGTCCCCGTCCGGTCTTCGCAGCCTTGCAGAATCAGCCACGCGAACAGGCAATTGCAGACCAGCCGCCGCCGGTACCCCCCGTCACACGCATGCAAAACGCTCCGTACTCCAATCTGCCGGTCCGGGACGTTTCCGCCTATCTGCAAGGATGAAGGACCAAGTGGATTATTCCTTGTACCTCGTCACTGATTCCACAGAGGCTATTTTGGGCTCACGGGATCTTGTCCAGGTCGTTGAACAGGCTCTTCTTGGAGGTAATACTTCTTTCGTCTACGGCTGATCTATCGAGTCTCTGATACCGAGTATCAACTTGCAAGCCATGCCCCACTGTGGCTCCCGCTAATCGCTGTGGCAGGTGTGACCGTGGTACAATACAGAGACAAGACCAGTGACACAGGAGACCTGATCAAGACTGGAAAAGCGCTCCACGAAAAATGCAGAAAGCACAATGTGCCTCTGGTCATCAACGACCGAGTCGACGTTGCCCTCGCAGTAGGATGCGAAGGTGTCCACTTAGGTCAGGATGACATGAACGTCAGTGAAGCACGCAAACTGCTGGGTGACGATAAGATCATAGGGGCTACCGTGTCTTCTATAGAAGAAGCACGCATAGCTGTCGAGCGAGGTGCAGACTACCTGGGGATCGGCACGCTCTATGCTACTTCAACCAAGAAGAATACAAAAGATATCATTGGCATCAATGGTATCCGGAGGATTCTACGGTACCTTGATACGAAAGGTGGGGCATCCAAAAACGTCAAGACAGTCTGCATAGGCGGCGTCAACGCTCTCAACGTGCAAAGAGTTCATTACCAGCTCCACGCTCCCTCAGACGCAAAGACACCCAAGTCTATCGACGGTGTCGCCGTGGTATCCGCAATCATTGGCGCCGAAGACGTCGAGCAAGCAGCCGCCAACTTGAAGACCCTCCTCTCCACATCACCAAACTTCATCACCTTATCCTCCTCTTCATCCAACGATGACTGGACCTCCCTCGCCCACATCCAAACCACCGCCCTCGCTGCCACTAAGGCAGTCCACGCCAAATCTCCCCTCTCGCATAATATGACCAATCTCGTCGTCCAGAACTTTGCCGCCAACGTCGCCCTCGCGATCGGCGCCTCCCCCATCATGTCCAACAACGGTGCAGAAGCGCCCGATCTCGCAAAGCTCGGCGGCGGCCTCGTCATAAACATGGGCACCGCGACCCCCGACGCGCTCCTCAACCACCGCCTCGCCATCGCTGCGTACAACGCCACAGGTAGTCCCATCGTCCTCGACCCCGTGGGTGCAGGTGCTACTTCCGCACGGCGGGATGCCTTGGCGTATCTCCTGGCTTCAGGGTACTTCACGCTCATCAAGGGCAACGAGCGGGAGATCCTGGCCGTGGCGCAGGCCTCGGGGTTCACCGTGGTGTCGAAAGAGGCAAGCCAGCAGCGCGGCGTGGACAGCGGCGACGCAGTATATACCCTAGAACAGAGAGCGTACATCGTGAAGCGTATCGCCCTCCGCGAGCGCAATGTCGTCCTCATGACGGGCGCTACCGATGTCATCTCCGACGGCCACCGCACCTACGCCATCTCGAATGGGCACAAGTACCTGGGCCTGATTACAGGCAGCGGGTGTACGTTGGGTACTACTATCTCGGCGTACATGGCCGCATCCCCTGAGGACACATTCATGGCGGCTGTGGCGGGTATCTTGCACTATGAGATTGCGGCCGAGGATGCGGCCATGGGCGAGGATGTCCGAGGACCAGGAACGTTCATCCCGCACTTTATCGATGCGCTGTTTAAACGGAGGATGGATGTCGTGGAAGGGAAGAACTGCGAGCCGCCCGAGGGGCTAAAGATTCAGGTCATGAGCGATGTGCAGGATGCTAGTTTGCTAAAGGAATTGTGAACGATGATGTCCTAGCTTTAAACTTTGGATATCTATGGTATATATCCAATAAACGTTTACTCCCTGAAGGAAGTCGGGTGAGTGCTTGGTAGGCTTAATGCCCCGGAGGGTATTTATCCACAAGCTTGTAGTACAATTAAAACTTCTGCCAAATATAAATCATGGCATGGAGCCACCAAACGTTCGTTGCACCCGACGACCTACACAATGAACACAGATTGCATGATAGTCTCGTCAGAAGCAGGCGATCTGAGATGAGCGCATCACAAACAAGCTTGCTATAAGAGTTTCCACAACATGTAAATACAACACACACGAGGTTTGTCCACATATCGGACAACGCGACACAGTATCTACAGTACAATCCATAGTTCCATGCTAGAAAAATAACAGTTGAATCATTCCCAATGGTATCATATCCAGCCGAACCAGGCATGTGGAAACGCCTAATGCAGCCCAAGAACACTCGCCTCCAGAATGTGTCCAAACGCCTTCGTATGCCGTAGGATATGGCGATCGCAATGTGCAAACCATGCTTCGCAATAACGCCGAAAGAATCAAAAGGGTATCATAGGTATATGTAAAGTACACGGGAGGAAGATGACACCGCAACCTCGAATCTATGAAGGTGAAGAAGCAGTTTCTTCGGCAGGGGGCGAGGTGGCCGATCGAGCGGCGGCAAGGGCTTTGACGGCATTGTCAACTTCGTCACTTGCTATTTTCTGCCATTTGTCTCGAATACCCTGACTGGCTAGAGCATCCGTGCCAGCTTCGGCAACTCTGTCGTACAAGAGCCGCGAAATGTCTCGGTTTATGTCGGTATACTCCTCTTTGCTGACCTCTTTCCTCATATACATGGGTTTGAGGACGGCCGTGACCATCAATTGCAGCTCTCGCTTCGTTGAGTACGATAGCGAAGTTGAGCGGTTTGGAGACGAATCCTTGGATCGTGGTGGGCTAGTGAGGCCCGGAGAGTGTGGGCGTTGCGCAAGCTTCTTACGACCTGGACGTGCATCCTCATCTGCAGGCGAATACGGAGAATACGTTGGCGAAAGTTGCTGATCTCTTTGCGTGGGTGAGTCCGTCCTGTTGATGTTGAGTGGAGGTGGGGTTGACATGCCGGCGCGTGGAGTAGGATATATGGGCGAGAGGCCAGGCGATGAGTTCTGGGGCGAGCAAGCGCGCTCGACTATGATGCGCTTTGGTTGAGGTGCGGCAATCTCGCGGTCTTCGGCGAAGCGATCAACCTCTACCTCCTGAAGAAGCGACTGGAGGAACCCGGGTACGAGGGAGGAGTCGCCGTCACTGGTGGCGGCGGGTGGTGAGGCGTGCGATGCTACGGTGGGACGACGCGCAGCAGCAGCAGTAGATGACTCGGCCGTGTTGGCTGTGTTGATATTCAACCGGGTTCGAGGTCGCTTTAACTTGCGTTCCGGCTGTGGTTCCTGCGGTTCGGGTTCGGCGGGTGACGCAGTTACGGACTTGCGCTTTCGTCCACGCGTATTGCTGCTCACACTGGCAGGGCGAGGATGCTGGGCACCTTCTTCAGTGACTTGCTCGCGGGCTTTGTCAAAAGCGTTCCATGCTCTCAGCTCTTCTTGTGATTCAGGATCCTTAGGTGACTCGGGCGTCTGAGGTACTTCGCGATGAAGTGTGCGATTTGTGGGGCGCTGACGCAAGGTGGTGATAGTATCGGCAGCTGCACGGAGACGACTACCTGCACCCATCCGACGCGCCAGTTCGAAGCGTCGCTCCCATTCCTCATTTTCGCGACGCTGAATCTCTGAACGGGATTCGGACTGGTCATCATCTTCGAACGGGAACTCAATGTCGAAGTGAAGGCGATCCCATACGCTCTGCCAGACACCGACCCACTCGTCTGGAGCACGAGCGCGACGGCTGGTGCGGGTGGTGCGACTACGTGGATTGAGGTAAGCCGCTGGACCGCGCATTGTAGGGCGATGGCCAGCCGCTCGCAGCAGAGAAGGGTTCTCCATGCAGTGCTGGCAATACCACGGTCCGCGGCCTGGCATGTCGTCGAGACCAGCGCAGAATACATGACAATAGTTCCCGCAACTATGACACTCCATGAGTTGAGAAGAATCCCCAATGTCATCGCACACCATGCAACAAGTGTCGACATTCGCTTCCTCTCCGAAGAAGTAGTCGTCTTCTACGATCATGGTTGGGTCGATGTCGGCAACTTGTCGCTTATCTTGCACGCCATACGAAGATAGGATGGTTCCTGTATGTCGCAGTTAGTAAACATCATAACACGTCCAAAGCCTTCTACCAAACAAGGAGGGATACCTTAGAACATCCTGGCGCAAAGCCGGACGACTAGCGGTCTCTCGTTCTCGGTAGTTCCAAGCGATAATCGTTCGTAAGAGGGCTTGAAGCATAAAGCGATGGTTTCCGAGAAGGGTCACATACCTCCGATCCTGGCACTGAGCTCAACCATGTTGAAATTCGCTCGGCATATTGGGCAGCTGTTTGCGCGTTCTACCCATGGTTTCAAACACTCGTTGTGTAAGTTGTGACCGCATGGCAGGAGATGCGCGACCAACACGTCATCTTTAAGGGCATGTTCAGTGAGTGCTGAGACGACCCCTTCAAGTTTGACAGCATGACGCTGGTTATCGACACCATTAGCGCTATCTTGAACTAGCGCGGCGTCGGTGGCGGGAACTTGACTTTCGTCTTGGGGGACGAGTTCGCCGAGGCAGACTATACAAGTCTCGGCCATTGGTGCGGTGAAGCGTTGGTGAAGTGCAAGTGAAGTGACCGGTAGAGTTCATTAAGTAGAGGATGAACAAGAGACGGGCGGGGCTCAGCGTCCTTTTGAAGTATGGCCTAGCGCCTTGGCGGCTACCTAAGCAGGGGTTAGTGGTCCGAGCATGATGCACCCGAGTACGCCAGCACCTTGGGGTAGCGGCGGCGGCGCTTGCGACGAGTCGACACAGTTGACGAGGCCAGGGTCGCATTCAGGGCGACCTTGATGCCTATTCCGTAAGTACGATGAATTAGTGATATCTGGAAGGAAGGTCCTCTGTGTTCCAATGCAGGAGTCCCAGTTTCTGGGGCTTACCCATCCACGTGTCACCTAAACCACCCTGCTGAGCAGCCATATGACTTGTTCAGGTCACCATGTTGTCGCTAGGAATGCAAACGTTGTTTCAGAGACTCTCGTTTCCAATGTTACCGTTGCCAACAGGCTGGCTTAGCGGACCCCACTTGAAGGGCTCTCTCGTCGTTGCTTCAATCTTAACTGAGAACCAGTGCACCAATTCCTCGTCTAATGTTTCGGATGCGGAGAACCACAGGAGTGCAGTGCGAGGTGCTCAACATTAAGGTGATCTTGTTTATCCAGGACCATGTAGAAAGAGGCAGTCGGTCTCGACAGGATCGCATCAGCCGCAAAGAGCGGACAGAGGACGCGGGGTCGCGACCAGCTAAGTCGGCGCAAATTGCTCTTCAATCATGAGCGCCCCTGGCGGATCTCTCGCGTCGCACTGAATGCTGTCGCTTTGGCTCTCTAGCATAGGAAGGCATCCACCCGAAAATGTACTATGGAGATCTCTTTGGGAGCTCTCTCTTACCAGATCGTTCTCCGGTTTCCACGATGGAGCAAAACCAGTCCGGCTCGAAAAGAAGCTCGGATACTGACAGACACTTTTATTATATTCTAACGAACGTGTTCGCAGGAGCCGCAAGTAGCCGTGGTTTTGGACGTGAAGTGAGGACCGATGGAGGCTCTGGTCAACCTGGCTTCTCGCCCAGATAGCGCATCGCGATAAGCGCCGTATACGTTCTGCCGCTCGATGCGCAGAAGATGCTTCCAGTGCTTGCGAACGTTCTAGTTCCATTCTCAGAGATCGCGTGTGAGAGATCTTTAGAATCCCATATCATCTACGGGCGTCAGTGACAGGTTTCAATGAAGCCTTCATGTTGCCAGCCAGTCATCCTCTTTAGCTTGGCCGCCTCGGTCGCAGTGGCAGTAAGTGTCCCCTTAGTAAGAGACGGCGCATCGCATATTTGCGGCGTAGGCATCATAATTCCAAGGCGGACAGGCAGAGAAGAGCACGATGGCGGTGTGGAGGGTGAGAGTTGGTATTCCTCACAGCCCTGCCCTTGCGAACTCCAAGTGTGCCGAGCGCTAAGTTGGCCTAACCAAAAGCAGTAAGAGCTCGAAGATCACCTGCCTCTGCGCTTACACTTCGACTCTCGGAGAAAAAGTGAAGTTTTCTGGTAGCAATCTGTTCAGATTTTGATCGATATCTTTCAGTGGGTGCCTGTATTCGTCCGGTGTATACAGAGTCGGGTTAATGTGTACTCCGTCGCACAAGCTCCGTTCGGCGTGCCCGTCCTGCCTCGGCATGACGTCCTAATAGCACGGCCGCAGGGGCTTCAACGGGCAGTTGATAAGGCGCCTTCAGTCTTGCGCAATATACCATCATTCTCGAGTTTTTCGACATTATGGCTCAATCGCGTCAATATGAGCTGATCCTCTTCGGGGCGACTGGCTATACTGGGAAGCTCACCGCAGAGTGGATTAGCCAACATTTACCGACAGATTTGAAATGGGCAATAGCAGGGCGCAACGCAAAGAAGTTACAAAATGTCATTGATGAATTGCAAATTTTGAGTCCGGACCGCAAGCAGCCAGGTAAGCTTCCTTTGTAGCCTGAACACTACCATAGGTACGATGTTGGCGACGAGATTCTACGCACTGCGATAATAATCTCGCGACACTCCATGGAGTCCCCATACCTTCCGTGATCGACTCAATCTTGTGATAGTCACCTTCTAACAGGACCCAGACATCGAAACATGCGAGCTCAAAGAAGACCAGCTCACGGCCCTCGCACTCAAAACCCGCCTCATCATAACGACTGTTGGTCCCTTCATGTTCTATGGCGAACCCGTGCTGGCAGCCTGCGCGAAGACGGGAACCCACTATCTCGACTGTACTGGAGAGGTACCATGGATTCATTCCATGATACCCAAGTACCACGACCAAGCCAAGTCCACTGGCGCCATCATAATCCCCGAATGTGGCCTTGACTCTGTTCCTGCAGATATCCTAGCTTACGTGCTAACATCGCACGTACGCAAAACCCTCAACGCTGGAACCACGAACCTGAACATGAGCTTTTTCTCTGGAAAGTCGGGCTTCAGCGGAGGAACGACCCACACGATTCTGCAGCTGTTCGAGAAGTATGGCATGAAGGAGCTGGGTGATTCGATGAAGCCATGGTCTCTGTCGCCTGTGCAGCCTACGAAGCCCGCGAGGAGTCCGAAGGGTAACCTGCTCCACCGTCTATTCGGTGTGGTCAACATCCCCGAACTCGGTGGCATCCAAACGACCTGGCTCATGGCGAGTGTTGATAGATGCATCACGCACCGCTCTTGGGGTCTGTACGAATCGAGTGCTAAGTCAACATCCACCCCAAGCTTGTCATACGGGTCGCGCTTCAACTTCAATGAGTATATGCGTGCCAGGTCTCTCCTCCTTGGTTTGGCCGTCAATGTAGGCATGGCACTGTTCGGCCTAGCATTCGCTTTCCCACCGTCTCGTTGGATTCTTTCGCCTCTCGTTAAACGCTTTCTGCTGCCACAACCGGGCGAAGGACCTTCACGCGAGAGCATGAAGAATGATTTCATGAGCTACAAGGCGGTGGCGATTGCGGATACGGACAAGCAAGAGAGTGTTCTCGGAACATTGCACATCCCTCATGGTGGGTATGTTGCGACGGCGCAAACATTGAGTGCCGCTGCATGGGTCATTTTGCGTGGGAGGCTAGAGGATACCGAAGCTGGCAGGTTGGGTGGAGGGATCCTGACTCCAGCGACTCTCGGCCTGCCGTTGGTGGAGAAGCTGGATGAGTTCGGTATCAAGATTGAGGCCGGGGTCTGAAAGCTTCAAACGGACTAAAAAGAACCGAATCTTTGTCTTGGATTTCCTGATCGGGCTCAATAATTTTAGACGACCCTAGTTTGACTAGACATAGGGATACAAACCGATCTTTAGGCCATCAAGTGCAAAGTCCATCTGGTTGATACTGATGGCAAAGGTCCAAACTTGCACATGTTCACGAGTCGTACGACAAACATCACGTCCAAACGCACGATTTCCTCGCGGTTACAGATTCCAGTAACCTCGTCCATGGTCCGATGGTCATCGTTGGCTTATAGTTTTCCGGACCTTTAGAGCCGATTGACGGTTGTGACGGGCCCATACTCGGTTCCCTGTTTGATTGACGACAAGGTTGTTACGTTTTGTTTCGGGAAATCAGACCAACCCGTCCACCCATCAGAAAGCAGTAGTAGACTACCGCTTTTACCAATAAATCATCCCGCGTCATCTGAAGAGTCATCGCTATGGTAAAGATCGACTTACAACGTTAGACTTACAAGGTGTTCCCAGTGCGCCGCATACCGTGCAGCATCATTTGCGCCTATAGCAATTTCTCCGCATTAAACATACAATTTGCCAAGACGTTCCTTCTTCGCGAACTGGCCGTTCCAAGAGGCGCTACAATTCGAGCGAAACACCCATGGGAAACAAAATCTATCGAGCCAAGAACAGGATGCGGAGACCTCATCCCTAATCTCGCGGACGCCAAGTACTTTCGCTCTATTCGAACGTGTTTGCCGCTTTATGCTATCCTTCAAATACCATAGGCTTTTCTGCCTATAGACCTTACCTATCCTTCACTCATTCGTTCACTTTCTCCAATTCGCAGGCGCATCTATTTACTTCTGATCCATAGATAGTGCTGGCACGTCACTCTTTCGCGATGAAGACTTTTGCCCTTTCCACCCTTCTCGCAACCGGCGCCCTCGCCGCCACCATCCCCAGCACCGCTGCTCCAATCTGCAAATTCAAGCGTGATCTCACGGCCACCCCCGTTGAGAGCCGCGACCTCGGCCAGACGACATGGAACCCGCCTTCCAACCTCGTGACCCCGCTTAAAGAAGTCTGGGATCACGAGATCGCCACCTACAGTGATGCGCTCGGCTTCAAGAATTATGGCTACGATCAAGTCATGGCCGGCAAGGGTAAGATCAACTACTGCGTTCGCTGGGACTCGAGCAAGTCTGTGCCGGCGGAACAGCGTACGCAAATTGAGACTGCGGTTCGCAAGCAGTTCAACAAGTGGATTGCCGTGCTCGCTGGGTTTGAAGATTTCCCGTATGAGACGGTTGATGTGAACGTTGTAGGCTGGGCTGTTCGCGACAAGAACCTGCTTCAGGGTGATACGTCGGGCATCCAGGTGTACACCGATAAGGATGCAGATGGTATCCCACAATGCGCCGAGGACTGCGGTCGTTTCTTCCACCAGGATGGTGATTACAGCAAGTGCGCTGCAGGCACTGACCGCCACTATGGTAAGCACTATCCTGAATTCCTCCTTGCATACAGAAGCAAATGTGCTAACCCACGCGACAGACCAATCCCTCTGGCTCACCGACGGCTTCGAGGGTGGCGCAGGAGGCGACTGGGGCCAGCGCGTCGGCAGCGACTACTTCCTCGAAGCCCTGAGTAGCGAGAACATCCACATTGTGCTGCACGAGATGGGTCACACCTTTGCGCTCGACGACTTCTATGACTGGACTCCCACTGGCATCACGAACTTCATCATGCTGGCTGGCTCTGCAACTGAGATTACCGAGTTCGATGCTTGGATGGCGAGGGATTGGTGGAGGAACTTGAAGTCCAGATACGGATTGTAAATAGTACGGGATGCTGGTGTCGACGAGATGTGGTAGCATGGAAAGGAGGGCCTTCATTCTTGTATAAATTCTTCCATTTTCGTAAATATTATTCTGCATTTTTATTGCATCACCTTACTCTCAGCCTCTACCTTATAATCCACGGTGTTAGCTCCTGTCTATCAACATCTCAGAGTTTTGATCATCTCACTATAGTACCTGGTTAGATGCTGTGGAAGTAGTACTGTGGCGGCTTCTGCCAGCATCTGCAAGTTTGCGGAGAAGTTGGAGGGAGATAGTGAAGCGGATGGCAGGGAAGCCGATTGGATGTAGTGACCTGGATTCGTGCTCGACAAGGTCCAGTTGGGCCGACTCATGCTAATGGTGATGGGTGACAAGTGGAAGCTGTGTAGACTATGATGCATGATTCGGCTGGTAGCGTCAAGAACGAAAAGTATGGCTGATCAAGAGGAAGTGTCTTAGAATGTTGAAGTTGAGTTGGACTATTGCCCTTGGTAGAAGCTGTGTTGGTGATCTAGAGAAAATCGGCAATGGCACGCTGAATGCCGGCTCGGTGATGAGAGTCTGAGACATGATGGATGATGCTTTGATAGTGAAGTAGGCTAGAATATCGTCGCAGAGAAACAGCTCCGGATCCATCATTTACTAGAAAACAAGCTCTACGCTACCCGCAGGTCGAACAATATACGCCGTCTCCCATATCAAGCAGCAACATAACTCGGTCATCCCTTCCTGTTCCAGTCAACACCCCGTCACGATCCTGAACCCCTGCACGGGATTCAATGGCGGATCTACTCCCGAGAAGTCCCAGTAGTTTACCTGTGCCCCACCATCAAATGCCATACCCATCTGCCACGTCAACGTCCCGTTACAGTCCGTCACCCCAATATCCATTAAACCCCCCGTTTCGTTCCACATCTCCTGCTGTGCCTCCAGCGTCCCATTTACCTGTCCAAATACTGGTACCGTTGCATTTCCACTCGCAAGGACCGCCGGTTCATACGTGTTCCACATCGCAGGGACCCCTGCCTCTCTCGCCACCTGGTACGCATTGAAAATCGGCTGTGCTCCCATCGTATTCTGCATATCCTTGGTAGGCAGCTGTAGCTGTAGGTGACACGTGCTATTCGGGGGCACGCTATCTTGTAAGTTGGAGAACTGAACTTGCGTTGCAACTTGAAAGGTGTCGGCGCGCTGGCGGAGTAGCATAAAAAAGTCTTTTTGGCCGTGCAGGGGGGTTTGTTCCCAGGAAGGGTAGCGTGAGTTCATGACTCGGTATTCAGAGGGGTAGAAGGTTTGGCAGGAGGCGGCGGCGGCGGCGGCGAGGGTCGGCCCGGGTGAGAGTGCACTGCAACCTGTGGGGTACGCTGTGGGCGTCGTTGCGTTGGGCCATAATGGGCCGGCTGAAGCGGGTAAGGTGAGGAGGAGGCTGGTTATGATAAGGCTGGCGAGGGATTGAAGGTCGCGCATGGCGCTGCTGGTGATGGCGTGCGATTGGTAAAGGTTGATCGAGCAGGATAGCAAAGGATGAGGCGAAAGTAGTTTGTAGGATTCAAAGATTAGATGACGGAGACGTAAGAATATGGAAAACGCTGAGGATTGAGGATGGAAGTTGTAGTGCCGATAGACTGGAAACCTGAAAGCTATTGTTAAAGATCGAGGCGGGGGTTTGGTCGCCCTTACCGTCAAAACGACACCTCCTTCGTCCCTTCCTCCTTGTACAGAACAGAGTCAAGAGCTTTAGACCACTTGCCTCCATATCGATGAGGGTTACAGATCACGCATAGAACGACCTTGTGAGATATTGTGGAATGCCTCCATACCTTAGTCAACTACGACGCAGATCTTACACCTCATAAACAATCTTATACGCACTAATCTTCCCGTCCCTATACTCTTGGAACCCATCCCCTACCTTCTCTAGCCCCTTCTTAACAGTCTGCGCATTGGGCTTCACCGCTCCTTTCTCCAGCCACTCGGGCAACTTTTCGAACAACTCAGCGGCAAGCTCGTGATCGTCCTTATTCGCCGGCCACTTGAAGTCGCCATACGCATGGTCCTTGAGAAAGGCGGTCCAGACAAGCACATCCGTGACTTTGGTGTGCCCAGTGCATTTTTCTGTGTTGGCTTTGCCAGGCCGTACGGTGCAGAGCCCACCACCCTGCTCTCGGATAGCCTTGGAGGCGATGGCGGAGCTCGATTCGTTGCCGATGGTGTCGAAGACGTACTGTAGATCTGGCGCTACCTGCTTGATTTTATTGACGACATCCGCGTCCGAGTAGTCGAAGACGTGCTGTGCGCCCACGGACTTTACAAGATCGAAGTTGCGCGGCGAGCAGGTAGTGATGACGGTGAGGTTCTGCGTGCGGGCGAGCTGGATAGTATATAAGCCGACGGAGGAAGAGCCGCCCCAGACTAATATTGTGGTAGGACTGTTTCGTGAGATGTGTAGGCTGTCCTTCGAAAACATTGCGAGCCAGGCTGTGGCGGCTGCGAGAGGGACGGTGGAGGCCGCGGCGGACGAGATGCTTGGGGGAATCTTGAAGGAGATGCGTTCGTCTGCGACTGTGTACTCGGCGTAGGCACCTAGGCCTTTGATCTCGCCTACAGACTGTCAGTATCTTTATCTGTGATTTGACCTGTACGGATTCCTTGTGATTTACGTTATCCTTGAAGGAAGTACATGGTGCTTTAGACAGTTGCACCTTGAATCATATGTATGCTTATAGAGTGGTGAAGATCACATACCGCCCCAGATCAGTCCAGCTATGTTATCCCCCTTCTTCACACGCGTCACGGTCTTGCCAACTTCCTCGACAGTGCCAGCAAAGTCGCAGCCGAAGACGGAACCATCACCAAAGGCGTTGCGATCGAACGACTGCACGTCGGTCGGGTTCTGAGCAACGTGCGAGAGCTTTACCAATGCCTGATGGTCCTCAAATTTGGGTTTTGGTATAGCTTCCTTGGAAAGCATAGGCTTAGAGTCCTTGTTGCGCTGGACGACAGCTTGCATCTTGTCGGCCATTGTTGCAATTGGGGGGATGAAGCCGGTGGTAGTCTTTTCAAGTTTCAAATTGATTCAGGAATCGATTTCGCACCGATTCGAAACGACAGTCCAATGTGTATATACTGAAGATTACAAATACCTGTGGTACCGTAGTGGAGCATCTGGACGGGAGGGTCGCTTACGTCATGGTTGGTCAACTGGCGGGGTACCGCATTAAGCATAGCCGAACGTATATCTGTATATGAAATACTGAAGTAAAGCGTCTTTAGCAAGTTGGACATTGAGAGATAGCCCCTTCTCCCAGGTCTTGGTCAGCCTTCCAATCGGACCAAATTTGTATGTGCAACATTATGTATTTGGGTATAAGATTCGCTCGATTAAGGTGCAACAAGCAAGCATCTATATGCCGCGAAATATGATGTCGTTAAATTTGGCCGTTAAATGCGAGATTATGCAAGTTCAAGTTCGATCACCGAGTCGAGACTGTGCGGGTGTCGCCAGATGCCGTTTATCTTCAGACCCGCGCCCTCGTACATTTCGGTGTGCTCGGCCACGGTGCGATGTCTTGCACCAAGAGATGCCATAAGTTCCCAGTCAAGGGCTGTCTGTGGCCACGCCGCACCCTGGTTTGGGACTACGAAATCGTTGATCAGCACTTTCGAATAGCCTTTCTTCATGGCCGGAACAATCGCTTTCAAGATCTGCGTGTTCACGTCGTCGCTCCAATCCTGGATGATAGAGTGCAGGTAGTACGCTCGTGCACCTTGAAGACATATCAGTACAGAGTGACGGCAATAAACCAGCATGCTCACCTTTAACGGGCTGCTCGGTCAAGAAGTCGTGAGACATGGCTTCAGCGCCCTTGCCCACCTGCGCATGCTCGATGACCTCGGGCCTGTCCTGCAGCACGAGCTTACCCGGCAGCGCGGAACCGAACGCCTGTCTAACTCCTTCGACGTCGTGCCCCACGCCACCGCCTATGTCCACCAGAAACACGCCTTCGCTTTCTGCGCCCTCGATCAGCTGCTCCTTGACGGGATAAAACTCTGGCTCGAACCACCGCGGCCGCCCTTTGCTCCACGCATCCATCATACTGCCGAAACGCCGCCCCATCTCCTGGTCAAACTTCTGGAAGTATTCGAAGTAGTGGTAACCTTTGCAGTCGAAAGCGTGCTGGAAGGGACCGTCGGTCTGCGAATTAGGTGAAGTGAAGCCGTGCGTCTGGAAGAAGCTGGGCATCTTCTGGTGGGCTGGTTGAAAGTTGTCGATGATGTAGAGGATCGTGTCTTGGTAGACGGGCTCGGCGAAGGACTTTGAGGTAGCAGTGGGTGCAAAGGTATCGGGTGCGGTTTCGTTCACGGTATGCATGGCGGCAAGATGGCGAAGCATGCGTCCTGGTCACTTTCTCAGCTTCAACACTTCTGAGGTGCTGTCTAGGCTGGCGCACCGACGAGGACTGGGTCCGTCTTGGGATCAGTCCTCGACGCGATCTCGGCGGTCGTCTGGCCGGCTGCGTCGATGTCCTGCATTGCTTGGAAGAGCTTGATCTCGACGCCCATGCGGATGACGGAGAGGTGTGACGGTTGCGCCCACAACAGTTGCAACATGGTCTCGGAGGGGTGACTGAGCTCCGTGATGAGCTTCGAGCAGGCCCCTAGCAAGCCCTCGCGCGCGCCCTGCTCCCCATTCTTCAAGCCTTCCCCGAGTTTGGCTATACTCTCTACGAGGGCGAGGGCGCCCTGCGACGATGGGTTGGCGGCCATTGCGAATGGTGGTTCAGTCGGTGAGGCAGGCGGACGTCGAGGGGACGCAGAAAGGACCAGACAGACGCGGCAAGTGGGCGCCGGCGCGGGAACGAGCCGCTGCAATGTCCATGACGGACGGAGCGTGCCGCGGTGCTTTGCTGCGCTGGCGGCGAATCCCCACTACGAGTTGTGATTACAGGCGTGCCTGGACGGCTCGGCTCGGCTCCAAATGGCGGGATTTAGGCGACTTCGGATCGACGACAAAGGGATGATGCTGATGCCGGCGCCGCCCAGAGCGCGCCATTCGAGGATCCCAAGGCTCATCCCAGAGCATGCCTCGAAACATCTCCACGCTGGTCCCCATTATCCGCATACCCTGTCGTCGGACCCCCTCTCGTGCGACGCTGGCCGCGGGGCATCTTTGAACGCGTGCAGCGTGTGCAGCGCCGACCGTGCGTCTCACCCAATGGACCAGCCTCGCGAAGGCCCCAGTCCGAAAGCGGCCGATCGCCCACACCCGCCTCACGACGCTTCAACACCAGGCCCCTCTGGCCACCATGTTGGCCCCAGCCGCGATGCGCCCACTTCCTCTGAAGCAGACCCTAAACCAGAGCCTCATGCAGACCAGGCGCCCGTCGACTCGGGCGTCGACGCGGGCTCCGCGAGCGAGTACGACCAGGAGAACAGCGGGGATCACCTGCTAGAGGCGCACAATCACACTGACGACGACAACTTCAGTGACGAAGGGTATGCACACTTCACACTCCACTGCGCCGTCGGAGGTTACAAGGATCGGTGCTCACACTTTGCACAGGTACGATGGCTCCGACGCCTCTTCCTTCCTCTCCTCCATCTTGTCCGAGGTGCGTCGCGGCGTCGAGATAGAGGGCCGCCAATATGCAAGCTACGGGAAGCACGACTACGGCATGCCCATGGACGACAAAGAGTTGGACCGCCAGGACCTGCAACACCACAAGTACAACCTGCTACTAAACGACAAGCTGCATGTAACGCCCATACCAGAAGAACGCCTACAAGAGAGCGGCAGCCGCGTTCTCGACCTAGGGACGGGCACAGGCATTTGGGCTATGGACATGGCCGACAAATATCCAAACGCTGAGATCATCGGCGTAGACATCGCGCCTACACAGCCCAACTTCGTCCCGCCAAACTGCATCTTCGAGATTGATGATGTAGAGGAGGACTGGCCGTACCGCCCCGCGCACTTCGACTTTATACATGGCCGCGACCTCATGACCGCCGTGCGCGACTGGCCTAAACTGATTTCCCAGGCTTACACACACCTCAAGCCCGGCGGCTGGATCCAGCTCGCCAGCACCATCCCCGGCGCCCTCACTGACGACGACACCATCCCCCCGAACAGTGGCTATGTCGAGTCCGGTCGTCTGTACTTCGAAATGGCCGAGAAGATGGGTGCCCCGCTCGATGCGCCGCGCCAGTGGTCCACTCAGATGCAGGACGCCGGTTTCACCAACGTGAAAGACGTCGTGTACAAGCTTCCCATGGGCGCGTGGCCGCGGTCCAAGCGGCTACGCACGGTCGGAAAGCTGGAGCAGGTTATGATTCTTGACGGCGGGTTTGAAGCATATATGCTGAGGGGCTATACGCAGATTTTGGGAGGTCGGGTGGAGGATTTGCAGATTGTCTTGGCACTCGCGAGGAGAGAGATCAAGGATCCGAATGTGCATACTTATGTGCAGTTTCATGTTACGTATGGTATGAAGCCAGCGTAGCGAAAAGAGGGGCGTGTCTACTGGACGTGGGATCAGGGTGGCATTTCGTTGCATATGGATGGAAATCTGATTTATCGGGCATCATAGCTTGCCCATGGGATCTAGGGAAGTCGGGTCGATTTTCTGGGCAGGAATAGCGAGATCATTGGTCCAGGTTGTACCTCGAATTCTACAAAAGCTTGTCACACTTCACTGTTGGTGGCACACAATGCTACCTGCATACACCCACGCCCTTCGTCACTTCGTCCCGATACACGGTCCACATAAGCGTTCGGTCCGGCTTGCTTTTTGAAGAGGCAATCCCTGCTCGCACTTTTACAGCGTCGTGGTCGCAATCCCCGAGGCTTCTAAGCACACACGGTCTCTATCAAGTAGACCAGTGAGAATGATTCCGATACACCAGGTTTAAACACTTCTCAAAGTTCAAGAAGAACGATGGCTGGGAATGGACGACGCGATTCGGTAGCTCATCATCTCGGAAGTTTAAGCGTGGGGAAAAGAGCTGTGACTATACTGCTAGGTCCGTTCTAAGAGGATCACTGCGCGCTGCGTGGTCTGCTCATGCGTCAGCCTATATATTTGTACTCCCGCTTTCGACACTATTGAGAAAGTGACTCCACGGAGCTGTGATTACTGACTCTTCTTCAGTCCGCGTCAAAGAAAGAGTCAAGAGTTGTAGAGGTATCGGTACTTGACTCACCGCTACGAGGTATATAAACGCCATCAGTATGTCTCTGCATGCTTCTTATACACATCTTCATCAAACTATTCAAGTTGAATTGATATCCGTTTTCACCCTTTGACGCCGGTTCGTCAATACCATTATCTCAAGCGACAGAGATCACTCATTTGTACCACATATATTCCAGATCACCTATTTTCCAGAATCTACAGCATGCCGCACAGCGTGGACGACGAGACTACGGCTCCGGCACAGTTGAACGGGACTACGCCTCCAGCACAGTTGAACGGGACTACGCCTCCAGCACAGTCGACTAGGACTACGGCTGCACCAAATCTACTTGTGCTCTTCAGACGCATGATCAACGTTGCCCTGAATACTTATGAACGGTGGAGCGCAAGGGAAGAGTTGGGCAGGCGTCCCTGCACAGTAGAAATACAACCAGGCTCGACCACCGAGACGCTCCTCATTACCTATCACAGCCCTGCTGGACACATGCCTGCAACAGCGAGGATTCATATCCGCCATCGCAACCCTCCTACAAGCCTGGTCACCCTTCCTGGCACCAATAGCGACAGCATCCAGCGAAATAGCTATGCAGAAATGATGTTCCGCACAAATCTGAATACTCTCCGTACTGCCGCTCGCGTGCCGAATGAGGTCTCTATAAGGGATGGTCTGGAACACTCCTATGAACAGCTTTTTATCGAGACCGATGTCAGTCTCTCAGTGACCTCGGCAGCAGATCAGGACTGCCTGTTTGTCGCTACATTCTCTATGGAGATCCAGGCTAGTCATGTGCATTCGTTCGAACAGCACGGAGCGCCAGGACAGCAGAATGTGGGGGTCCCTGCTACGGATGGGGAGGCGAACGATGACACTGCCTGGGAGATGGACGGTGAAATTACGGATGAGTGGGCGAACGGTGACAATACGGACGGGGAGGTGGACGGTGACACGAATGGGGGGATGAACGGCAATCGGATCATCGATTGATAGTTCGTGTGTAGAGTTGGAGCGCTTGCTGTAGCGCGAGATAGCCAACTTACTACAATCTTTCGTTCTATGCTACGCTGCTCGTATGCTTATGTGCGTGTAATACCTCGGAGACATTGTTCGACCAGTAAGTTAGAGTGATCATGTCTGATCTTTACTTCAGCCGTTGCGTTGATCTTAAGGCCAGCTAATTACTTTTATATGACAAGGAGTGCAAACTATATGCTGTCGATCACTGCCAATTGACGAGTGATAGCGAGATGAACTGTAGAAGAGCGGACCGCAAGACCGGGAACGCATGTGCATTGGAAGCCTGATTCTGGTATCCATGATTGAGATGTTCGTGGCGGCAATGACAGGTGCTGCTCTTCTTAAAATAATTGACGTTGTCTGGACCATAGTTCTGCCGAGTATGGTCAAAGACGGGTGTTCCGAGCTGCCTTTGATGAGGGTGTGATCTGACTTGTCTTTACAAGAGCTGAAAGGCTACGTCGACGAGCTAGTGGCGCTTAACACCAAGATCCAGGTCAAGTACCAGGTTGGCGAGGGGGCAGCTGAAGAAAGCCTTAATCGGCAAGAAGTCTTCTGAGGCCAGACTGTGTTGTACAAAGCTTTGATGAGTCACGGCATCGGTTCGTTGTAAGCAATCCAATATACGGGTACAACGTGTCACCAGAGATGTTATGATCGTGATCCAAAGAATCTAGCCACCACCTATGAAACATGTTATAGTGAAGCAGGGGTCTATTACTATCGCCGTAGATGCAATTTGCTAGTGAATTTTAGTAGAGGGAGAAAATGAATCAACATCAAACGACTAATAACCCACGCTAGATTATAAGCATATCTCTCCGCTATTCCACAACACTTTCCATGGGCGGTGACTGGATTCTATATAAGAAGTACCATTATCTGTGTCACCACTGTGCTTAAGAATATCACATCCGGCGACCTCACTAATGCGCGGAAAGAACTGGCAGCAGGCATATAAAAAGCCTCAGCGAACTTCGACCTAGTCGTAGTGCTATATCTATGGACGCTAATAACGTGGTTTGCAGGCAAGTGGGCAGTAATTTTAACCTACACTATCCTAGCAGCGGGTGATGTGCCAAGCAGTCATACATTTATGCATTCCCTAGGCCTCGATGTCGACAAAGGATATTTTCACTTATGGACGAATCGAAGAAAGTAATCGTATGAAGAGCTGCAGCAGCTGATTGAGGAGAACGCTGAAGGACAGGGGGAAATGTGTTCAAAGAGATGGCAGACAAGAATGAATTGGGTGTCGTGAAGACGGGAGACATAATTGTATGATGGGATCATTGGTCACCTTCAAAAGCGCTTGATAAACGGTTCCCACATGTTGTATCAGCGCCCACCTGGGCTTTGCACTAAAATGCAAGGCATCGGTGAGGACAACTCTGCAATTGGCGCACTGCACCCGGTCCTCAGGGCACATAGAGGTATATAATTGGCGTACTATTGAGCTTCGAGAAGGTGTCGCATGCTGTTGAGGCTACGAGAAATCGTATCTGACATCGCGCTGTGACAATCAGGTGATAAACAAAGAAAGCCAGGTGATGATGCGTTTGCATAGACAACTAGCATTCATAAGCAAGCAAAATTCATATAAATAAAGTAGCTCTAATCCTGACAGGCTCCGGCGAATCATTCCAGCCATCAAATCATCTTTACAGCTTTCATCTCAACTGCCAAAGCTATCTCAGTCTACCAAGCTGCGACACACCAAACACTACAAAACCTTCATTGTCTCGATGCCTTCTGGAGAGCCCCAACAAGTCCCCCCAGACAATACTTTCTGGGATGTCATAGATGATCTCTTCAAAGAGCTAATGAAAATGGGCCAAGATCAGCTCAAAAAGGGTGTTCTTCCGACGCCTTCGTATCTCCAGCCAGGCGCCCACGAGACGCTCTTCTATTGCCATAAAATTGCACAAGGCTCTATCGTAGCAAGGATTTGCCTCCGTCATGAGCACAACCTAGACTATCCTGTGGCCCTCTATAGTAGCAACATGGACAAGTCGAAGGAACTCTTTGAGGCAAACCTAGTAGCGCTGCATACGGCAGCAGAGAAAACGAACCATGGAGGTCCTACTAGGAAAGCGGGTACATCGGAGAACCCTCATGATACTGGATGGATCCATCTGTTCGTTGAAGAAGATGTTGAACTTAGTCATGAAACTTTCGGGGACATCGGTGACGGCGCTCCGATGATGCCGGGTTTTGGAGTTACTGCTGTCTTTAAGGTGGATATAAAGAAGAGTTATTTGCAGGGGCTACGAGAGCAGCGGAGTGCGGGGCATATAAGTGAAAATGGGTCGATGAGTAACGAAGTCGTGAACGGTAGCGACAACGGTACGGTCAGCGGTACTACGGACGATTATACAAGCGAACATTCGGACGGTGCAATCGATAATTAAGACTATGACAGCGATCCAACTGCTGGAGACAGCTCTTACTCGCATATATCCGCATAGTCCAGTCCGGGAATAGATTCTGAGAACTTTAAACGTACGTAGCTTTGAAGAGTATTCGAGAATGTGATCTTCGTGGGCAATGTTGACGGTAGGTATGCTTTCCTTCATTCAAAGACAAGGAGGCTTTTGCAGATCTGAATCATTGCACGTATAGATTGGCGTACCAGAACGTATACCTTGCTACCATCGATCTAGGAAAGAAATTTGAGTCGTATTAAGACCTTGGCCAAGCCGGCCAGTCGCAACAGTGCTTGGAGGACAGCTACCAGGTTGGGACCCGTCACAACCGCGCTATGCTCATGGTCCCAATGGGGGCGTAAACAAGTCATTCATGCATGTCATCCTTGTAAATCCGCTCCTCATTCCTCCTCACGGTCAGTTTTATGGCTGTCCTAGCCCCACCGCTGCTTGTAATTCAGTTCTACTGTGCTGGCTCCGAATCTACCACAACGTCTTTTGACCGTCGTAGGCTTCCTCACGATAATCTATCGGTTGACCATAGTTGCTCGTGCATGACAGAGGGTGTAGTGTTTCACGCTACCGTCCGGATCGGTCAGCTTCTTGTACTCGATGGGAAACATAGAACTCAAACGCCGTATGCTGTTAGATGTTGGCGTGAGCAATCTTCGCAGTCGTCGAAGAGGGACGGCGCGAGAACATTCATACTTTTTTCGTTCTTCGCTTATATCTTATGGAATGCCCCTGTGGATCAGTGATAGCCAATCTGGTATTCATGATTATAGAGAACTTTTAGGAAGCGCTGATTTTAGTATCGCCGTTCTTCGCAAGCCAGTAAAATTCGGAATGGAGAAAGGGTAGCGGCGCATATAGCTCGAGCATCGAAGCGTGGTTGACTCTGGAGTTGTCAACATGTTGGGACTCCGCCGGTCATTGCGCGCACGAACTCGGCGCAAACGGATGACCTGGCTCATCGGCACATGACTCTACCTGATGCCTCAACACCTCTAGTCCTGCTGCACGTCAAGGTCTACGAGCTCGCGAAGCCTCTGGAGCTGGCTCTTCTGGCGGGCATTGCCTTATACCACATCGAGCTCATCCTTGTCGTCACGTCTGAGCTTTTCCAATTCTGGAACTTTCGGCAAGTTGACAAGGGCGTCTTGCTTGGGCCACAAGAGGGAAGACTGTGTGGAATCTGAGTCGTTATTGTAGAGACGAGAATAGCAAGCGCACGTTCGTAACCTACGACGCGACCTGGGGCGAAGCATGGTGCGCGAACTGAACGGAGATCTGGTCAGACTTGACGAGTCTCGACGGCGAGCTCCTGGGCCACGCCGTCAGGCACTGGTACACTGTGCGAGAGCTCCACGTGAGGGCGGGGATTGACCTCACGCCTGTTGTCAAGACAGCAATGCCTCAAGATGCTAAGGAGGTCGAGGTGGGGATGGACTTGACTAGACGTCATCGTCAAACAGCAAGAGGGCCAGGAGCAAACACGATGAAGGTGGCCATATATCTAGAGCCTTGCGGACCGCCGCGTATCGGAGTGTTTTTCGCATGGTACAGGTTTAGGTTCAGGGTTATCTGCATTTCGTTCAAATGGTGAACGCGGCGGAGGTACACGGTGTGTATGTGCCCAAGATCCCTGCAATGGGTATGAGGACTGACCAATTGATCAACGGGATGGCAGAGAGATGTCACGAATTCTTTGCGTGGTACCATCCATAGAGATGGATGATAGATGACCTCGTGTCTTCTAGGGAGCATTAGCAGCCACGATCGTAGGATAGGAGTCAATTAGACCCACACTCCGTATGTACTTGCTACTACATTTCGCTTCGCTCTTCAGCCTCGTAGACTATCAGAAGACACTCGCAGCTACTGCTCAGCGTTTCTCGATCAGCTTCTAGTTAGCTGCCTGTTTGGTAGTTATATCTACCTCTCCCCTCCAACCAATCCCTTAATCACCGTGTCACCCTCTCATACATCCCAAACTCAAATCTTACCCCCTTCTCCTCAACAGGCTCCGTCTTCTCTCCCGTCCAGTCCTCCAACTCCTCCTTCGTACTCCTCTTCCATTCCCCACTCCTGTCCAGATCCACCGAAAAGAAAGTGTCACACTCAAAATCCTTTTCAATCTTCGTAAGCAACACGCGATCCGCCTGCGGTAGCTGAAGCGCTGCATTATATATCGTTGCGCCACCAATCACGAATACTCTTTCAATTTCCAGCCCCTCCTCGCCAGGCTGGGAGTTATAATTCTGCAACCGCTCCAAAGCCGCGCCCACACTGCCCGCGGCCTCCACTCCATCCCTCCCCTCATCGCCTTGTTGCGCGACAAAAGCCTCCGGGGTCCTCGTAACGACAACATTCACCCGTCCGTCGAGCGGTCTGAATTTCGGAGGAATTGAATCCCACGTCTTCCTGCCCATGACCACGGCGTTGCACTTTCTTCTCGCGGAGGTGCTAGGGGAAGCAGAAGAGGGCACGCGCGATGTCACACGCTTAAAATAGCCCATTTCCTTGCGCAGCTGCGGCCAGGGGAGAGTGCCTGCACGGCCGATGCCGAGGGAGGGAGTTGCGGCGAGGATGAGCGTGAGGGAGAGAGGTTGCGGGGTCGGCATTGTCGATGATACGGCGATATTGGTATCAGGGGTTCGCGTGCGGGACATTGCTTTCGGAGGGGAGCGCGGAATTCGGAACGTGGATTGGATTGACGTTGATGTAGAGTTATGCAGGGCATTCGTACGTGCCGCGAAGTCAAAGCTTTGGCAGCGGGGCACGAGAACGCGCTAAAATGACACGCGTGTGAACGTGACCTGTCAACGGCACATGGGCACAACGTCATCGAAACTGCGCCTCGAACATGATAATATCAAATTTAAGCATTGTTGAGATTCGAGGGCCAAGGTAGATCCATTCTACTACCTTGAGCCCAATGCAGACACGCGCCACCCATTTGGACGATTCGAGCTGCTGCCCACTCTTTGATGTGAACACTCCTCTTCTCGCTATGAACCACCCTCACGCGCTGATATGATACACGGTACGAAGTAATACCGGACGCAAAGATCCAACAAACGTACCATCGCCGTCATGCAAATCCTCCTACAGAACGCCGTAATGACACCGCCCATGCCGCATTCTCTCCCAAAAGTTCCCAGTCATACAACTCATTCCCGTTCCAGGGGTATCTCGTGAAAAGGTAGCAGCAGAAATGTTAAATTGAAGTGTTCTGGCGCGGGATGGTATTCTATTCACCGTTGCCTCCTTCTCCACCGGACTTTAGTGGGATAGACAGCGATATTTTCTTTGGCCCGCCTCCACTGTCCTTCGCGGAGGCCATGTTTGGGCTTTTTCGACGCAAGCTCTTGAGACTGCCGCCGCTGGAATTGCTATTGAGAGACGCGCGACGCTTGGCAGTGCCACTAGACGATATGCTGAGAAGTAGCTCGTCGTCTCCGTCATCCTCTCTTCTACGTTTTTCTGATATCCGCTCTGGTGGTGATTTCGACGTGCTCGACGACTCCTGTGTTTGACTGGCCGGGGATACACTTTGTGGTAATACGGAGGGTGCAGCCGCGGCAAGATCGTCGATGTCGTCTTCCCCTTCGTCGTCGTCCGGGTAGTTGACTAGAGGACGCACAGGAGATGCGCCATTGACAGGTTTTGCAACGTTTGGTACAAATTCATCCTCTTCATCAGAACCATTGAAATATGCTTCCTCGTCCGGATCAGCTTCCTTCAGACCAACACCCCACTTTCCGCCATTGACCATAGCTAGCTGTTGTCGTGCAGGCGTATCACTGTCGACGCTGGTGAAGGACGTTTCGAGCTCTTGCGTTGTGACGGGTTCGTGCATCTGATCGTATCGTAGGATGAGGTTCTGGAACGTGTCCACATATGTAATGGTCTGCAGCTTTTCGCGATAAGTTTCCACCAGATGTTGTACGAGCATTTTAATGTTTTCGCGTTTGATGAATTCAAACAGTTCCAAGCAGGCAGAATTAAGGAGATTGTCCCTTGTAATATTATCGAAGAGAATCTTCAGTATCGGCTCGAAGAGCTGATGTTGGATGATCTGTCGGTTATGCGTCTCATCGTGCAGACCAATGCAGGAGCGGAAGTATTTTAGAGCAGCTGTGGGTAGTTAGCTTGATTATTCCAAGTACAGGCCGTTCACTTACTGAGTTTCAGGTGCTTCTCCGGACACTCCATTAGCTGCGCTACTCGAGCTGCAAGGCCTTCAGAGAGAATAAAGTATTTACTTCGAAACGAGTGCTGTCGGATGAAGAAGCATAAAACCTCCACCAAGTGGACGTACAGATTGATCTGCTGTATCGAAAGGTTGTCCATTGATTCGCGACCGTCCAAATCCTTGAGCGGCTGGAATAGCTTTCTAGCAGATTCATCGTAGAAGTTTTGGATGAAGGTGTCTGTCTGCGGCAATGGAGGGAGTTGTCCTCTGACCTTTGCGAGGAAATCACTGTTGGATCTTCCAAGCGCTTCTATGGACGCCGAATTGGCGTTGGGATCGAGCAAGATCTTGATGGCATCAGCCATCTGAGATTTGACTCCGAGGTCTACCTCGATGAGGAGAAGTTCGATGAGTGTGTCGGTCAATGGTTTTGACTTTTCTTGTATCGCTTTAAAGATATAGCTTCGCACCATCAACGCATCGTGGTCGATGAGCGAGACCAGAATATCGGTACCTGCCACTCGTACGGAAGCATCTTGGTGTTTCAGTGCGTACTGTATAACGTCGAGGAGGCCGTTGTTGATGAAGTTTTGGTAAAGCTGCGCTCGATTCTGTGCCTGCAGACTTTTGGCGATCGAGGTGCACTGTTGAATGAATAGTACTGCATCCTTTTTCCTCTGGAAGTTTTGTTCAGCTGATCCAAAGATGCCAAACAACTCCTTGAGAAACGGCCCGTTCGCTTGCAAATGCTGTACAATGTCGACTTGGTGGAAGAAGATGAGGGAGTTCAAGACCGAGAAAGTGGGATCATCCAAGATGCGCGCTAGAACGACGTCCTTCAGATACTGCAATCGATATGTGTAGTGGATCTTTCGTTTTATGTTGTCGTCCTGAATCTTAACAACCTCCTTGAACTTCGATTCGTCGGAAAGGTACTGCCGGTGGTTGGCCTTGTGCAGAGGAAAGTCGGGATCGTATTCCAAGGCGCCAACTACGCCGAGAACGATCTCGTCGGTGACTACGTATTCGATGATGGCGGTATCGTTGAGCAAGATCAGCATCTTCATGATACTGCATAATCGATGTAGATCTGAGGCGCTTTCCAAATCTTCTGCCATCTCCACCAACGGGATAAGCTTCGGGACATAGTGTTGCGACAGTACGAATTTGGCAAGAGCTTCGCGACCGCCCGGTGTGCTGTTCGCTGCACGCATGTGGTTTTCTATCTCGTGTAAGTTGCCCAGGTCGGGATTCGGCAGCATGATCGGGTTGACGTTTTCGCCAATCTCATCTGACAGTCCGTCGTCTACTCTGTATCAGTACGTATGCGTTTGCTTGGCTATGCGAACGTACCCTGTGCTGCCCTCTCCTGTAAACGCGCCTGCATGTCATTCACAAATTCCCTGTCATGTGTTAGCGCGTGATGTCAAATCCGCGACGCGCTCCACACACCATATGCTGCCGCAGCCCTCCGGCTCCTGAAAGCTGAGGGCCATGTCGGTTCCATTCTGCTCCGTCCACACAATGAGTGTATCTGCCGCCGATTAGCCTGGATCCCAGTGTCGCGTGGCGGGGTGACCAACCTTGTTGCTTCTGGTAGCCGTCATCTTTGGATATTCTGGTCTCGAGGAGTTGGCGCGACGGGTCGTCTTCGGACGCGACGAGGATCTTCGCTTCGTCCTGTGGTAGTACACGTCAGCCTAGGCTCGCACAGGCGCCGGCACGCAGGAGGGTATCGCGACAGCGCAGAATTTGCCGGCGATGGTACCACCGGGGCATTAACCTACATTCACGAATACACCCCTGCAAAATCCCGTCCCGCGATCGAACCAGTCATTGTTCTTGAGTTCGTAGACCTTTACGCGCTTGCGATCGTTCGAAGGTGGCGCTACCAGTGCCATAGTAGGTAGCAGTGGGAGCCTGCTACCTCTCCGGACGGGGCAACACACCCCCCAGAGCGAGGTCGCGGGTCGCGAACGTCGGCGCAGACAGGCAGTGCGCTTATCGGGGTGTAGCGAGATGCGATGGCGAGGAAGGGCCGAAGTGAAGAGTCGCGCGTGGATGACGATTAGGAGGCTGGGGCGTCGCAACGGGCGCGCACACGATCAGAGGGCACTGCGGTACGGCAGCGCAACGTGCAGACAGGACGCGATAGCAGTGCTGGCGTCGTCGGCGGATGTCTCGAGGTGGGCGGGATCACCAGTCCGTGGGTGGTGGTGTCGCGTCTGGCTGGCAGGGCCTGGAGTCGGAGGATGCGAGTAGGCGCTGGCGCTGCGCTAGGCTAGTCGGATGGAAATAGACACTGGGTAATCGATAAGCACCGACGTTGCGTGCAAGCCTGCCGAGCCGCATACGGACGCTAAGATGTTTAATGTCCAAGGAGGAGGGTTGCGGGGGCCGTCTTGTCACAGGTTGAGTCTGTCCGAGGACGTTGCTGCAGCCGACTTGGAAGTTGCCACCTGCGCACCTAGATGAGGCGTTCCTGCCAACGTTGACGCAATCTTTCTTGGCGTCTACGTTGGGACGGTTGGACAGCGCACCGTCGCCGCAACACCAGAAAATCACGGGGCTGACCAAGGCTCTTCCAGGGCATGATATATACTTTTCCTCCTTTCGTATCTACTATGGTGCTACATCTTGCGCCTTTATCGCCCTTCGGTCAAGGCTCCTCATCTTTTCACCTGTAGATGAGCCGTTTATACCCAGCCATATCGCAACGTTCCTCTCACTCTAATTCATGGCAATAATCCTTGAGAATGACTGAAATCAAGAAAGGAAACCTAGGGCTGCGAGCGCCAAAAGCTCTGTGACTGTCGACGATCTCTCCAGTTACAATACTAACTAGAAGTGACATTTCAGTCGAGAACTTCCATCGGCAATACAACATCCCAGCCTATCCAAACTTGACCCACTTCACATCTGATGAGCGGTAACATAAGCAGATGGATCATACAAGCACATCACCAAACTAACATCCACTGCTTGTACCAGATTGAAACACTGCTCACAGGACTATCGCGGATCTTTCAATTGCGATGAGTGTCATACCTTTAAAGCTATTGTGTAAAGAGGTGTTCGATGTTAAGTTCCCAAGTGGAGGTTGCCAGACCTTGCACATGCTGTCTTCGGGTATTTGGCATTTTATTGGTGTTATGTTCTGCGCTCGCAGCGTCGCCTTCGCCAGCTCCACGAGGGATTGACGGACTCGGAAGGAAGCTAAAAGCTACGCCCTATAGCACGCAGAGATTCTCACCCATCTAGAGGATCTAATCAACAGAAAGCTTCTGCCAGCCGTTGGGAAAGCCGTGGAGTCTTCCGACGAGAGGACTGCAAGCATCGCAGGTGATAGCTACGCCGAAGCTTAGGCCTAAAGATCTTCGAAGGAAATTGCGCATGGGGCATTGGGAAATCAGTATTCGCTGAAGAGTATCATTACCAATGGATCGGGATGTGCCAAGCAAGCCGACTTTTGCCTTGAGCCTCACATGGAGCTTCGCAGCATGGACCAGCTCTATAACCAGCAAGAGAGGCGGTCTACAATTGTTTGGCACTGCATTCAACCCACGTTGTGGTTTGAGCAATAGATTAAAACAATGTGTGAGACAAGGTGTTTGCGCTAATGTCAACAAATGAAGAGGAAATAGTTATAAGCGTCATCTAACATAATGAAACGATTCCAGTTCACTTCGTCATAAATCGGGAGCCATCAGTCAATCCGTATTTAGACATGGCACGGCCTTCTTCTTCGACCAACGCTCGTTGCGAAAGCTGCGACGCGCCAAAAAACCTAGACGTTATCGGACAACCCATCAAAGGGGTCTACACTGGAGCCTGGTCCAATATCTGCCGCCGCTGCCGTCACACGGCCCAGAAAAGGATGTGGACTTCCTTCAGCGCTTGGGAAGACCTACTCAGGGCCAACCTAACCTACCTCGACGGCCACATTGACGTTTCCCCCAACTACGATGTCCCCATTTCTCCAGAAACAACACGACTTCTTCCTGGTCTGAAACGCCTGCATGAGTACGGCTTGCTATCCACGAACTCTCAGCCTGGTGACCAGGGGTTGGCGTTCAAGGCTGAGACGGGTTGTATCCAGTGGAAGCAGAGGCCTTATTACGATTTCTTGGTCCCGACAGTGCATGAAAGTGTAGACGTAGCGAAGGTTAATAGGCTTGTTGACGCCTTGATGAAACATGAGGATATTGTCACTACTGCATGGTCCGATAGCGATGAGTATCCGAAGTCAAAAGAAGGAGATGTCAACGAAGCGAGAGAGGTGGCACCCACTTTCCACGCCACTGCACAAAACGAAGCTGGGGAGGGGACCGATAAGACCTACTACTTCCGCTCAAACGCATCGCCGCGCGTCCACTGGGTCTCTTCCTACCGCAAAGCCAATTCCTCTAAGGAGCTGCGAGACACTGAATGGACAAACCAAACGCGCTCTGGACCCACCAATGTAGACGAAATACCGCGAGGCAGCTCCACTTGTGGGAATGGGCCGGAATGGGAGAGGTTTCCGGGTGTGATGAATGCGAGACCATTGGCTGTACAGGTTGCGGCGAGGGAGTGGACTACGAAGCTTGATTTGCAGGAAGTGGTGGAGCGGACTTGTCAGAGAGTGGGACTAGGTAAGATGTTCAAGAGTGTGCTGAAAAGGGAACTGATGGTGGACGTTCCGGACACGACGTCTGTATCTCAACTTGATGAATGAACGCAGCGTTGGAGTGCAGTGATGGGAAGGCAAGAGAACGATGACAGCGGAAGGTGCTAGGCATCCAGGTTCCGAAGTTGCCATCCATTTCTGGAACATCGCACCGAATGAGAAGGATGAACCATAAGCCGAGTAGATTTCCCTTTCCTATCCTATGTGTCAACGCGCCATCACGTGCTCAGGCTGTTTACTAATCTCACTGCAACTAGCCAAGACCGCCAAGTACAGCAGGGCCCCTTCCATATCTGATTCGCTATCTGCGGCCATTTCTTCACTAATCATAGTATAAGTGACCGGAGCTCAAGACTTCCGTAGTTCACGCTACCGTTCGTAAAGTATGTAAGTGTCAGGAACTCCGCAGCTACATAGTTACACGTCGTTACAAATACAGCTGGAATTGTTCCGCGGTGACAGAATTGTATGTTAGTGCTTCAAGTCGGCGCAATAATTGCGGCTTCGACGATGTGTCCGTGGGTTGGTACTGATGTCTGGGGGTAGGCTGTAAAAGCATTTAAGCACTCAAGAATGTCCCTGATCGAATCCTCCCAAGCACACTCATCACCATTTCAACTTTTCCAAATCATTGAAAACCATGCCTTCAAAGCTCATCACAGTCTTTGGCGCAACCGGCCTCCAAGGCTCCTCCGTCCTCGCATCCCTCGCCGCCAACAGCCAGAAGCCCTTCACCCTCCGCGGTACAACTCGCAACCCCTCCTCAGCCGCCGCCAAGAAGCTTTCCGATTCTGGAATCCAAGTCGTAAAAGCAGACGGCTGGGACAAGCAATCCCTCATCTCGGCTTTCCACGGTAGCTGGGCCGTCTTCGCGAATACCAATTCGGACGATGCAGTCTTCGAGAATCCGGATGAGAAACGGACTGAGGTTGATCTTGGGAAGATCATCGTAGATGCGGCCGCGGAAGCCGGTGTGGAGGTTATCGTGTACAGTGGGTTCAATAGTGCAAACAAGATCACTGGGGGCAAGATTCCGGTTGCGGCTTTTGACGGTAAGTAGTCGTCTACACTGATTCAATCGTAGCATGACTGAGCCTATGTAGACAAGAACGAAATCTGGGAGTACGCAAAGTCCATTGGAAAATTCAAGACCGTCGTTGCTGCCGGCCCAGGCTGGTACTTCGAAAATTATCTCGGCCAAGATCTCGCACCCATACTAGGTGGCTTTCCTTTCGTGCCAGCCGAGGACGGCACGTTGGTTTTCCGCGCTCCGAAGTGGGGTGGCAAGGAAGACGTACCTTTTATCTCCATTGGAGATGATTACGGCGACATAGTCCATGGTATTTTACTTGGCCCGAAAAATGGAACGGGAAGCTGGTGCAAGCGGTCAGCGACATCAAGTCTTTCGGCCAGATGACACAGGCTTTTGAGAATGGTACAGTCCGTCTTTATCTCATCAAAAAAATAGACTAATGATTCACCAGCAACCGGAAAAAAGGCGCGCTTCGAAGAGATTCCCAATTGGCGTGATTTGGAAGTGTACGGTATCCGCGGATTGGAAACAATTAAGAACATGTGGGGTTTCTGTCAGGAGAGCGGAGGTCGCTACTTCGGCGATGAGACGGAAGCTAAGACCGCGGCTGAATTGAAGAAGCTTGCGGCGGCCACGCGGGGTGCTACAGGGAAGGCCGCACAGCTTGCAACGCTTGAGGACTTCTGGAAGGCCAACTTTGGGACTGAGTGAGTGTCCTAGGAAGGCATAAGGAATAGAGCAGGAAGCCGAGCTCGAAACAACAGAGCTATATGTTGCTGGTAGAAGCATGCTCATTGCTTGATATACACACTCAAATTTCCATTATTCGAAGACATGCCAATTACAGTCTGATGCTACAATGCGAATCCCATCGTCGTACAAAAACGCCTCTCATGCTCCAAATAGTGCAGATCGTAGGAAATAGAGCCGTACTACGGCACAAATTGGTATCTTCATGAACGCCCGCGCAAGAACCAAAGATGAAATCTTAATCAGCCACACTTCTTGCCCTAATCAGCCCATATCCCATCCCACCCTCTCCCTTGGGTCTTCCCCGTTCTCCTCCCCTTCCTGCACATCAGTACGGCCTACATCCCAACCACGCCAACACTCTCCACCGGACTCTCCTTCCCCAGGCCCTCCATAGATACCAGTACTCATCCGATCTTCTTTGATCATACATTTGCATTCTCCTCTTCTGCTCACCAGCACCCAGTGCGTAGAACTCCGGTCCTTGGTAGCAGTCCGCGAAGCGGGCGCCTAGGAACTGGTCTTTGATGCGCCAGAGGTAGGCGTCGGAGCCCATGTCGATTGGACGAGACATGGCGGTTGTTGGGGATGAGGAGGTTTGGGGTGCAGCAGGAGACGAGGAGGCGCTGGTGCCGACGTGGTGGAGGCTGGACGTCGCCGTGGTGTTGCGATGGAGGTAGAACATCCTTGAGCTTGAGGGCTGTGATGGAAGCCCGTGATTTGCGAATTAAGCCGTCCGCGACCTTCCTTAAAACTTTTGGAGGAAGGGTGGCGATGAGGCTTGTGTAGCTGTTGAACTGTCGAGTCACCGTCAGGCAACAGTCGCGTTCTCGTGTTCGTGTCGAGTTGCGCAACGAGGCTGCGCAGTCGCAATCCTGGGATACAGGCTGTATTTATGCGTGCTCGTAATTCATTTTTCTGCCTCCACGGGACTGGGGGAGGACGTTGGGTATCAATTCCAGAGTTAAGGTCGCGTGGGGTACGGAATGTCCGGTTGACGTGCAGGAGGTTCCATGGTCTTTTGAGGCTACCTATGGCATTCCTGATCGGTCAGTCTGATCATCAGCAGCACGCGACAGTGACGCGCAGGCACACGTCTGTATGGAAGCAAGTCGTGCATTACGCTTAGACTAATAGATCGCAGTTGGTCTTGGATAATCGATGTTGTGATTCGTCCGTGCAAGTGAAGTGTCACGCGACACTAGTTGTATGAGGCGAGCGTGGTGAGACTGGCTCTTGGTATATCTGCCAATCTTGGGAGCGGATGGGCCCACGTGCGTGGGGGCCCGTCTTGAGGGTGTGGGGAACCAGGGAGCGATCCATGGCGCGGCACGGAATGGCATTTTCAAAAGCTCAAGACTCTGTCACCCCAGAGAGGCGTTAGCAGCATGTAGTAGACCTGATAAACAGCAAGATTAAATGTCTATTACGTGACATGCGACCCAAGCGGTGGAGGAGCCGTGGCAGGAAGACGCACACAAATTATACATACAGTAGCCTCGATCCCAACGCGTTAGCTCTCTCGTAATTCCTTCACGCAGGTACCACCCCTTCCACACCACATTAGTCAACTCAAACTCAGTTCCTCGTCCGGGATGTCCGTAATCGCGAAAGCAGTAAGTCCTTGCGTGGCCTCATCTTCGATACTTAACGCCGCAACCTCTCCCCCCACGCTAAGCTCGTCCACGTCGAGCTGGGCGTTCACGTCGTCGCCAGGCTGCCGCTCGCTTAGATGTGGCGTCCCCACGCGATCCTCGAAGAGACACTTCAGTTCTTGCTCTTGCACGAATGTGCAGTGCTTACGCTTTGGTCTGAGTTCCTCGGAGGTGAGAACCGGAAAGCTTCCCGCGCTTGCCACGGTGGATTGCTCAATGGGCACCGACGCGCTGCGGCAGCTGCGCTCACGCAAGTATTGAGCTCTTACTTTGGCGCGGCGACGACGGCTGTGAGAACTTCCCGGCTCAGACCGCGTCGCTCTTCTAGGGGATGGCTTTTCCGGCGGTGACGTCTGCAGTGCTTCAATATTGGCGGGATCTGAGCAAACCGATTTCTCGTACACTGCGTCAGGATCAGACGGCAATGTCATTTCGGGGCTGGACTTGAATCCGAAGTTAGGCTCAAGTTCTCTTCCGGGTGCAGGCACAAGCTCAAAGGAAGATGCGTTCACGTGTACTTGATTGGGCGTCAGACAGTAGTCGAGGTCTGGGATATTCTCATGATTACAGCAACTGACATGTTGCTGTCCGAGCGGCTTTTCGTTGTCGAGGTAGGCATTATATTGCGCGAAGTTCGACTTCCCTGGTGCGTGCAGCCACCGGTCTGGAGGATGTTGAGATTGGAAGATGGTCGTCTTTCTCGCATCTTCGGACCTGTATAGGGCAGAGACTTGACGTTTCGAATCGTTCAGCTGTTGCGGACGCAACATGGGCGATGCTGGCCCTATAAGTGATAGGTTGGTAGGACGGTTTGCGTGTTTAAGAACCTTGTCACCGGTATCGGATTCCTCAACGTCGATATAATGCTGCTTAAATTCGGATTCGTTATACTCTTGGGGATGTTCAGATTGGGATCGGAGCGTGTTGAAATTGTTGGGCAAGCCCAGAACATCACGATAGTAACCATGGAGTCCTAGTCTGCTATTGGGAGTGGTAGGGACGAGCTGCGATTTGCGCTGAGTGTGGTTGACTTGGGGATCTACCCCTCCGTCGAGACCGTGGATTCGGACACAACCGCTGGTAGCCATCGGAGGCATTGCTCAATCTGTTTGGAGGCAAAGGCAGGTCTTTCGAAGTTCCAGTTGCCTTCAATTATTCTCCGGCCTATATATCCGAGGTCGTCGCATGACAGCTGGCGCCTTTGGTAGTTTGGCGGATGGCAGTCAGCGAGTTTGCGACAATCAATTCGACGTTGATTAAAGATCGTGACCTGTGACCAGGGAGATGCGACGAACATGAATGTTTGCCAGGCTGAACAGCAATCTTGTTCAACGTCTTAGCGGCATAATCTGGTTCAAGAATTCAGAGGAAGATGAAGTGAAGGAGCGAAAGAGCTGAGAGTCGGTGCGAAGCTGAATTTCAGGTGCTGCCGAGAGATCAGACGTGCATGAGACCTGCGGCAATGTTCTCGAAATACATTGCAGGGAAGATCGAAAGGATGGTCTCCAAATACACTGCAAACAAGGTGCAAAAACTTCATCTGACATCTGATTGTTTGCAACCGCGTCAAAGGTCGTGGTACAACGTATAAACAGCAGCACGCTACTCCTTCGGAACGGCCTTGACCCATTGCACGCGTACGACTAAGATAAGCAATCTCGATCTGACGGATGTCCTCCGATATGTGTAACGATGTAGTGATATACGGGGTCAGGTTCTGTGCCGGCGAGAGGCTCGGCCACTGTTCGAATGTAAGTCAACTAGCGTGCAATTTTTCGCACTGGTTTTTTGAGTGAGGATAGATCATTGTATGCAGTGGCTTCGATGCATGAGACGGGGAAATGGCCTTGCGCTCCGCAATCAACGCGTGCGATCTAGCCTTTACAGACCTCTTCGTGATTGTCATGTCAGTCGTTTCTTAGTTCCGTAGTGCACCAGGGCCAGCGGCTGTTCGGGCGTCCTGGTGCAATGCATGCTGAGTTCATGGTAACTGAGGTGGTGGAGATAGAAATAGAGATGCTGCAGGGTAGGCGGAGATCGACCAATGGGAGCGAAATGGGAGCAAAGCCGGGATGGCGTCACCAGCCAAGGCCAATCACTTCACTAGTTTTGGGTGGCTCGAATCTGCGTGTGTGGAAGCCATGACTCCCCGCAAAATGATTCATCGTCCCCACGTCGCCCTAGGCGAAGAATATTTCGGCGCATTGCCTTCTACTTGACACTCAAACAATGAGCGCTCCCCGAGTGGACGGCGCCGCCGCCAATGGCACGCACAAGTACCGTACGACCCCCGCACCTCAAGTGCATGCATGATCGCATCTGCTTCTCGAACAAACTTTGCGTCCATGCTAATGCTTGTGATACACAGAACGAGTGACCGAGCAGCCAGAGAATCCGTTCGCAAAGCTGATTCCCGATCAAACATTCGCCATCATCCCGGAAGTCACCCTCGAATCTGGTGTCGTGCTCCGAAATGTACCCGTCGCGTATAAAACGTATGGCACTCTTTCGCCCGCTGGAGATAATGCCATGGTGATATGTCACGCCCTGACGGGTAGCGCCGACGTTGGTGACTGGTGGGGACCGATGCTTGGAGGTTCTGGGAAAGCCTTCGACATCTCGAGGTTCTTCGTCGTCTGCATCAACAGCCTGGGCAGCCCGTACGGGAGCGCCAGCCCTGTCACAGCGAAAGATGGCGACCCCTCATTGGGTCAGTACGGACCTGAGTTCCCATTGACAACTGTGAGAGATGATGTAAAGTAAGTCTGAATGCCAATGACCCTCCCATGTGTGCAAAGCTGACAGGCCCAGCATCTTTAAACTTCTCCTCGACGATCTCGGTGTGCGCCAAATTGCCGCAGTCATCGGAGGCTCCATGGGAGGCATGCTCGTCCTCGAATTTGCCTACTTTGGTACGGATTACGTCAAGAGCATTATACCCATTGCAACGTCGGCACGATACAGCGCGTGGGGGATCAGCTGGGGAGAGGCACAACGGCAGAGCATTTACAGTGACCCGAAGTACGAAGACGGATACTACACCTATGAGGACCCTCCTTCCACGGGTCTAGGGGCTGCCCGCATGTCGGCTCTCCTGACGTACCGCAGCCGTGATTCGTTCGAGTCGCGCTTTGGCCGCAACACGCCTGACGTGTCCAAAAAACAGAGCATCAACGTGGTGCCCCGTCCAAATACACCTTCGCACGAGCACTGGGCGATCCACAACCATGGCCACAAAAATGCCGGCTCGCCTCGCGTGTCACGAACCAATAGCGCTGCTGCTCTTACTAGCTCAGCAAAGACGGCCGATCTTGAGTTCAAAGACGCCTCAAATCCACCTTCCCCACCGATGAACGGCAAGCTGAGTAGCCCTCTATCGCACTACCAGAGCTCTCGCACACCCCACTATTTCTCCGCGCAATCGTACTTGAGGTACCAGGGTGAGAAGTTCATCAAGAGGTTCGATGCCAATTGTTACATTGCCATTACTCGGAAGTTGGACACCCACGATCTCTCCCGGCACCGCTACCCAGAAGGCTTCAATGCGGAGACATTGGACCCAGTATTAGCGTTGCAGCATGCCCTATCGCTAATCAAGCAGCCAACCCTAGTTCTCGGCATACAGTCCGATGGTCTCTTCACCTTTGCAGAGCAACAGGAATTAGCCGCTCACATTCCGAATGCGAAACTTAAGACAATCGATTCGCCAGACGGCCACGATGCTTTCCTACTCGAGTTCGAACAGGTCAATGGGCATCTTTGCGGTTTCCTCAAAGAAGCTCTTCCAGAGATCATGAAGCGCACTCCGAACGTCGACAATATCGGTCTGGCTGAGACAGGCATGAATGCTACCAAGACAAGCACTTTCGGCGAGGCTGAAGTGGAAGACATTACCGCTTGGTAGAATCGAGATATGTTATCTGTGCTTTAGCGAGGCGTTCTGTGGGCTTCCGTCTTCGGCATATGCTTGAAAGAAGGCTGGTTGTATACTATGATAGATACCCTGAAGTCGAAATGGGTCGAGGTTCAACTCCTCAATCGTGAAAGGGATACAATGGACGAAATACTTTTCATTATCAATCGTCTATGTCCACTACATACGAATCTTTATGCAGACACCTTAATGACAGCACGACCTACTAATCTGCCAGCACCCATGTCATCGACGAAGCGGTTGATGTCTTCCAGATTACCGTGCGTCAAGATCGGACGCACAAGTCCGCGCGCTGTGAAGTCGAGGCACTCTTCAACATCCTTCAATGTCCCTGTCACACTTCCCACGATATGTAGTTTCTTCAGCACCATCAGAATTGGTGGCGCACCCGCAATGACGGTCCCATCCTTAGGTAGTCCAATGCAGACCATAGTGCCCTGCGGCCTCAGCAGATGCGGCGCCTGCTCGTACCCTTGCCTCGTCGCTGAAATAACGATCACGCCGTGTGCGCCGTACTTTGTTACCGACATGACTTCAGCCTGGATATCCTTGCACGTCGTGAAGTCGATGAACTTTTCTGCGCCGAGCTTGAGACATAGATCGCGCTTTGCGTCACCTCCATCGATGGCGATGACGCGCATACCCATGGCTTTGGCGTATTGAACTGCGAGGTGGCCGAGTCCTATTTCTGTTAGTTGTCTCCAACACATTCCCAATACCAAGGTTATCAGGGGAAGATATACCGCCTCCGGCACCAGGCACAACAAGCCACTGTCCGGGCTTTACACCACTTCTCTTACACCCCGTGTAAGCTGTGACACCACCGCACATCAACGGGCCCGCCTCTTCATCGCTCACACCGTCCGGCAACCTTGTCGCGTACCGCGCGTCAGTAACACAATACTCTTGGAACGTTCCAGCGATGCTGAAGCCCGAGTTCAGCTGCTTGGGGCAGTGGCACTCGTCTTGGCCATTGGTGCAGAATTCGCATTTGCGGCACACGGAGGCGATCCACTTTATGCCTGCGCGGTCGCCGATCTGCCAGAGATCCTGGACTGCATGCAAAGCTTGTTAGTCATTGTTGCTTGACTGCTCAGTGAAAAGAAGAATTTGACATACCATTACTTCCCACCGCCACAACCGTGCCCGCGCCCTCATGACCTGCAATACCCTGCGTGCATGGCTGTTGGAGGAGCCCTGTCGATTCCCACTCGTCTAGCAGGAGGGACTTGTCTGATGCGCAGAGGCCGCTGTAGTTCACCTTTACGAGGATCTGGTCGGGAGATGGTTCGGGGACGGGAATTTCTTTGACTTCAGTGCGAGAGGAGTCGCCGGTGCCGACCTTTACAGCGGCTTTTTGGGTTGCGGGAAGAGACATTGGGGCTACTTTGACGGTGGTGGTGCAGGTGATCATGTCCTGCATATATTATTGGCCGACTGTGCCGCAAGGATGAACGAAAGTAGAAGCTGGCACAGATAAGCGTGGAGTAGTCTGATAGCTGTTCAGAAAACCAGCAGATGTTCCGAAGAGGACGTTTATATACTAAATCGAGGAGATACAGGTACGTACAATGCGAGGCCAACGGGTCTTTCCGTTGCAGGGCACTAGGTCATGCATCCCCAGTGTAACTATCCACGTCCAGGACCCTTCGGCTAGATGGCACGTCCACACACCTGGTTAGTTGCGTCGGTACTCCACCTCCAGATTCCGCCCCCGCACTTCTGCTGATGAGGTACCGCTGCTTCGGGTGTGTCTGCAGTTCTTCCTCTACCGAATAAGCGACTTCATCTCCTTCTGTACACTTGAGAATCATCCTATCACGTCCCTTGTCATGGAGCTGATCCTCTAATATTGTCTACGCGAGTGGTCGGTCATGCGGACAATCAGGGTCCAGGAGGGTGAAGTAGTCGTGGCAAGGCTGCCAACGCCAACGCTAATCTCCACATTTGGCATCCCGCGTCTGCAGATCGGTGTGTCGCGATGCATTGGGGGAGCGGAACTGGTGTTTCCGAAGCCGACGTGTTCCTGCTTTTGAGGCGCTAGAGTGGCCGGCGAGGGTTCTGTGAGGTCGGGATGGTCGGGGGGAGATGCCGTCTTTCAAGTGAAGGGCAGTGAAGGGAAGAGTAGCGAGGGAGGTGTGGATGTGATTCTTGAGGAAGATGTCTAAGAGCCGCTGAGCATAAGTTGATGATGAAAAGAGATAATGAGGATGAAGTCGAAAAAGCGTGCCGACGTAAACTTTGAAAGGACGATGCAGTGTCAAATCCGTTGGTGCTACCGAGTTCCTGACCGGCCAGCATCCACCCCCTCCACGGAATACGAGCGCTACTATACGCCGTCACGCCTCTACCCGCACAGCATCCGCATTTCTACCGAGCCGCCCCTGAACTCTGCCTTCGCGTACGCTAGGTCCTACGCTACAGCGACTACAGTGTTGATCTTGCGCTAGACATCACCGACACTGGGACTACTGTAGTAATAGCCGACAAGCCCGCCCTGTTTGTGAGTTCTCTGCGTCCAGGCTTCAATGATACGTCCACTAACCCACATGTCATGGAAAATTCCACGCTCGTGGGCAGGATAAGCAGGAAAATGTTGGAGCTAGCAAATATCTCTTTCGATGCCCTTGTTCACTGATCGGCACCAGGACGTATCCGGGAAGCATGTTGACAGTTTCGAATCTAGTCCCTTTATATTTTAACCCTCTGGCTTTTTTCCGAGCGTAGATGATGGATGCTTGATACGCGTCGTCGACGGTGGTAAACGGTCCTCTTGGTGTTTCGAAATCCCTAGCGCGGGATGCAGCTGCGGGTCGCGGCGGGAGCGGCATGACCGCTACGATGGAGCTCATGAGCACGAATCTCTGGAGCGTTGGGCAGCCCGAGGCTGCTTTTGCGGCGTTTTGAAGAACGGCGCAAGCACGATAGCCGGCTTCGAGGAGATGGAAAGGCCTATTACGACGGGTCAGCGAATCGAAAGTGCAAAGTTGCGTGAAATGATAGTGGTCAATGGTATTGAAGCAGCCTCCTGGTCAATCCTTACGCCTTCTTCTAAGACCTTTCTTTCTAGTCTCGAAATCGCTATTGCTTTACAAATATCTTACACGGAGTGAGATAATGGTGTAAGTGGCCCCTAGAGCATCCTACGGGTAGGGACTAGATATATCTCGACTTCGTTGCGTGGTTCATTGTGAGCGTGTCGCTCTGTCCTTAGAGCTGATGATGCAAGGTGAGGTTAAAGGGTGGCGGGCTGTTCCATAGAGCTAGTGTGGCTGCCATGGTGAGCATGGAAGCCACAACCATTAGTCGGTACTAAACCCGGTTCATTGCGAGAAGCCACACTTCTGGCAAGTAATAGACTGCGAAGGATGTTGCGTTTCAAATGAAGAAAATTGATTTTCGCAAGCTGTTTCGCATTTTACGAGCTACGGTGGCGTTCCAAGGTTTCAAATGAAAGTCGTTATAGCCACGCGGCGAACCACAAGATCGCCTGCAAAAATGATGCTTCCTTCGCGTACTTCTGGCGCGCGATGGTAACATTCGGACGTACAGCGAATCCATGTGGAGCTCCAGAGTAGAAGTTGGTCTGGTAGGTTGCGTTCTTTGCTGTGAGTATAGCTTCCGCGTTGTAGCGTCCCGTGACATTGAACGCAGTGTCCAATTCTCCAGCTAATTCAAGCCATGGTTAGCGTTTCAATTCACGACCTTCAACAATTGTGTATTGAATCTAAACGTACCTGCAATGGTGATCGGTCCATTGATGCCTTGGATCTCCGCCGCCTCAAGTCCACTCGGATGAGCGATAAACCCCACATCAATCCCCTTTCCCTCGGCCAGCCATCGCGGGACATACTTGCCGCCGAAGCAGTATCCCACGCCACCGATTCGGCTGATGTTGAGATCGTTATGGATGTAGTCGATAGTTAGGCCAACTATTCTATCAATCTCGGCGACCGGATGACGGAGACGCCATTCCGTCAAATTCAAAGCAGGACCTTCGCGGTCATCAGATGGGACGGCGTCACCATTGAAGAGATCGGGGAATATAACGGTGTAATCTGCGCTGGCGATAGAGTCGGCGAGCCTAAGGAGCTGTTAGTACTCTGATGTCCGGGTATGCGCAATCCAGGCGTAACACAATTACGGCAAGTATAAATCGAATGTGGGTTACGGTCTTCTTACAGCTTGTTCTCTAGGAGTGGGACGCCGTAGATGTCAGATACGAAAAGTACGGCTTTGCCACCGGTTGTAACGTTCTGATTGTGGTAAGAGTGGTAGATGTTCACTGCATTCCGAGTCAACAAACATCACGACATGCAGGGTCAAACAGCTTACCGCCGCTCACGTTTTTGAAGAAACCTTGAGGCTCTCCTTCATGGCTCACAAAAACATTAGGAAGCGCGACCGAAGAGGCGAGCGCATAGGAAAGCCCGGCGAGACCCAGCGTAATAGTTCGCAACATGATGTTGAGATCTAGGAGCAGCACGATTCTTCACAGAAAGAAGTGCGGATGGGCGCGGTTTTGCCGTGAAGAATGAGGGTCCGACCGGGTACCTACATTGTATATAGGCCATTCTAGGAAGCTGCAGGTCGCCCGCCGGTTCCAAATTGATTACGCGTGCCCAGTGATTGGCGGCGCCAAGGGCTGCACGATTCTTGTCGGGTGGTGGTGGTCTAGTGCAACGGATGATGTGAATGGTGCAAGATTGTTTCTTTTGTACGACTGCGATACTTTGGTTCTCCACAACCATGTCCAGTTGCATTTGTCAGGTGCCTGTCAGCTCCTTCTTGCTGGTTCGGATGGTGGACGACGCCATGTTGTACGAAAGCAGGTACGAAATTCCCATGCAGCGCAGGGAATGATCAGCACCCATTCCTTGGCACAAACAACCTGGCTGCTGTGATCGGAACCAGAATCATCTAGCCTGATAGAAAGGTACACAAACCAAGTTGACGTGCTTGTGGGAGAGAAAGACAGTTCATGAGGCGATGACGAAACATCCGAGCTCGCCCCGCAGCGGCAGCGGCGACCCTTGCACCAAAATAAGCTTCCGAAGGCAGCTTCCTGCATATCTGAACAACAAACATACGACCCGTCCGAGTCTTCCGCCAACATCACAGTCACGGTTCTCCTCCAAGGAATAATTCCCTACCCCCGAGCTACCGAACCTTTAGATCATGGCAGACGAGCTGGGGAAAGCCCCGCGCATCGACCCCGCCGTCGATGCTGCTGGCGAGACGCACAACGCGGAGATCAAGAAAGGGCCACGCGATAGCAAAGGCTGGGACGGCAAGCTACGTATGGACAAGAGCGTACTGGTCAATGGAAAGGACCAGGATGCCGAGAGCGAGGCCGATGATGCTTCCGAAGATGAGGGACCGCCGCCCGAGCAGCTGCCCGCTGACGAAGACTTGCTGGAAGACTACCCTGAAGACGAGGAGGATATAGAGCTGGTACACATGAGAGTATCGAACATGGCGGCACTGCGACTGGAGAGATTCAAGAAGCTCAAGGTACGTGCCTCGCGTTTAGTTGCTGGTCCAAACACGCTCTGTAGCCCAAAGATAGGCTACATCAAGACCGGCATCCTGTGGAACAGATGCTAATACAATGGATGCAGCGCCTCGGTCTCCGCCAGAATCAGATTACCAACGTAGATATACCGGAAGATATCGCCCCGCAGCTCGAAGACCTCGATTTCTACGACAACCTCATCTCACACGTCAAAGGCTTCGACGCCTGTAAAGAGCTCGTGCTGCTGGATCTGTCCTTCAACAAAATCAAACACATCAAGCGTATAAACCATCTCGCCAAGCTCAAGGATCTGTTCTTCGTACAAAACAAGATCAGCACGATCGAGGGTTTGGAAGGTCTGACCAACCTCCGTCAGGTCGAGCTGGGCGCAAACAGAATTCGAGAAATACAGAATCTCGAAACGCTCACTGGGCTGGAGCAGCTCTGGCTGGGTAAAAACAAAATTACCGAGCTTAAAGGGCTTGACACCCTTGCCAACCTGAAGATCCTGTCCATCCAATCAAACCGACTGACCTCCTTCGCCGGTCTTTCCAAACTCAAAAATCTTGAGGAATTATACATTTCTCACAACGCCATCAACGAGATAGCCCACCTCGAAGAAAATACCAATCTGCGCGTTGTTGACATCAGCTCTAATCCGATCCAACATCTCAAAGGCTTAGAAAGTTTGGAACACTTGCAAGAATTTTGGGCAAGCAACTGTCAATTGGGCGACTTCAACGAGGTTGAGAAGCAGCTGAAGGACAAGGAAGAACTGGAGACGGTGTACTTTGAAGGCAATCCTCTGCAGAAGTCGCAGCCAGTCCTTTATCGGAATAAGGTGCGGCTGGCGTTGCCGCAAATCCGACAGATTGACGCTAGTAAGTTGAACGCATCCCGCCCTGAGATTTGAGTATCCTGTGGCTTTTAAGATGGTCAACACGAAAGGCAACAATTTCCTTCTCAAGTTTGCTGATAGCAAGGTAGCATATGTTCAACCGCCTGGTCAGTAGAAAGACTGATTTGAGGCTGCCCTTCTGCTATACCTCAAACGCAGCACGTATTGGAACCGGCAACGCTACTGTCATCTAGGTCACGAATTGAGAGTTTTGGGGCTACAAGTTGTCCTAGGATGAGAAGTTTGCCCGCAAGAAGGTTGAGAAGGTTGATAAGGCTGAGAATGAGGGTTACTCGTCTGTGATCCAGACTTCACCCATGGACACGGTCGTTGGGCGCTTGTCCCCGATTCAGCGCAGGCACAACCGCCAGCGACGCTACCCTGGGCGGGCGCCGAAGTGTACAGGCTTCTAGTCTACATAAGAAGGCACATCGGTAATCTCATCACAGACGTCCTGAGGCTCCGTTGGGGTCCTCGGTCAAAATTTATGATGTAACGAGAGAATTGAGCACGCGCAAATGCCAGGACAGCTTGTGCCAGAGACCGTTCGTAGTAAGGATATTGATGGGCTCGTCAGCAAGATCAAGTACTTGTGAACACAAAACCCGCTGAGCCAAGCTTCCGTCGCACGCCCATGGTTGAGAAGCGAAGACCCTGGCGGCGAAGCCAATCGTCTCGCGCGTTGTGGGTGTCACAAGATGTCTCTTTTCGACGGTTTGGCGTGAATTGCTGATTTAGGTAGGTTCGGGAAGGCGGCGCGCGAGGCGGACGTGGACGTGGATTGGGCGCGGATGCCTGACAGCCGTCGGTGGTACCTAGGGCGATGCCACTTTCACGTGCTTTTCAGATGGATCGGGTCGCGGCGTGTCAGGGCTATAAGGATCCCTCTTCTCACACTACGACCATCATCCGAGATCACTACTCAAATCTATGAAGGATGCCATTTTTTGAGGGATGTGATGTTTCAAGTTCTGGACCAGGTGTGTCGACACGTACACAAACGCGAAGAGTTTGCAGATCCTTCCGGACCCATGTGAGATCTATGGTACGAGAAACACGTGTTCAGGTTCGGATACCGTTATCCCAAAAAGCCACCCGTTGAAGTTCTGGGCAAAACTTACGAAGGATTGGCGTGAGTTGTTAGCTTCTCGGACTCGCTTGAAAAGCAGGATATCAGGCGATGACGCGCCGCTTCACGTTCAACGGCCATGCCTGTGCAGTATTTCTCAAGACGATAGGCGCGGTGCCCTTATGACAAGTCCAATTTCGTTTTGATCAGATACAGAGCGCTCACCGGAGCTACCAGACTTACCATAAGCATACTTCAGATGGTGAAGGGCACCTTCCATGAACCATGGTAGGGCCCAAGCAATACCTAGGATGGCCGCAGAGAAAGTCTATGCAGGGAATCTAAACCTTCCACCAACCGTAGAGTCAACACAACACCACTTCAACAACCAATCATCTGTCGCAACAATGCTCGAAGCTTTCATTCCAAGACGTCAAATCGCTCCCTGGGGATCACAGTGTTGAAAACGATGGGCATTATTACCGCTAACCAGTACGGCGGATCAAGTCCAACAAGGGATTCCTGGACCGTGCAATGCCATTAAGAGGCATCCGAGCGTTCTCACTTTGCATACAAATACGATATATTAAGAGTTTTGAAAAACGTTACCTCAGCGCGAATCGGAAATGTGCCTTCGGCCACAGTGACCGTTCGACTAAGAGCGCGTGGCGATGGGGAGTGGAGCCGAGATTGATTAGTGTCTTCTGGGAAAGGGAGAACCGGGATCGTCTTCGTCATGGACAAAAGGGTTCAGATCGCCCTCGCGTAGAATTGCGCATTCAACACGAATCTCGCTTTTGCCGCTGACTCATGGACAACACCGAGCCTGGGGTCAACAGGGTAGGACGGCTACTGAGTAAGCGTTCACGAGGAGCGGGTTCCTGCGTGCTGACGGAATGGTCCTCCGCTGATGGTACTTACCTGTGCATTGACGTGCTCCTGTCGATGTACGACATTTGAAGCATTAGCTAAATACGCTGGCTGTTCGTATAACCGTCAGATGTTTCTGAAGTTATGCCTGACCCATGAGACAACATACCCTATTCGCTTACTCATCTGCCAAAGCCTCACTACATGCCGGTAGAAGTATGTGCAGGATGTACATACGAAATAAGATAGGTGCAAGCGAGTGTCTCTTAGAACGTTTCTGATGAAAAGCGAGGATCCGCTGACTTCGGCAGACCCCGCAGTACACCTTGCCCAATTCAGTTCAACGACCGTCAATTGACGACATGCTTAGTGTAGCGAAACTTTGTTCCTCCATTCCATCCATCCGCCACGGACATGGCCTCACATCGCTAATAAGGTTTCGCGTCTGTTGCTTTTCGGTAATGAGCCGACTTCCGCGCTTGTCAGTTGCGCCTGTCTGCGCAGTCACTTGGTACACTGGCCTGCAAAATGGTACAATCTCTTCTTGACTTTGTAGCGACGGTATCATCCCAGATTCTTACCATGGCTATGGTCGCCACAAGAACCGATCTTCGAGTACACCCCCTGATGTGGGGATAATGCCCGCTGGCGGGCGCAAGCCTTCCTGTGACGCTGGATCTTTGCTGATCTCGACCAATCCATGGATGAACGCAATCAGTCCTTAGGGCTTCCCCACATATATCTTCAAGATCTTGCGGTCACTGGTGTTGTTGCCACATCTGGCCTTCATGCGGCACTGTCGCAAAATACCTCTCAGTGATTAGCCTGTTGATGTGACAAAGCGTGGTAACCTGTTTAACCGAACCGTACTTCAAACCTAGCCTAAGCCACTATAAGCCACTTGAAGGTACTGGAGAACGACCCAGACTGCAGAAACGGATCGGCGTCACTTCCGTTACGTCCGCGATCTGGGAATGATGGCGTACCATTCCCGATATGTTATAATGTGCGGAGCTCATGAGAACCGAACTCCTGCAGCACGCCCCTGCTTCGACACGCCATCACCCGCATCTACCATGGCTTCGAGCCCTGGCTAAACTTCTTTTGGGAAGCGATCTCCGAGGCGCCATGTATAGCAGGTCTGTTCGTTACAGATCAAACTTTCGCTTCATGCAGAACTGGGCAACGCATGCGAGGGGACGGCATACCGTTCTGCAGACTGCGACGAGGAATCGTGCTGACGAAAGATTTCCTCCGGGATCCAGAGGCAAAATACATCCTGTCCGAGTCTCGTGGAATGATCCGCCGCGCTTGTCACTTGAGGTTTAAGTTGGTTCTTAAGACCCTTTGATCTGCAGTCTTGAGGGCCCATAATTTTCGCCGGTCTCAGTCAACTGGTATCTCGACTCTTGGGTTCCTGACTTCACGACAGCATCTGTCCGCCATGGTGATGAAAACTACGAGGGGGCAAGCGCAGCAGGATGCTTGCACAGGTGTTGCGACCGCCTTCACGCTCATGTCCTGTATGTCACTTCGCTGATGGACGAGCTGCCGAATATAGCTGAGTCTACCTAGTTCTCATCGTTGGCCTCCGGACCTATGTTCGCTCACGGACAATACGGAACTTCGGCAAAGACGATGCCTTGATGATCGTGGCGTTTGTACGCTATTGCTCTTCACGTTGACAGTGACGAAACGCTGACTGTGTAGGTTTTTACACTCGGATACCTGATATGCATCTGGGTTCTGCGCGACAATGGCATGGGCTACAGCGGCAAAGTCTTGGATTTAGACCAGATGCGGACACTGATTCAGACGACGCTGGCGATTCAAATTCTCTACTACCTCTTGGTGGCTTGTGTCAAGATCTCTATCTGCTTCTGCTACCTGCGCATAGGTATGTTACCAATGCATGAACTTTGAATTTGTCATTGACGAAAGCTATAGCTGCGGACAAACACTTCGCCCGCATGGTGAAAGGAACCGTTTGGTTTCTCGCTGTTTTCTGTATAACCTGTGTCATTGTCTGTCTGACACAGTGCACCCCTCTACGTCAAATGTGGAACTTCACAGGTGTTCCATTGGGAAGCTGCATTAACACCACTGCCCTCTTCTACAGTAAGGTGGTCACAATATATCAGATATGCTCATCGCTAATCCAGTAAAGCCACGAGCTCGATCAATATTGTCACAGACATATGGATCATTGTCCTACCTATAAGAACATTACTCAAGATCCAGCGCCCAAACCGCGAAAAGCTCGGTCTAATATTCGTGTTCGGCCTCGGCATATTCTCTACGATTTCCTCCATCGTACGACTCCACGCAATCCGCATTTACACCGAATCCGCCGACCCCTTCTACGACTCTGTACCCATTAACGTCTGGTCGATGGTTGAAGTTAACATCGGCATCTGGTGCGCTTCCATCCCCTCACTCAGGATCCTCATTATCCGACGCCGGGCCGCCAGCCAGGCTTCGCGCTCAGCTGGCACGTACAAGTACCACAGCAGCGGGCGAAGCGGGGTCAAGAGCAACGGCAATAGTAACAGTGAGGGGTCGCAAAACATCGAGAGTTTCGACATGGGAACCGTAGACTTGACGAATCCTGAGGCCGCCAGGAAAGCCAGCAAAGGAGAGAGTGAGTGGAGCAGGCAGGGAAGCGACGACCAGATCTATTTTCCCGGCGCGTATAACCCAACACCAAAGCTTCCTGTTTGAGGCGGGTATATGTGATGCGTACGATAATGCGGGGTTGCATCGGATGGTTCCGAACCGGAGTCTGGGTGTTTGGGTGGGAGGTTATTTGCGATTGGCCTCCTCGTCGTGTTTTTTGTTTGGTACTACTGAGTCACTCCCTTGATATTTGCCTTGGTATGCAGGACCTGGGCGAGGGTCTGCGTCTAATGGGCGATGGTGGGAGGCCTTCAGGCTAATATCGCTCTACGCTTCAGACATCCTCTTACGAAATATAGTCCACGCGTACTTTGACAACCTTGTCCTCGTACAGCTACCAGAACCTCGCAGTTCCTCGGCTGCACTCCTTACAATCGGAGACGCCTCAATGTACATATGTTCTTCATCCTAGCCATCAGGTTATTATCTCTCCGCATGATACCTCGGCCGCCGCAATACAAGCTCAAAAGCTTGAGACGATAGGAGCACTTGGTATGCACGTCGACATTAAAACGTCGGGCTATTTCCTCATGCAGGATGTGCAAAGATGCGGTGAACGGACCTCTATGCTCCGCGTGCCCGCATCTTGCCCGGAACCTGGTCTCCCCTGCAGGGCAATATGCAGGGCTGCGCAGACGTGTGGAGTGCAGATGAGATGCGGGATGATGTCAGTTTCCGAAGTTCAATCGGTTTGCGGTACGGTAGATATTGAATTTCAAGAAGACGGGTTGATGTGATAATCAAAAGCGAACGAGATGGGACGGATAGTCGAAGTCTGGTAGCAAGCACGTGAGTGGTGAGACCAAAAGCGGCTAGTCCGTTGCGCAAGCTTCAGAACCCTCTCCAACTGTGACCACCCTGCATCCAATTCATCTTCATTTCATCAAAAATATGCAATGCGAAGGGTAGTAGTGACTGGTCTGGGGCTAGTGACGCCCTTAGGATTGGGTCGGTACCTCCTTCCTCGTACCGTTCATTGCTTCAATTGCTGATTGCGTGCAGGCGTGCGCCGAACATGGTCACGACTTCTGGATGCCCAATGCGGCATTGTTTCCATTAAAAACAGAAGCACGCAATTTGGAGCGCTGCCAAGCCAAGTCGCCGGAATAGTCCCTGAGGGAAGTAAAGAAGATGGGATGTGGAACGCAAAAGATTGGCTGAGCGCGTCAGATGAGCGGAGGATGGCACGGTTTGCGCAGTATGCTATGGTTGCATCGGAAGAAGCATTGAATGATGCTGGGTGGGCTCCGACGAAGGAGGAGGACCTTGAGGCTACGGTAAGTCTATTCTCACTGTACAGCCATTACAACGCTGATGACTTTAGGGTGTTTATATGGGGTCTGGCATCGGAAGCTTGGACGATGTGTACGAGACGACTGTTGCTTATGAGAAGGGCGTGAGTTACAACCTTGATGTGATTGACGAATACACATGTCTAATAGATCTAGGGATATCGCAAGGTGTCGCCTCTTTTTGTACCCCGCCTTTTAATTAACCTTGCAGCTGGCCATGTCTCTATGCGATACGGCTTCAAGGTACGTCGTTCACCATACTGAGGACCTATGTTAATAGTTGTAGGGGCCGAACCATGCTGCAACAACGGCCTGCACAACAGGTGCCCACAGCATCGGGGATGCTTCACGGCTTATTCAATTTGGCGACGCAGATGTAATGGTCGCTGGTGGCGCGGAATCTTGTATTCACCCTCTTGCTATCTCAGGCTTTGCACGAGCAAGGAGTCTGGCTACAGATTGGAATGACAATCCGACAGAGGCAAGCAGACCATTCGACAAAGACAGGGCTGGTTTCGTTATTGGAGAGGGGGCTGGTGTCGTTGTTCTAGAGGTATTGCTCCTTCCCCTCTGTGGTCATTCCACTGCATATGTGGCCCAAGCATAGCTAAGCTGTGCATAGGAACTCGAACATGCAAAGCGAAGAGGGGCAAAGATATATGCCCAGGTCGCAGGCTACGGCTTATCCAGCGACGCGCACCATATGACGGCACCACGCGAAGACGGCCAGGGTCCCCGCCTCGCTATGAGGCATGCGCTTCGACATGCGGGCATCAAACCCGACGCCGTTGACTATGTGAACGCGCACGCTACAAGTACGTCTCTTGGAGACGCAGCTGAGAACAGGGCGATCAAAGAACTACTCCTCGGCGAAAGTGGAAAGACCAAAGCCTCGGACATCAACATCAGCAGCACCAAGGGCGCGATCGGTCATCTTTTAGGTGCAGCCGGAAGTGTTGAAGCCATCTTCACGGTGCTGGCACTTCATAATGTAAGATTCCATGTTTACGGGCAGATTCCGGTACATGCTAAGGAGCGCAGAACACCCTTCCCCCAACCTTGAACCTAAACACTCCCGGTGATCCGCCGGAGGACTTTGATTGTAATTACGTCGCGCACACGGCGCAGCAACGTGAGGTAAACGTTGCACTCTCCAACAGCTTTGGCTTTGGAGGCACCAATGCATCGCTCTGCTTTGCAAAAATGTAAGCTAGATGGACATGTGAGCTATTAGAGTTCGCCGAATGTTGTCACGATAGCCGAGTATTAGACATAGAGTAGCTTGGTAATTCGCCGTTGTCATAGGCGCATCATGAATCTACCCCGCCGATAAAGCACGCCTTTAGCGCGTGGAAAACATCTCAACCCCACTACGCGACAATTCGGTCCTGCTTAAAGCTTCGGAACCCCTCCATGGGCTGTTCATCTCAAGGTTGAGAAAAACCGTAGGACTGTCCATTCATTTGCGTTTGTTTCGAGTCGTTCATTGCGTTGCGATCGTGGAACATCATCATGGAAGTCCGTCCGACGTCCTCTCAAGAAAGTGAGGATGTTGAGATGTCAATGATCAAGAGCTGGAAGAACAAGGCATCTACTTATCACTCACGTGTTCCGTACCTGAACAAGCTTCCCTTTAACGCGATAGCTATCATCGTCACCCTGATTATCATCAATATTCTCGTATGGGTAGCCGTGGGCATAGTCCTAGTACACACCTTCCCTACCATGCGTCGATTCCGACTAACTCGTCCAGCATTTCCACACGCCTCTCATTTCTACCGCAATCCTCTCATGGACGCTCGGTCTCCGCCATGCCCTCGACGCAGATCACATCTCCGCTATCGACCTCATGACGCGGCGTCTCATTGCATCTGGCCAGCGCCCCGTCACCGTCGGTATGTTCTTCAGCCTAGGCCACTCTACCATCGTAATCATCACATCTCTCGTCGTGGCGGGTACTGCAGCTGCCGTATCCTCCAAGTTCGACAACTTTTCCCGCGTCGGCGGCATCATTGGGACTTCCGTCTCTGCAACGTTCCTGCTCCTCCTCGGCATCATGAACGTGTACATCCTGTACAAGCTCATCGTGCAAATGAAGAAGATGATCAATTCCGAACCTGGGACAGAGAACGAGCAGTTCAAGATTCAGGGCGGGGGCTGTCTCTTCCCCATCCTACAGCGGCTCTTTAAGCTCATCGACCGCCCGTGGAAGATGTATCCGCTCGGTGTCATGTTCGGCCTGGGTTTCGACACGTCATCTGAGATAGCAATCTTAGGTATCTCGAGCATCCAGGCGGCGAACGGAACGACAATATGGCTTATCCTGCTATTTCCGCTGTTGTTTACCGCGGGCATGTGCTTGCTCGATACGACAGACGGGGCGCTGATGATGAGTCTGTATACGAGTACGCAGTTGGCAAGGGACCCGATTGCGATTTGCTACTACAGTATCGTGCTTACCATTATCACGGTCATTGTGGCGACGGTCATTGGGGTAGTGCAATTCCTCAACTTGGCGCTGAATGTGGCGGAGCCCGAAGGGAGGTTTTGGGATGGCGTGGAGCGGTTGGGGGAGAGCTGGGATATCGTTGGTAAGTCGGAGAGCATTCGCATCAGGTGAAGAAGAGCTAAAGCGCATTAGGTGGTGCCATTTGTGGAGCATTTGTAGTCTTCGGTGGTCTGAGCGTGTTGCTATACAAGCCGTGGAGAAGACGCATCGACCGGCAGCGTTTGAGAAATGCGGCATTCGAGCCTATAGAAGCGCAAGTCGATGCTGAGATTGATGGTGAGGATGAAGTCGGAAGAGACGTGGAAAATCGAACGACGAAGACAGTCGATGTTAGCATTGAGCCTGTTGAAACTACCGATGCAGCTGGACCCTCGGAGAGTAGGGGTTGAAGTTGATATGGAATTCGATGGTATATATGAAATTGAAAGTGACACTGCAGGAAAATAGCTCAGACAACTTCCCCCAACTAAGTACGCACTCTATCGTCTCCACAAAGAAAAGAAGGCATAGATCGCTCCGGTGCTCACTCACTCAACTAGAACGAAACCGCCTCCTCCTTAGTCCACTTCACCTCTTTGACACCCGAACCCGTCGCAGTCGACGCAAAGCTCATGCCAATGAAATAATCTCTCCCCTTGAGCAACCAGACGAAGAATCCGGGCACACGAAAGCCGAACAGCACTCCAGCACCAGTCGCCGTTCCTATGGGCACGAACAGCATCTCCTTTGTATTCGGCTTGAAGCTGCGATCTGTCCCCGGCGCGGCGCGGTCAGGTTGTTTGGCATCGTAAGAGAGTAAGTCGCGCTTGAGGTTGGTGGCGAGAACCGGCAGTGCGTCGACGATGTCCAGGACAGTGTTGCGCGAATAGCTGGATACATCGCCAAGCGCGTAGACACGTGGGCCTGCGATATCGACGCGCAGAGTTTGTTTGTTGGTGTTGAGGTACTTCTTGTCGGTGAGCAGGTCAGGCGGGAGCCAGGAAGAGTTTGGCTGCACGCCGTGGGCAGGAATGTACAGATCTGTCATGATTGTCTCCCCGTTTGCCAACGTCAAGGTGGTCCTGCCATCCTGCTCTTTGCGTGCATCTGTAACGCGTGTACTGTAGCGCACGTCGACACCGAGGGTGTTGAGCTTGCGCTCTGCCTCATCGCCGATAGCTTTCCTAACGGTGGGCAGAAGTTGTTGTGCAGACGTGAGGAGCGTAATGTTGACTTTGCGCGGCGGCGGCTTGGAAAACCAGCCGGGTCGCCCATTCAAAAAGTCGCCCAGCTCACCAGCAACCTCGACGCCTGTTGCGCCGCCACCAGAGATGACGATGGTTTTTGCGGCAGCGGCTGCAGCGTTTGTAGTCTCAATAGCTGCGAGTGTGGTTTCTTTGTCAGTCCATGTTGAGAAAGCCGGGTAGTACGTTCTGCTTCCGGTAGCGACGATCAATGCATGGTACTGCAGTTGCACCTCCTCTTTTCCGTCCTTTCGCTTGTACCCTACCAATCTTGCGGAATGATTGAGACCAGTAGCAGTGGCTTGTATCCATGTGACATCTTCCTTGCTGTACTGTCCGAATACGTCCGCGAATGGTGCGAACACTCTCTCGGCCGATAGAAGAGAGGTAGATGTAGCGACGCGCGGGGACGCGATACGGAAGAACCAGTCTGAAGATGGGGCGATCATGTACAGGTGGTAATGCACGCCGCGATCTTTGTTCTTCAACAGAGGTAATAAGTATTTGGCAATGTAATGCGAGGTTTGGAGTGCAGAGCTGCCGCCGCCCACAACGACGAGATTGCGGACATCAACCATGGCGAAAGAGGTAGAAAAAACAAGTTGGGGAAAGCCGTCAGAAAGATAGCTAGACAGATTTGCTAGACAGAACAGAGGGGCCTCGTAGTGCAGGATCAACTTCTTTCACTGCCATGGTCACTGTGCTTTATATATCTGTCGACACAATGTGAATCGCAGTGCACCATCCCGCCGGACGAATATCACTGATTGCGGTGTCGTACAAATGGCAATCGATGTGGCTTTTGCGCGTTCTCCCTGCATCTGGATTGGCTGCGCCGTATTGCCCTTCACTTTTCGGACGAGAAGCATCAGCCTTGCGCTCACGGAATCGGTGTCGAATGGGTCAGTCTTAGTAACCGCACATCAGTGGTTGTGCAACAGGGCAAGTAACCGGAAGCCAGTCCATGCCGTTCCCGGCTGTGTTTTGTCAGCTTGCTTGTCGGAGGAAAGTCTTTATTGGCGGGACGCTTCCAATCGGAAAGGACCCTATCCGGTTGCTTACGTAGACACGCACGCGACACCTTCATCGTGTGAACTTTGAACATGTCTGTACCTCGTGTGGCTACATTTTAGCGAGAGGGCTTTCCCTACGATATCGCGCACTCCGCCCTACCTTTACGCCTAGTTGTCCGCGCTTTCAAGGCAATGAACGCATGCCGAACCGAACCAGCTGTCATGCACATTACTCGTATGGCAGTATCAGCCCCTTTGGCTCTCGAATGCTGTACACATGTCACAGCCGCTGCGTTTCACGTGGACGCAGGCATCATCCTAGAAAAAATGATCTCTGTAGCGGTATGTGCGCGAGGTAGAAGGTGATACAGAAAAAACCACATCATCAGCCGAAGAAGCAATACTATTTACCTTGACGATGGGTATACGACACTCCGGCAAAACTTCACACTCGCCGCTGCCATGAATGCTTCCATCAGGCGTTCGTCCTTCACAGCTATATCCTCATTCTTAGTGCAGAACAGACCTACATGAGGATCATCCTGGCACCTTGGACAAGTCTGTGACAGGTGCTTTGGGCAGGTGACGATGCGTAGACCGCCGTGGAGGAGATGGAGTCGCAGTCTGTCCCCCTGCACTGCTTTGCTTATAGTTCTTAGACCTGCGAACGCAGTATGCGAACGATGCTCTCAGCAATCACACCATGTATGACCTTGCACGCAGCTGTGTCCAGTATGTGGAGCCTCACTATCATTGATGTGAAGGCCCTTTGCAAGGTATCGTAGGAAGGTAGTACTTTGTTCGAGTGTTGACTGTATTAGCCATTTCCTCCAATCGTGTTATCACGAGACAGCCTTGGTATACTGGGCGCGCTTAGTTCAAAAGGAAGGTCATGCCTCATTCCTGCCTGTTCCGGCTAAAATCACAGCTTGGCAGCGATTGTACAACGGCGGTCGATGGCGCGATATGGCCACAATACACATAGTGTATATTGATACGAAAGTTCCAGCCTGTTAGTTTCAGTCCAGCACGGTGCTCGATTCCCGATCTTACTGCGCTTGCGGACCAGTAAACAATGAAACACACTATATCCGTCCTCACAGTGCTGCTCTGTGTCTGGGAAAGCATTGCAGCCTCCGGGTACAAGGCAAAGCTATCTCCGGAGAAGCTCGAAGCTGCGATCGGGCAAAAAGGGTACGTTGAGAAACAACTCATGGCTTATCTTTCCGACATTTGAACTCTTGACTGACATACGTCGTAGGCTGAAACAGAACCTACAAGCACTTGACAAGATTGGAAAGCAAAGTAATGGCAATCGTGCCTTCGGAACAACAGGATATGCCAAATCGTCAGACTACGTGCTTTCGCAGATCACGAGCAAGCATGACAAGGACTTCGAAACATGGAAGCAATACTTCAATCATACTTACGAAGAGACTCGCAATATCTCAGTAACTGGTCCTGACGGTGAGGCTGTCGATGCTCTTACACTCATGTACAACAATGCAACCCCGCTCCCAGATGGTGTAACGGGTGAGCTGGTTGCCGTTCCTGTAGATGATACTGTCGGTAAGTCAAATCGTTTCCGGTACTTTCCCTTCAGAATATAATTGACATTCAGCGCAGGCTCTGGGTGCTTCGAAGACCAATGGGCTGGTCTTAACGTGACTGGCAAACTAGCTCTCGTCAAGCGTGGCACCTGCAGCATATCAGACAAACTCAAGATCGCAAAGAATCTGGGCGCCTTGGGTGTTATCCTTTTCCACAACACCAACAGCACTCCTAACGCCGCAACCTTGAGTGCTGAGAATATTGGTCTTCTCGCACCCGTTGGTCTTGTTTCGCTCTCTATTGGAGAAGCGTGGCTCGCACGCATAGCGACTAATGAAACGCTCACAGTGACCCTACTTGTGGATTCTATTTTCGAGCCACGAACGTCTTGGAATGTGTTTTCCGAAACTCGGGAGGGTGATCCGAACAATGTGATCATGCTAGGGGCACACTTGGATTCTGTTCAGGCTGGACCAGGTATTAACGACGATGGCTCTGGCGTCACTGCGCAAATCGAAATCATAAAAGCTCTGAGGAACTTCCGCGGCATCAAAAATAAGATACGTTTCGCGTTCTGGGGTGCTGAAGAACCTGGTCTTGTAGGGTCACTCTTCTACACACAGAGCCTTACGCCCTCTGAGGCCGACAAGATCCGCTTTTACTACAACTATGATATGATCGGCTCTCCTGTACCCGTCTATGGCATATATGCGGGCGACAACCCGGGAGACAAGGTCGGCGCCCAGCTTCTTCTCGATTACCTTGTCGCTAAAGGAAAGCCGGCGTACTTTGGTTCTTTTGGCACTGGCTCAGATTATGTAGGTTTTCTGGAGCTCGGTATTCCAAGTTCTGGAATTCACACGGGTGGTGGTGTACCTGCCGACCCGTGTTACCATCTTGCATGCGATACATACGACAACATCAGCTGGGAGGCGCTGGAGGTGAACACAAAAGCGGCCGCGAGAGCTGCTGCTGCGCTGGCTTTGTCGGTGGAAGATGTTCCTCCAAGGAATACGACGAGCGTCAATCCGAGAAGTGATAACAGGATCAGGGCGCAGTTTACTGCCTGGGAAGAAGTAAAGCTAGAGGTAGCTGGCGGCCATACGTGTGCTTTGAAGACTAAGCGGACGGTATAAGATAAGATGTAACGTTCTCCCTGAAGAGCAAAAACGAGTATAGACACAACGATAAGCCTGTAATCGGCTCGGAATCCCAATGACAACCTCGAAATCTTTACTTCCAGTAGCGTTGAAGGACCCAGTTTTCTTCCTCCTCAGGCGACTCACACAGCCAGTGCTCACAGAGGGCTTCGGGGAAGCGTATAAAGCACGATCAATCTAACAAAAGAAACTTGATCCGAAGCAAGTCAGCAGCTCATTCACTACAAAGAAACACTACTGAGTATTTAGGTCGAACGAAGGTCCGATCATACAGCTAAATAGCCTTACACCTTTCCAGCAACGAACGCGCCAGCAACTCCAACATCGTGCTGGTAATTTGGATGCGCCGCAGGGATTGTAGTCCCGCACTCACAGATGCTGTCACTGGTATGGCAGATCGTGAGTGTCTTCAAGGAGCCGATGATCTAAATGCCTGGCTCTTCTTAGGGTCATCGAACACGACAACTTCTCATCGCTGCCAATGACTGCCTTCCTCTTTGGGTTAGCATGCTTGTGCAGTAGTCGAACTTCTGGAACATCTTCAGATATGCGGGGTAGGGAACCAGGGGCAGCCACTTTCGATTTCACGTTTCATAATCACTTTTCGGTCCAGGATTGCAAGACCTCTCTTCGTGACGAGACGAATAGACGAAGAAGAATGAACCCCAGGATATGACGAAGCTGGGACCCGGTGTCGAGCTGGGCATCCGCTAACATTCATCTCATTGAATCGTCAAATTAGCAAACATGGGCGTCACGGTACGAATGGGACCCTGGTGGCTTTCCGCACGTCCTTTGCTGCTCAAGCCGAGGCACGCTCCCACCAACCATATACATGCAGGAACCAACCTCGCTTTCCGACCTCATCAATGATTTTGGCAAGCGTCTGCTCCATCAACATGAAGCTCACAGCGGCCTCCGTTGCCCTCACGTTGTTCTCAACAATTTCAACCGCTCAAACAACATGCCATAAGTATGTCATTATATCAATCCGAGGGACCTACGAACCCCAAGGTCGCAGCATTGCCTTCACCACTATGATCAATCAAACATTTGCGGCAATCCCAGGAGGCATTGAGTACGACGCCGTTTACCCAGCAGCAGCGAACCAGACAGCGTATTTCGGCGCTGACGATGTCACTCGCTACATGAACAATGGTCTGCAGAATTGTCCCCAGCAGCAGTATGCCATTCTAGGATACAGCCAAGGCGCATCAGCAACAATGCTCACACTCAACAACATCACGGACCCGTCTTCCGCCGCGTACAAAGCCATCAAAGCCGTTCTCGTAGTAGGCAATCCATACCATGTCGCTGGTGCTTCTGTAAACGTCGATGAGAACGGCGGCAACGCCACGAAGAATTTCCCAGGCGTAGTGTACAACGCCAACAGCGCCGGCAGCAGAGGCATACCACAGATCTATTACGACAATGGAGAGCTAGTGGATATATGTCATACGGAAGATTCGATATGCGCACCTGCGTATCCGAATGCGAGCTTTATACCCGGGCATATACAGTATGGGAAGCAGAACGTGCAGGACATGGGCGCGAAGTTCCTCATTGAACGGCTCGGAGGCAACAGCACCAATCCCTCAGCCACGTCAACCGCGACAGGAAGCACCGGCTCGCCCACTGGTGTGCAGCCTCCACAGTACACTGGTGGGGCGGACATGGTATCGATGAGCTTCGTTGCGGCTCTGAGCGGGACGTTCGCGCTGTTCTTGTAAGGACCATGACCGCGATCGCTCCTTACAAGTGGCTCGGTAATGCTTCGCGTTGAAACATCATGGTTTACCGTGGTATATAATCGTTATTACAATTTTGAGCCTGCATAAATTCAAAATTTGGCCCCATACTCACTCTGGTTTTATTCCCATGCTCACTCGAACCCTTAACCTAACCCTAACCTAACCCTAACCTAACCCTAGCATAACCCTAGCATAACCCTAGCATAACCCTAGCATAACCCTAGCATAACCCTAGCATAACCCTAGCATAACCCTAGCCTAACCCTAGCCAAGTTCCCCATCCATAGCTCTACACATGTAGTTGAAGTCCTTTCGGACATTCATGCTGATACGAGGATCGTTGATAAAGTATATACTTCTTGGTGGAGATCTGACCTGACTGCGCCTAGTGTAATTCTACAGTCCGCATCGACAGATCTGTCGTGCTCATGAGGCCAAAGTTCGCCGCCGAGGGAGCGACTCATATAATCAAGACAGGCACGGCATGTCTATTTCGGATTTCCGGTCTTACACACTGACAGGGAATTGCTTTTTTGTTTGAAGCTTCTCTGGCGTGACTACGCATCGTATATACGATCTACATTCTCGCGTGCCTTGAGGCACCGTTCAGAGGGGAAACCGATTGAGCACTATTCCCTCAGGATAGAGAGAAAAATATACGTGCGTGTAGAAAAGGGACCCCTTGGGACAGCTCGCAGTTTGCGCAAACCTCATTGGGGCAGACTTAGGACTGCCCAAATAGCGACCATATCCCGCGATACGTAGTTCGACTAGGGTATCGCATACTCAGAACTGTAGCACGCCTACGCTACGCATATATTCATTCCTTCCTCCTGGCGTTGACATCTTCCTCGCCTCTCATATCACTCACGTCGGGAGATGTCTCAAGCTTTCTTGTTCAAGTAGTTGACGAGATCTACCATCTCCGCGTGCGACATTGCTGAGCTCATGGCACTGTACCCTTCGTACAAGATCCAGACCGGGAAAATGACCCACAAGCCGTTAAAGATGAAGAGGTAGAGCCAGCTGTCACCTGTCAGTGCGCGTGCCAGCGAATACAATTTTCCAGCAACAAGATAACGGAGAGAATTCGAATGGCCAGGCATTCCTCGGAAAGAGTCCTTTCGGGGTGCCAACGGGGACCTGCATGACGGGCCGTGGGGCGGCAATGCAGGGTCTGCTGGGCGAGGACGCTCGTAACAGGGCGGCTAAAGGACGAAATGGAGTTGCTGTGGAACTCTGCGTTTTGGTTTGCCGAGCGAGCACCGAGCGCACAACTACTCCAACATCCCTTCACGAGACGGACCATCCAAATCGAAAGAAAATGGAATGAAAGGGGGTATACTCACAGATACATCCAGTTGCTCGTATCAAGGTTCGGACTCCCTGTAAACCACTCCGGCGCGAAAGTCATCCAGCCTAAGGCGGTGAACCACGTGTCAGCGCAATGTCCACCTCACGATACGCCTCCTAGCCGAAATGAGACGAACACGTCGGCCAGGACCCACATGCCGCCTCACAACTCGCGATGAGTCGGCAAAGGCAAAACAAAAGATGCGTGATTGTAAATAGAGATGGGGTCCACGTTACCTCCGTAGAGCTCTGCTGTTGCGAGTATGATCATCCAGAACCAACGCTTGAGCGCGCCTTTGCGTTCTTCGCGCCGGAGGAGAACGCATATCCATACTGAGAGATGGGTTAGCATGCATTCCGGAATCTTCCAGGGCATAGAGTCTTTTCAATCGCCCTAGGCGTTTGGGGCTTACTTACAAGCCAACGGAGCGCCCACAAAGACAGTCAACACCTCCAGACTCACGACACCCAGATCGGTCCCTCCCCACCGTCTATCCGCCTTCGCATACTCCTGCCACAGCTTCGAGAAGATGCCCTCACCATAGCTTGCTCCATATATCCTATCTTCCTGTCCAAGCCAGTACACATCGGGCGGCGTCAACAACTTGATCCTTGGATGCCTCTTCGCGGCAGCATTGAAGCTCGTCGGCAAGCTGTAGCTCACGAAGAAGCAATTCCACAAAAAGGAGCCTTCGAAGAAGAGGTGAATGAGGGCGTCAAAGAGGTGCCAAACGAAGAGAACGCGGGTCTTCTTCGCGGCCGCGGGAGGGAGTAGACGGACGGAGCCAGCGTAGGCAGCGCCGAGCAGCGACACGAAGAAGAGGAGGGAGACGATGGTTATGGCGTCTATTTGGGGCGAGGAGGAATGTATTGGCGGCGGCGGTGGAGGAGGGGTAGCTTTGGAGCCGCCCCAGAAGCTCGAGGCCATGCTGTGGGTGCTGCGTTACAGTTGCAGCCGATGTAGGCTGTCGGTTATCGTGCCGTCCGTGTCGGTGTAATTCCGTCCGGAAATCAGTCACACGGGAGCACACGAGCCAGTTTGGAAGAACAATGTTCCAAGATTTGTAAACGGCGTGTCGAAGGAAGAGGTGCAAGCCCAAGCCTGCTTTACTCGTTGGGGTAAGGCGGCCAGCTGGTCCCAGCCTTAGCGTGCCCGGACGATGGTCATGCGGACGCGAAAGTTCACGATCCAGGCTTATTGGCTTCACAAAAGAGAGACTACGACTTTGTAGCCGCCAAATGCCTTAATCGGATTTCGGCCTCTGCTACCCCACATCCTCTCTTAAATCGATTCCAACCGCTCTTCTTCCTCTTACACCACCGACCGACACTTCTTCACGTCGATCTCTCTCGAGTTTTCGCAAAGACGATTTGGTCATGCACTTAATTGCATTCGGTAGGTATGTACTGGTATCCACATCACTTCAACCTCGACTCCAAACACCAAGCTAAGACATCCCAGACCCATCACAAACGTCAGACCACAACACGACATCGACGATAACAATTTGACCAAGGGACGGATACAAGCTGAACGCGGTTGCAACATATACGCATTCTCCATCTTTGTGACTGCTGTATATGTACGAAGACGACTGCAGCATAGGAACAACTGCACGACCTAGAAATGCAGACAAAACACTTTTGCTTCCATTCGGGATGTCTGCAATGGATAGCATCCGAAAACAATACGCCTGAACATGAGAGTGGAGTCGCTCAGCTGCAAGGAGCAAGACAACCAACCCGTGGTCGGAGAGATCGAGCAGTGATATGCTGAGCGTCTCCTTCCGAACCCGCCGAAACGCCATTGGCAGAAAATACATGCAAGAAGAGGAAACCGTCCGGAAAATGCAGCAAAGTAGCCATCCTGAGATATGCTGAGGGAAGACGCGACAATGGGTGGCGCCCGCGAGTTACAGAAAGACTGAAAGCACAACAGAATCACAGGGCTGATGGACTTCGTTTCGTGTCGAGTTGAAAGAGACTCGTGAGCGTCAGTAACCATTGATCAAGGACGTCCGCTCCACTCGTTTACAATCAAGTCGACTCGTAAGTATCGTCTTCGTGGCCAAGAAAATTCGTTAAGAGTTATTCCGCCTCAGAGTTATCGGAGACGAAGCCGGCACTTGCGTTTAGACACAAGCTTGCGAAATGTGGTTTTGCTCAGGGAAGATGCCGCCATGCATGGAATACCCATATTGATACGAGGCAACCATGTGGTCTTCAGGGGCAGAGCCTGTCACCGGACCTGGAGACGTGGACCGGGATAAAAAAGGACTGCGAGGTGCAGACCGGGACTCGTTATCGTTGGCTCCATCCACCAGCATTGGCAGGGCAGGAGACGGGGGGCTGTTCGACGCAGACGAGGTGTTACTACCAAAGCGGGGCTGAGCGTTGAGGATGTATTCGGTTGCTCCATCGGTGTGAGGGTTCTTCGTTGCAGGCGTGCCCGCGTTGGGAGAACCTTTCGAAGGAGTGCCAAACTGAGAAGACGATTAGTACTTGTCTTCGGCCAGTCCGGAGGGGCGGGAACGTACGAAACAAAACTTCTGGATCAACTCGTTATACTCCGCTGACTGAAGGTCCGGCTTCTCAGTTGACAAACCGCCAGGCCGAGTACCGGGAACAGGCGCGGCTGATACCTTCGGAGCAGCATCCTTGTTGAAGTAGTCCTTGGACCCTTTACTAGTGCCATTGGGGGTAAGACCACTGCGATCTCCAAGAGCAGTCTGAGCATTCGACAGCGCTGCTGAGAGGGAAGCACTGAAGTCGTAGCGGGTGGAGAAAGCCTGGCCGGCAGGCTGACGATTGGCTGTCTGCTCTTGGAAGAGATTGCTCCGTTTGCTTTTGGGCTTCAAACGGATCGTGGCGCTAGGAGAATCCCGGATCTGAGGACGGCTTTGGCCGAACGCAAACTTGGAGCCAAACTCTTGACCGAAGTCATCGTCGAAAGAACCGGCAGGCATGGAGCGAGGACGGGGGCCGGTGGGTGAATGACGGCTACGGGGAATGGCGCGAAGGGTACCGGAGCTGCCCGTGTTTGCTGATGGCTTCGACTTCTTCGTGAAGTCAACTTGGTAGTTGATCGAGCCGTTGTTATCCCAGAATTCCTGACCATTTACTTGGTAGCGAACACAAAGAAGCAACGTCTTTGATTCGAGGTTGGCTTGATCAGCCAACTTGATGTTGAAGTTGAAACGATCGTAGCCATCGTCCTTCTGCTTCTTGCGCACATCGTGATTGAACTCTGCGACGACCTCAGACGTTGTCTTCCAATAATCGAGGGTGAAGCGAGCGATGACAACTTTATGAAAAGAGATATTAGCGCAAGCAACAGTGCCGACCAACGTCTTGTTATCAGACGCCAGGAAGATCCTTTCGACACGTACAGCCATCGTTTGACGCTCGTACGTATCGGCGGACGGAAAGTTGGCAAGCTTAATTTCCCACTCAGGCTCTTTCTCTTTGCGGTCCTCGAAAAAAGGATATTCGCTCTCGCTATCGTACGTTTCCACAGGTGAAGACCCAGCACTCACAGCAATAGGGCGGTCCACTTGGAGGAAGTGGCGCACCTGCTCGATGTCCTCGTTGAAATGCACCGCTTTGGAATAAGTAGGAGTACCTGGCATGCTGGACGGCCGTCGACGAGAAGCAGGACGAAGAGCGGGCTTTACCAGCTCACCGGACTTCTTGCGAAGTAGCGGCGGCTTTATCCGTAGTTCATCGTCTTCTACGTCGCTACCTTCGGTAGAGCTGATGACAGTCGTGTCTGTGTTGAGAGAGACGTGTTTGGAGAGCATGATCTCGCTAGACGAACGCGAATGGGAGATCTTGCGGGCATCGGCAGAGAGCGGCCGAATGGGCGTTGTAGACGCGGCTGAGTTGGCTGGTGTGTCCGCCACGCCATCGCGGTTGGGTGACGCTTGACGTTTCACAGGGATGTGCTGCAGTGCCTCTTGGAGCTCCCTAAGATTTCCAATGTTCCGACCCCGGTCCTCATCGTCATCCGAAGAGTCAGGTGGTGTGGTGATGGCACCTGACGGAATCAGAGAATTGTTCACAGGAGGAGGGGACTGGCGGATGCTACCATGTACAGCGGGGCCATGGCCGCGGTGGGCATCCGGCGCGGATGCTATGCTGTTCGCCTGGGCATTGGCAGCGGCAGTGACGTTGTTCGCGTTCGGAGAGGCCGAGGACCGGCGGTGCTTGACAAGATACGAGGCGGAGTGTGAGCGAGGCAATGCGGGCCTCTGCACACCGGCAGACGAAAGCGGGAATTGGTCGGCGTAGGAATGCGTGCGACTGAGGATAGGGCTGTTTGGTTTGGAGGTTGCAGGCGACCGCGTCTGGGAGGGCGGCGTGTAAGGCATTCGGTCGACTTCGCGTGACCGAGGGTTGGTGGTGGAGACGGGGGTTGGAGGATTACGGAAGGCAAGCAAGCATTACAAAGAAGGGTATTAAACGGAAATTCTGGTGGTACGGTCAGTATTGTGCGTTTGCGGTTGAGTGGGCGTGCGATGGCGAGACGTGGCTGACAAAGAACCAGTAAAGGCGGGTGGGGTGATATTCCAGTGTCTTATCACCAGGTGGAATGAAGAATTGAAGCTACTCACAGAAGATACGTGAAGGAACGGCTCGGGTGGAGAGCTCGCAGGCCGGGGTAGGAGAGGAAGCGCGACGCTGGCGGGCTTCACAGCTAGTCAAAGCTGCGAGGGCGAGGTCGTCGAATTGCTCGAGCCGTGCAGGTCGAGATGGTGCTCGAGATGTATGCAGCGTCTCTGGGACGTCTGCAGGAGCGATGCCGGCGGCTTCCGTTTGCTGTCAAACGGACTGGCAGGTGCACACCGGGGGGCAGGTGCGCTCGGGAGCCGTGTGTGGAGGTGGAGAGAGGGTGTCGATGTCGAAACCAACTCCAGCTGCAGGGTCGGCGGGTGGGTGAGATAAAGGCTGGCAATGGCCTGGAGATGTGGAGAGGAGGAGGAGGAGGAATGTTGGGAGGTAGCGCAGGCCGCGACTATTGGGGACGGCACACGCAGAGCGCTTTTGGCATCGCGCAGCCGGGATCAATGGCGAGAGAGATTCGAGGTCTGGCCTGGCTTGCGCACTGGCCGAGTGGCCGAGCGCCGCTGCGGAAGCGACCTAGTGGGCTGGTTCAACAGACAGGGGTCTACCAAGGATCAAGGGTGAGCATGCAGCAGCGCCAACAGCCAGGCGGCACCGACCGGCTTTGCGCCCACTGGTGCTGCGACGCGGGCGGACGACGACGCGCTGCGCTGCCCGGCTTGATTCTGCGAGCGGCGTCGGGGCGAAGTGTGCTCGACTTGCGGCGAGGTATCGCAACCTGTCGCGGTACACGGGCTACGGCGACTTTGCTGCCCTTTGTCAGGCCCCCGACGAGCCGATGCGACACAGTGGAACAAAGGCGCTATGCCTCGCGCTCCAGGTTCGTGAGCGGCGCATACACGTTCGCTATCTATCATAGTATCAAGGCCTATCGGGGCTGACACTATTACTGAGCAGCGTCTGCTCTCCACATCAAGGCACTCGAGGGTAATACAGGTTCCATACTGCTCCGACGCCGCTCGCTGACGGCGCCGAGCCTCACGGCGATGGTTTGCTTTTGCAACGTCTCTGCCTCTGCCGCAGCCAGTCGTAGTCGCGGACGTGGGCGAGCGTGGGCAATCCCACTCTCCACGCTGGAGCCACTCTGGAGCCACTCGCCACGCTTGGGCCCACGCGGCGCTGCTGCTGGTGACGTTCGCGCCCCGTGCCCTCGTCTACGAGACATGATGTCATGCTCGCCAGATGCCCGTGCCAGCCAGAACCGCGCTTCCATTCTGTCACTTTTTGCTGCAGCACACGATGGAAGTCCACTTGAGGATGTCGGCGGCGGTGATGTGCCGGGGGATTTTCGATGCATCGCGGTACCTGAGGCGCCAACGATAAGGGTGCCGCGCTGCCGTCCCATTGTTGTCGCCGCTGCACAGTTTTCCCCCCTCCAAAAGGCGGTCGACTTCTGTCCCAATCACTCTCCCTCCCACGCCGCGCTAAGAGCTGACCCTTGACACACATCCCTGCACCCCTGCGCATCGTGCATGGCCCATGCTCCATGTCAACAACGACTCCACCGGCCCATCTTTGGCTCGACAATCTTTACGCTTGCCCCCGCTCTAGCATCTCCTCATTTACACCCACGCTCACTTCAGTCGCCGGTCCGCCTCACTGCCGCCACTTTGGGTGCTGCAGCGCGGATGTTGACGGAAAAGGACAGAGTCCATCTCCGCCAGGCAATCTGCAACTAGGCGGGCTCCGCTTGGCGAGATGAAACCTCTATCGTCCGTGCTGCATCGAGGCTTACGATACCATGAGCACCCCAGTCTCACATCCGCACCATGCCTCTGCTCCGCTTCGCCTGAAATCAAGGTCGACGTGAAGACGCGATGAGCATCATTGGCAGGTTGTTCGTTACAGCGCAACACCAGTCTTCCCCGCATTATCATTCCAACCCTTGCATGCCAGCATCTTATGCAGCTAGCAAACCTCAGACGTCCCTTCAGACCACCGAGCTCACCGACATTGCAGCGGGCAGTGTTTCCGGTGTCGGTGCCATCGCCTCGCTGTGGCTGTTCCGAGACTGTGCCGTATCCTTGTACACATTCCTACTTCATGGCACTCTGCACACGTCGTAACAATTGAATCCTGTTTGCAAACGAGCTTACTTACAGCAACGCATTCCAAGTACTTCCTCGCTGGCATAGGTCACTGGCAGACGTCGATCAGGCAATCGGTCCGCCAGCATCGGAGCAATCGAAACACGCGGCAGCCTGCTTCCTGGAGGGCACTAGCAGAGAAAATTCAGATTACGATACATCGGAACGTCAAATGCATTTCTGGGCGAGTCAAGACGATCGCGATGTCCAGCTATCAATCTGGCATGTTGTTTTACTTTGGTGGTCTGAGGGGCTTGTCCCGCGCAGTCCCACTTCGCGGGTGCGGTTAGAGAATTTAGAAACGGCAGAATCTCCGTGCCGACCACTGACACACGGCGGCAGAGGCTGAGTGCTCACCGCCCGCTCACTCCAGGAAAGCGTTCGCGTTATTGTTCATCGATCTGCTCCAGAACGGCGATCGCAAGAACGGGCTCCGCCGACCACTAAGCCACTTTGCGCCTCACGCCGAACTGCCTTGCATTGCAAAAGCAGGATGCCTCTCAGGAGTCTGACGGATGGAGCCGCTTGCCGTGCCTGTTTCATAGCTCCTCACGTAAAAAGATGCGCAAATTGAAGTTTGAGTTTTCCTTGGTTGTGAGATTGCGGCCACACAGCATTTCCGCGGAAGCGAGATCGTACAAGACCGAAGTGGGAATGGTACGCAGCCAGAGCCGGTCCATATCGTGACTTCACCATGTTGATGGTCGTCAGGTCACGCGCAGCCAAAGCCGGCTCACCACTTTCTAAACGTCTACTCGTGACGTTGTAAACGTTAGGTAAAAGAAGGACTGGGGCCGTTGACCTTGGTCGGAGGATACTACATGGTGTCAGAAACCTGCTGGCAACAGTTGCTCTACTAGGTCTACTTCATCTCAGACAATCACAGTAGCTGGAGAACGCGTCTGCGACCGTTCCATGCGGAGAACCACGGGTTTGTACTGTGTATAACTTTCGACGAAATTTCTTTCGGCTGCTGGTCGAATCACGTTTGGTGGGACAGAAACCCCCGCTCAGCTGGGGTTAGCCTGAGCACGTGCCTCACCTGCGCTGAGGCCAACGTTCGTCCCACAATGCGGGGAAATGCGTTGCCAAGTATAGCACTTGCTCTAACACAACAACAAATGCCTAGTCTACGTTTGTATCATGCATCCGACGGCCTGCTTGCTCATTCAGAAGGTATAGCGAAACTGTTACATTCGAGCTTTTGCGCAATTCGAATCCGGATGCCTCTCGAATTCGGATGCCTCTCGGTGGCTTGGCTCTTGCTAAGTCCGAAAGGGTTGTGCGAGAGCATCTGCGACACGCACCTGCACACCTGCAGGTTGCGGCTCCACAAGTATGGTGAATGGAATCCGCTTTGGGCGTATGTGCAGCCCCGGGAGGCTTAATGCAGCTGGTAACGCAGCTTTCAACATACTCACTCTGGATATCGACGATGTGCATTCTACCCCGGGGATGCGAAAGGAAAAGCGTCCCACCTGTCAAACTACCTACCTAATCTCGATGCGAAATCTCTGTACGAACCCGCTTATCTCTGCCTATGATCCATTACTCCATGCGGGTGGGCAACTCGGGGACCGCTCACACCGCTCATCCATCGTGAGATCGGACGCGACTTCCTGCTGCTTACGGAGCGAGAGTGTTGTTCCTGGTTCAAACTCAGCGCCAGCGGCGGAACTTCAAACAGCCGTCGCCGCGCTCCGCCCATCCCCGCCAGTCCACAACACATCCTCCCCCCGAAACGTTGACGACCCAACACGTACTGCGCGCAGCTCGGATGTCCTTCTACTCCTCAGAACCGGCGGCTCTAGACCACTTGACCTCGATTTGACTGTTGGTGGTTTGCACAGGTGACCGTAGATGCCGAACTATGCCAGATCTTTGTACCTTCCATGGTACATGAGTCCGTCTAGACGGAACTGCACTCGAAGACCCGTGGCTGAGAGAACCGCAGGAAGCGCTGGCACATGTCAGTGCTGCAGCCCCACAGGTTGGCATTGTCAGGGTCTCATAGAGAAATGTGTACCTGCCACTGTGGCGTGCAGGTCCCCTAGCAAAAGTCTCCGTCGACACACAGGATCAACTCTGCAACAGCGTATCGAGGCGCGTCGAATTAATAGAATCGCAATGCTTCTAGGCAACGCACGCTCGCGGATTGGGCCTGGTGGAACGGGAACGACGCCTCGATGTCTGCCCTGCATATGTACCCGCACACATTGAGACCCCGCGTTCTGACTTTTACAGAACATAGCGACCACCCTTGGAGATGTCTCAATAATATGTTTACCCATCTTCTGGCACCAGGTACAGTACTGCGAATACGACGGCAAACCTTGCCGATCGAATACAGTGACGGGCCTGCAGCCCTGCTGTGCAACCATCCCCGACACCTCGTCTACAAGCACCAGCGATAAGGCTGCTCGAGAATGCAGCCAACCACCCGAGCACCAACATGGCGATGTGACGTTGAAACCACGCAAACATCCCATATCGTGCATCTACCAAGGCCACTACGTAGCGCGGGTTACTCTTGCTTGAGCGGCGAGTGCACAAGCAATCCCGTTGACTTGTACGCGTGTACAGCACATACTACAGGAATGGTCATCGTGGGGTTGGCATGTCAGCGAAATGACGCGCACAACGGTAGCGCAAACCGAATC